TATACATTTATATATATATTATATATGTATACATGTGTATGCACACATATACATATAAATACACACTTACACATAGACTCTGAACCTATTAAAGAGGCAAGTGAGAATTCAAGCTGTGTAGTTCTTTCTCAGAATATGGTGTTACTTCTTCTCAACCAGCCTCAACTAGTCACCCTCTCTTGGTAAAGTCTCCCTACCTGGGATCGGTTAGGCATGAATGATGGCTAAGAATACCTTTATCATGGAGGGATTTTAGAAACCACTACCTTAATTGTTGCTTGCTACTTTATGGGAACTGTTGTCCCCTCCACAGAGTGACTGCTTGCTGCCATTTGTACTTCAGGTAGCCATTTTGTACCGTACGATAACATATTCACTGTACTATGAAGAAGTCCATTACCGTCACCATGTCAAGTCTTATGGCCTACTAGTTTAGCAAGTATAGTAACAGCAAAGAGACCCAGAGGCCTGAAACAGTAAAGGATTCTTGGTTAAGATCAGAAGGGAGGGGTGCTTGGGTGGCTCAGTGGGTGGCCTCTGCCTTTGGCTCAGTCATGATCCCAGGGTCCTGGGATTGAGCCCCGAATCGGGCTCTCTGCTCAGCAGGGAACCTGCTTCCTCCTCTCTCTCTCTCTGCCTACTTGTGATCTCTGTCTGTCAAATAAATAAAATAAAATAAAATAAAATAAAATAAAATAAAATCAGAAGTGAGAAGCAAGAACTTGTTATAAAATGTACTAATCAAACTAACCTGAGTTGCCTTTGGAAAAAAAATGGTTGAACACAATCTTTTATTATTTAGTTTCCACATGCCACCTACTCTCAGTTTAATCTCTAATTATAGTTGTCTGATTGTTGTATTTTTCTTGGGGAAAATGGGTCATTATTGGAAAAGGTAGCATTTAAATTGTGTAATCAAAATATTGTAAACCATCTGTTTGATAAAGAAAAATTTTAGATCAGAAATATGAACCTTATCTTTAAGATGGGACAGGTTTTGATTAAATGAACAAAACCTCTAATTTCCTAGGTTTTTAGGCTTCCTGTTTGCTCAATGCAATGTTGGAAATTGTTCCTGACCTTGCAAGTAAGTGTTTTTTGCAAAGATGTTGTGAGACATGAAGTTGGATCATCCAGGCAAGCCATGTGTTTGAAATGGAGAAGACACTGTGTTTTATATGCTGTTTTATATATAGGGGTTCATGTCCCTGAACTGTCCCAATACCCAAGACCCAAGAAAGTAAGGGTTTGCTCAGCTGTGTATAAAGCCTGTATTTTGTCATTTCAATTGAGGGTGACAATAGTCTCATTTGCTGTGGGACGTCTGTTTTTAAAACTGCAAATCCTGTGTGCTGGGAAACCCCAGTCCTGGGAAAACTGGGATGATTTGTCACTCTACTTCAAATATAAATCCTAACCCCTTTTCTTGAGTTGACTTCACATTTGCGAACCGTGTTTGGGAAAACTGAATACCTTCAGAAAGCATTGTGTTATAGCTCATTAATTGTACCTCTTGTTATTCACTTACCATGTAAATGAACTGGTAGCGGTCCCTTGACTTTTTGGGTCCCTTTTCTTCAAATTTATAAAAATTACATATGATTTCAGGCATTTGAGAAACAGACTGTCTCTCCTCTGCAGTAGTTAAAACACAGATAACTTGGCTTTAACCAAAGTCCTTTCATAGTTTCTGAGATTATGAAGTTGTTGAGAACTGGAGGGTGGGATGTGGTCAGCTGTGGGCCCAGTACAGGCCTGGTAGACAGGCAGATATAGGGCGCTAGGCAGACCCAGAGAGGAAGGGCAGAGGAGGGGTAACAGCAAGGGCTCAGAAGAGAGGAAGAACCTGGTATACATTTCACTTTCAGTTAAATTGGGTAGTCTAAGGCCTTATAGTTACCAGATAGATGTTGGAGACAGCAGTGGGCTGCTTGTGAGAAGGCCTCCGGTGCTCCCTGCTTCCTTATGTAATGCTCCCTCACCCCTGAGGGTGACTTCCTTCTAACCCTCAAAGGTGATTAGATGTCACTTTTGTGGTATTGTGACTGACTTCTTGCTAGTAAGCCCTATTGCCTTCTTGGCTTGCATGCTTTGATGCTATTGGGGAACTCCAAGTGGCAAGGAACTGTGGGTGGCCTCTAGTTTCTGAGGACAACCTCCTGCTGACAGCCAACAAAATGCAGAAGCCCTTAGTCCTATAACCACAAGAAACTGAATTCTGAGTGAGCCTGGGAGCAGAACTTTCCCCAACAGAGCCCTGGATGAGACCATACGCCAAGCAACACCTTGATCGCAGCCTTGCGACACCCTAAGCAGAAGAACCATATACGCCTCTCTCCTGACACACAGAAATTGTGACATAATAAATGTACATTATTCTAACCCACACATTTTGTGGCAATATTGTTATGCAGTAATAGCTAATGCAGAAACTTGTATATTTTGTCACAAATAGATTAAAAGTGACAAATAGGGATTTTATTCATTTTTTGGGCACACCAATTACATATGGAGAATTTTGCTAATTACTGGGTAAGTACACCAACAGAAGAGATCTACTTCATAATACTGGATATACCTGTATCTGTATCCAAAATGCAACCTCGGGAGGCCTCAAGGTAATCCATGCTTCTTTGGAGGACGTGGCAGAAGTGCAGTAAATTGGCTGCCTGTAGGAGTCTACACCAGGGCTTCCATGTTCTGACCAAGGGGGATACCTCAAATGCTAGCAGAAGAAAATGGGAGGATGATGGAGATAACAGGAAGTGACTGTTCTCTGAAACTTCCGGGTTTGTGGTTTGGACCCCAGGAGTGGAGGTTAGCGGCAGAAGCTAGATTTGCTTTCTTAAGAGATTTTGTCAGATCATGAAAGCAAGCAGTGCTGTGATTGACTCTGGAGTGCTGTGATTGGAGAGAATGACTTGTTCGGCTGCTCTGCGGGGAACATAGCCCTGCTCTGGCACCTGAGGACGGATGGTCTTTGAGACTACTGGAGGGGCAATGTCAACATCCCCCTTGGTGTCTTCACAGAGGGCATTATCAGCTGAGGTTGCAGAGAAGCATTTGAGAGAATTTGTGAACAGCAGGGGAACACTCAGGACAGAGAGCTGAGTTGAATCCTTTCAGTGACTCTGCTTTACAGATTGGATAACTAGCAGCATAAGAAGCTCTTTATGGCTTATGCTGCCTGCATTCCTTAAAAGACAAGTTTGATGAGTGTTGATGTTCAAGCTGGAGAGCATGAAGGAAAAGGGAAAGGAAGCAGGAAGGACAAGAAGTGCTGAGTTGGAGCTGCTTCCCACAGGATGCCAGAACATCAGGAAAAAGCTTGGCAGGTGGCGCGCTCAGCCACACACATCTCCTGACAGGTGTGTAGAGAAACCATGCCTTACACTAGTCCACCTGGGGGATAAGGAAAGGGAATTTATTTGTCTGGCTCCTTCTGGCCTTGTTCCTACTGATCAATTTGCCTTGATCCAAATTTGCTCCTCGTATCAGGCCAGGGAAGTCTGGGGTATTTTGGTTTCAGGCAAATGACTATAGTGAAAGGCAGGTCTACTCAAGCTTCTTAAAGAGTCTCTGGCTTAGTCCTTTTGGGCTGCCATAACAAAAGTACCATAAACTGCCTGGCTTATAAGCAACAAATATTTATTTCTCACAGTTTTGAAGTCTGGGCTGTCCAAGATCAGGGTGCTGGCAGATTGGGTATCTGGTGACACCTGCTGTCGGCTTCATTGATAGCTGTCTTTTGCTGTGTCCTCACTTGGTGGCAGGGGCCCGGAGTTCTGTGGGGTTTCTTTTAGAAGTACATTAATCCCATTCATGTGGATTCCACCCTTATGATCTCAGCACCTCCTAAAGGTCCCATTTCCTAATACCTTCCCATGGGGCATTACGTTTCCACACACGAATTTAGATGGGACACAAACTTTAAGTCCTCAGCAGCCTCTTTCCTGTTGGAGCAAAGAATTTGAGAAAACTAAACCCTAAAGGGGTTTAACCAAACCCTGAAGGCTGACATTCCAAATAAAAGGAAGATAATGGACCAAGATACCAGGGCCAGGAAGTGCAAAACGTGTTAGGGGAATCCCAGTGGACGTAAAGTTTCGGCCCACTTTACATTTCTGGATGAAGTACTTGAACTTTATTTTTTAGGCAAGAACACGCTAATCAGTAGTTTTAACCCAGAGATATCACGCAATGGGAGATTAGAGCTTAAGAAAAGTTTTCTAGTTTCTGTAACTGTGGTATTGTACAGTTGAATCCACAAACACAGAGGGAGAGATAAAGCTGGGTTAACCCCTGTATGTGAAACGCTTGGGGGGAAGTGTCTGTGAAGCTCAGAAATTGCACCCTACGTTTTTATGGGGGGGGGTGCCTAACTTTCATCACCTTTTCAAAGGGTCCGGAACCCAAAAAATTAAAGTGCCCTGCCAAAGAGAGAAAATCAGCACGTGCCTTTCTGTCCTAAGCCTGGAAGTACATAGCTCCCGTTTGGGGACCAGGAGACTGGAGTGAAACTAGCCTGAATATCTCCTCATTCAGAGTTAAGAGGCAGTTTCAGTTGTAATGACATGACCTGGGGAAAGATCTTGGATGCCAGGAGGGACCTATCACCGTACACACTCCAGCAGACACAGGACGGATTCGGAGACCCATTTTACGCGCAGGGAGATGAAGAACCCCGCACATCCTGCCTCACGCTTTCTTCCCGCAGCTGCGCAGGCGCTAGGACCCAGGCCCGGCCGCGCGCCTCCCGCGACGCTCCACCCCGCCCCGCCCCTGCGCGAGGCAGGACGGGAAAGCCAAGATGGACGCGTTCATTTGAACATCTCGCCTGAGTGGCTTCTTAGCACTCCTGTCTGTACCTGCTTGTCGTTCGCTGTCGCGCCAGTAGCTGCTGCCCGTTCTTCCTCCGGAATAGGGGAGGGAGAGGGAATGAGAAGCTGCAGCGGCCGAGGAGTCACCGTGACCGACCCCGCCACTGCCCTCGGGCCCCCTCGGCCCCGCGCCTCCGGGGAGCAGCCGGGGCTCGCCGCGCCTGACGCGTCCCGAGTTACACAGGTGTGGGCCTGGGCCCGCATCGTCGGGTGGTTCACCGCGTGCCCTGTGACCCTGCACCCGCCCCGAGCTGACCTGCGTTCGGTGACCAGAGGGCTGGGAGCCTAGGAGCAGGCCCTGAGCGCGCGTTTGCGCCAAGTGGCCCCCGGCCTGCGGACTGGGCTTTCCGGGGTGCACCTCCCCGCGCCGCTCCTCGCCGACTTCCTTCCAGAGCTAGACGCAGTGTCCCATGTGGGCCTCAGCTTCTATATCGGCCCCTTGCTTCTCGGACAGGATTTTTTGAGGCCCAGGGGCTTAGCTTGTTTGGTTTCACCTAACCCTAAAGAGGCTGTTCCTGCTCTGCCTTTTTGCGGAGACTCTACGCGAGATGCCTTTCCTGTGCATTTGGGTCTCTTCTCGAAGCAGTTTTGTGGTTACCTTTGGCAGGGTAGTTTTTGTTTATTGTAAACAATGCCGATAACTTGATTTATAGCTTATCAATGTAATATAGTACTTTTATATGTAGCTTTTTATGTTGCCCTAATAAGTAAACACATAGAAATTTGGGGTACTATAAAGGTATTAAATATGTTTTAATCGTACAAAAAGATACTGCACTGTTAAAATAATTTTGTAATAATGTAATTTTCTCAAAGTTTTAATAGAATAACATTTCGAAATTGCACAACTGAAGTTGGATAAAGTCGCAAGTTTAATGCTGGCTGTCCTGTTGACTAGGAAATAGGAAGACCAGCAGAGTTTTGTTGTTTTCTTGTAAGTTTTATAAGGCACGTTATTAGTTATGTCCTAAATTCAACTGTTCTCAATTCTGAATTTTAGCAGGAGGAAGTAAGTGCCACCATTGTGACATACAGTTGTCTCAGGAATGTTAATTCACAGCAAAATAGGTTTGCAACCCTGGTTGCTGCATAGGAGCTAAATAGGCTTTGAGATAGTGCAGCAAGGAAAACTACTGATGCCAAAAAAAAAAACACCTCAAGTGAGAACTCTAAATCAAATTTAATTAAACTCTTCATTTTGAGTACTTTCCAGATACTAAATGTTGTATGTGGTGTTGACATCAAGTGTTTGTTTTGATTCCTTTGTTCGAGGATTGCAGTTTAAATGTGTTGCCACAAAACCTTATTTCTAATGTAGGTGTTGTCTCAGACAGAACTGGCTTCCACTTTACATACCATATTGCAGAGTATCAGAATTTTATTAGCTGTCAGTTGCTGTATACAGAAATGTTTTGGAGGTAAAGGAGTATTTTTCCACCACAGCTTCTACATCTAATGAACTGTGCTGTAATAGATTAAAAGCTAGCACTCTTAAATTTGCTACAAGCATGAATATTTCATGGCCAGGGTTATTCATGCCTTGGTTCTGGTTTGACCAAAAATTGGAATTGGTTGTAATTACATGTTTAAATGAATTGGGGTGTCAAAACTGTGGATGATATTTGACAGTTTATTATGTCTTTTATGGACTGGTCAACCAAAAGCAGTACTTCAACTACTGATGAGTTAGAAGTAATTTTTTTGTTGTTGTTTCCTTTCAGTATGCCAGTGATCCTTTTGGTATGCTTCTCATGAAATCTGAAGTGCCCTTTGATGTTATGATTACTTGTATACCTACAATATGATAGGATTATTTGACACTCATCTAAGGATTAATGACTCTTCTGTAAACTTTTATGATATTTTTATTCTGGTTTTGACTTTAGAAGCTGACCAGAATGTGTTTGAATTCATGCAGAAATAATGTTGATATTTGGAACCCATGTCGAACTTCTATGAAGAAAGGGCAACGATGATTGCAGCCGGGGATTTGCAGGAATTTGTTCCTTTCGGTCGAGACCACTGCAAGCACCACCCTAATGCTTTGAACCTTCAGCTTCGCCAGCTACAGCCAGCATCTGAGTTATGGTCTTCTGATGGTGCTGCTGGCTTGGTGGGATCCCTTCAGGAGGTTACAATACACGAGAAACAGAAGGTTCCATTAAGCTTCCCATTATATTTTTGAAACGTAGAGTGGTGTGATCTCTTTGTAATTTAAGGCTACTCAGATGCAACAGAAAGGAATATGATGCAACTTGTAGAGTAGAGATTCAAATTTCAGTCAAGGCTAAAATAATGACATTATTGTATTATGGGGTCATAACTATTTATTTATTTTAAAGATTTTATTTATTTATTTGACGGAGATCACAAGTAGGCAGAGAGGCAAGCAGAGAGAGAGAGGAGGAAGCAGGCTTCCCACTGAGCAGAGAGCCTGATGTGGGACTTGATCCTAAGACCCTGAGATGATGACCTGAGCCGAAGGCAGAGGCTTAACCCGCTGAGCCACCCAGACACTCCACATAACTGTTTATTTAGACATGTGTAACTCATGGTGTCATAATGAGTGTCAATTTCAGTAGTATGATTATGGTCTATTTTAAACCTCCTCTTCACTTAGTATGCAGAGACCAAATTTCATGTTATTTGATGAGTAGATTGTAGAGTTAGAAATGGTTCCTACTGCAAAAGACCTGCATGTTTCTAGAGGAGAAAAGAAATGCTACACAAGTAGATAGAGTAGGGGAATGAGATGCAAGTGTGTGTCAGAAAATCAATCTTTCCCGCCTTATGCCCTTTTCCTATCCCTTTGTGATACCAAAATCTCAGAGGGGAGGTTTAAACCTTTCTGGTTCCCATTCCTTTTGATGGCTAGGACAAGGGAAGGAAGGTGAGCGTATATGCAGTCGTGAAATAGGGAAATGTGTATTATGCATTAACTCTGCTGGTGATTCCCATGTGTACCTCACTACTCCCTTTCCATCATCCCCACATATGCTTAATACACCTTTTTAGTGTCCCACGTATGTTGGTTTCATTCTATAGATAGGATTATTTTTGTTTGTTTATATTTTTGGCAGGATAATGTGTTATAAGGCAGTTAATATAGAGAATTTTTGAGTAAAGTTTTGTTCATGAAGTCATGTAACATTTATAATATACACCCACTCTGTTAATCAGTGGCACCAGACCTTCCAAGAGATTGAGTCTTACTCCACAGGCAGAGAGAGAGTAGGAGACTTGTATCTGGATAACCATTTGATTTAATTAATAAATCTTGTTCCATACTGTTGTAAAAGAGAGTGCTTTAACATGTCTTATATTTGTTAATTTTTAAGGAAAGCTGGCAGTTAAGGAAAGGCGTCAGTGAAATTGGAGAAGAAGTGGATTATGACGAGGAACTCTATGTGGCTGGAAATATGGTGATCTGGAGCAAAGGAAGTAAAAGCCAGGCATTGGCTGTTTATAAAGCGTTTACAGTTGACAGCCCTGTTCAGCAGGTGAGTTGATTGGAATTTTAGCATTTCGTTGACTATTTAACACTTTTTTTAAGAAAAGCTTTTGTCCTAGAATTTAACAGAAGTGATGAAAACGTAGTTGAATGATCCCAGCAGCAGGACATATATTTAAAAATGTAGTGAAGATAATAGTAGGAAAATAAAAATTTCACTTGTTTTCTTTGTCCTCACTTTTTAAATATTGTCCTTTGTCAGTTTAATGATAATCTTTAAACATTGTCCTTGATTAATTTGATTTATTGTCAATAAAAATTTATAAGATGTTAAGGGTACAAAAATGTTTTAACATATGATGATTATAATTGATTGCAGAGTATTGAATAAAAATTTGGGTTCAGAGTAATAGAAAGGGAAAGGAAAATAGCCTACTTTGCTATCATTATAGTTGGCTATTAAAACGAACTCTTCTAAAATTGGTAATTAAAGGGAAAGAATTAAGCACTTGCCCTGCCTTTTTGGAAGACATGCAATCCATCTCCAGTTAATGAGGGAAAACCCTTATTTATAAAATGCTGGTGAATAAATTAAAAGGGAATGGTAGGATTAGAAATTACCATTTTTTGGGAGCCTGGGTGGCTCAGTGGGTTAAAGCCTCTGTCTTCGGCTCAGGTCATGATCCCAGGGTCCTGGAATTGAGACCCACATCGGGCTCTCTGCTCTGTGGGGAGCCTGCTTCCTCCTCTCTCTCTGCCTACTTTCTCTGCTTACTTGTGATCTCTGTCTGTCAAATAAATAAATAAAATCTTTAAAAAAAAAAGAAAAAAAGAAATTACCATTTTTTAACCTCCAGTGTAAACTGATAAGAGACAGTGATTGTTAATGGACACTAACACTATTGAGTAAAAGGATGTGACCATGGCACCAAGGTGTCACCCTATGGCTTACTTGTTAATGTGAAGGAACAACTGTATCTCTACTTTGGAGGTATCTGTTGGTCTCTGCCTCAATCACATTGATTGACTTTATCGGCACTGGTAGTGAGGCGAAGGAGTAATATGCACCTCGAGCTGTAATGCAGCATGAAATACATGTTGTCATCTACTAAGTTTTCTTCCCAGAAATACTTGACTATCTAGAGTTAACTTTTAGTTTTAGGAAATATGGGGACAATAGGATCGGTTTTTAAAATATCAGGAAATGAGGAGTGGGTTGGAGGTGTAGATGAAACAAGAATGGCCAAAGCTTGATAATTATTGAAGCTGGCAGATGGGAATTAATTGCTATTCCTTTTACTTAATACATATTTGAAATTTCCCATAATAAAAAGTTAAAAAAAAAAATAACACTATGAGAAAACAGTTAGGGGGATAGTCTGCAATTCTGGTCTCTTTAAAAAGTTAGGGACAGGGGCGCCTGGGTGGGTCAGTGGGTTGAGCCTCTGCCTTCAGCTCAGGTCATGGTCCCAGGGTCCTGGGATCGAGCCCCACATCGGGCTCTCTGCTCGGTGGGGAGCCTGCTTCTCCCTCTCTCTGCCTGCCTCTCTGCCTACTTGTGAACTCTGTTAAATAAATAAATAAATTCTTAAAAAAAAAAAAAAAAAAGTTAGGGACCAAAAAAAGGTCAGGGAGAAAGAACGAAAAGGTGGAGACTGCTCTAGTTAAAAAAGAGTAAAAGGGCATCAAATGCAGTATTTTTTGAGACTTGTTGAATGAACTTCCAATTGAATCCTGGTTTTAGAAAATTGGCCAAAAAAGACATTTTTTGGGGAAAATTTGCAAAACTTGCAAATGGACTGGGTATTAAGTGATGTTAGAAAGTTTTTCTTAGGCAGGATGATGATTTTGTGGGTATATAGGAAAACATCTTTATTTGCAGGAAGTGCATGATGAAATGTTGAGGGGTAAAGTGTCATGACATGATTCAAATAATGCCCCCTCAATCCCACATGGACACAAACAGATATGGTGAAATACTGGTAACTTAGATTTAGGTGAGACAGATTTTTAGTGTACTGCTTCAACTTATTGAGGATTTTTAGAAAGAAAGTTGAGGGAAAAAGGAATACATTTATAGTAGTTGGATTGTTAGGCTGTTTATGAGATGAGGCTTTTGACTAATATTAAATTTCTTATTGGTATACACTGAGACCTGTACCTGATACTACTTATTATTTATTATTTTTCCATTAACTCTTTTCCTGATGAGCACTAACAATTTATTGGGAAAGATAAACTGAATTATTTTGAAACCTGAGGGCATGTGTGAAAGTGTTTCTGTTCAGAAGTGTTAAAGTCAATAATCTTTTTTTTAAAGATTTTATTTATTTATTTCAGAGAGTGCACGCACGTACACGCTTTTGCAAGCTGGGGAAGGGGCAGAGGGTGAGGGAGAGAGAATCCCAAGCAGGTTCCACATCCAGCATGGAGACCTAGGTGGGGCTCAGTCTCATGACCCTGAGATCACAATCTGAGCTGAGATGAAGAGTTGGGGTGTTCAACCAACTAGGCCTCCCAGATGCCCTGCCAGTGATCTTTTTGATGATGATTTTTCTCTATGTAATTCATACGGTTAGTGTAGATGTGAAAAATGGATTTGATGATGTCCAGATAGTTCTTTGCTTCTGTGTTTCCATCTTAATTTCTCCCAAGAATGATTGCCTATTTACTAGATTCCATTGGTATGTGGTTAGATATATTGTCTCTTTTTCTTGTCTCCTTTCTCTTAAGATTGTTTATAAGTAGGGGTGCCTGGGTGGCTGAGTCGATTAAGTATCCAACTCTCATTTTCTGCTCAGGTCATGATCTCATGGTCATGAGATTGAGCCCCAAGTCTGGCTTTGCACTGGGCATGGAGCCTGCTTAAGATTCTCTCTCCCTCTTTCTCGCCACCCCCCCACCCCCCAAAAATGGTTTAAGTGGTAAGTTTTATGTTGCATATATTTTACCACAATTAAAAAAATAAAACATAAAAATGCTGTTAAACAGTTTCAATAAGTGATTGTCAAGCATGCCAGTTGAAGTCTAATGGTTTTTCTTAATTTGTATTTTGTAAGAGGGACCTTTAAGAAAGGAAAATGTTAATTTTTCTAAAGCTTTTTTCTAAAAGAGTCTAGGAGAGTCTGAGAAAGTTAAGATCATTGGGTCAGTCTGGAGATTATAAAATGGCTTTGCAATTTTGAACTCTTCTGATAACTCTTTAGCTTTCTAAAACTTATTTGCAAACACCGTTTGTCTTTCCTTATATTTATCATTAATCTGATTTTATTTTATCTTATTCTTTTTTGTTCCAGTGGTGTATGTATTGAGCTGATAAGGAGAGACAGGTATTATGTAGGTGTAATTGTTATTAATCAGATACCATTAGAGAATAGGTTGTTATTTAGATACAATTTTCTCAGGTAAGCATTTTGTTTTGATTTTAGGCATTGTGGTGTGACTTCATCATATCACAGGATAAGTCTGAGAAGGCCTACAGTAAGTTTCTTTTTGAAATTTTACTTCATCTTACTCCAAATGTTTATCTCCTTGCTTATTTTTTGTTGTTGTTCAAATAAGTAGCCACTAATAATAGTGATTTAGCCTAATCATTTTTTTTATGGTATGTTAAATAACTTGTCCTGTTGGGAATTGTAGTTTGTGATTGTTGAGTTTTTTTTTTTTTTTTTAATGTATAAATCTTGTATCATTTCTTTTCAGGTAGTGATGAAGTAGAAAAATGCATATGTATATTGCAAAGCTCGTGTATCAACATGCATAGCATAGAAGGAAAGGATTACATAGCTTCTTTACCTTTTCAGGTAATTTGAGTATTTCACTATTTTTGTGTTTTGTTGTAGAATATTCTTGAATTAATTAGGTGCAGAACTGTTGCTATTCTTAGTATATTAGCTATTCATAGTAATCAAGACCATCATTTTTATTCAAATAAAGTAAACAAATTTTAACGGTTTTAATCTATTTTTCCATCCTTTGCATAAAAAATAAATTATTTAATGAAGTGGATCATGGAGTTTTTTCCTGAGGGATTTTTTTCAGTTTAAGTTATAAAAGAAAGCATTTTGGAATATTAAAGCATGTGAAGAAGATTATTGTCTTTTTCCTGTTTTCCATCATCACATTGTCATTTTGGTACTGTTATTAGCCAGTGGCAGGAATTTCTGATTGCACTCTTTCTTAAATTTGATTTTGTCTTGGACTTTAAAAAAATATTGCTAATGATCACATTGTTTTGTGAAGCTTTAAGTTGGAAGAAAATCTTAATGTTCTACAGTTTCCTAAGCACATGTTACAAAGAGTAATTTCTTTTACTTCTGTTTTTTCCTATCCTTTTACCTGATAGGTTGCAAATGTTTGGCCCACAAAGTATGGATTGTTGTTTGAACGAAGCAGTTCTACACATGAGGTACCTCCAGGTCCACCCAGGTATCCATTTTACTCAGTTCAGTATATTATTATTTGGGCTTTTTGGTGCTGGTTTTGAGGTAAAATTGTTTACCTAAAAGTTCGGGACGATGATAATTTCCGTGCTGACAGCATAGATAAATGCAATTTTCTCATCTCAGTACTGTACACTTATGAGGGCTACTTCTGACATGGCACTTAATTATCTACTGATTCCCTCCTCCCCTCCATAGTAAAATTAAACGAGCACATACTCAGTGGATATGAAGATTGTTCTTAGAGCCATTACTGTTTTACTGTGTTACTTTGGGCAAGTCAGTAGAGCTTTCTTAGCTTTAGTTTCCTTATCTGTCACAGAAGTACTGTCATTTACCTCTTAGGATTTATGCAAAGATTAAATGAGCTGACATATGTAATATATGATGTGAGATTTAGGACATATTAGATGCACAATAAATGGTAGGTGCTTATTGGTAGCATGTTTACCTTGTCTCCCTAATAAATTGTGAGCTCATTTGTCATAGTCTGGTGTAAGTAATAGACATTGTTTTTAAAAAATTGCTTGTAGATTTTAATCTTTCTGTGTTTAAACAGAGGCCTGTTTTTTTGTCCTTTTTAAATCACTCCTTAAAAAAAATATAGCCTTTTTATTCACTTGATCTTTTTCTTCCTTTTTTGTGACACTTTTTTGTAAATGGATATAGGACACCAAATTTCTTTCTTAGCTGCCAGAGACACACTGCCACTAAGGGAGGTTAAAAAAAAAAAAAGAAAAAAAGACTACCTTATGCTTATTACTCCATTGGCTCTGTAATGTGATGGTTCCTGTATGTAGAGATTCCCTGGGCTGTGTTGATTTCCCTGTGTGTGTGCATGCATAGAATTACCATGTACAAGAAGAGATATTTCCAGGAATGAAGTAGAAGATACTGTGAGAAATAGTATGTAAAAAGTTTAGAGGCTTGCTTTTTGAGATGATGGGTTTCTAGTTGCCTGTATAATCTGGAGAAGATATTTCTTTGCAAGGAAAGCACAAAATTTGCACATAAATGGAATCATTTTGTGTTGGTGACTGACTGATTATTTGTTTATTACTAGAGAACCTTTACCCACTATGTTCAGCATGCTGCATCCGCTGGATGAAATAACCCCACTTGTTTGTAAATCTGGAAGTAAGTGTATTTTTATAAATTCTTTCATTCCTTTTTTTTTTTAAATAAATTCTTTCACATAAACTTTTTTAAATTTGGGGGATAGGAGGAAATGGAAGAGCTTTATGAAAATTGGGCTTGTTTTATAGAAATAATGTAGTTTAAATATTTTTATTACGAAAAATTATATTAAAGCAAGAACTTGAATACTATGGTATTGTTTTTTAATTGTTATTTTATTAATTTATTGTTAAATGTTATTAAATGTTATTAATTGTATTAATAGTTATTCTTTTATTAAAAATAGGGCCTATAATCAATCAAGAATATTGATATATTTGCTACCCTATCTGTAGATGACTGGATTCTGTTCTTCATAAGTAAATGAACAATATTTAAATGAACTATAATTTTTTTTGTTGAAGAAAAAAGTATAGGTTCTTAGGCCTCTTCTGTGTAAATTTTAATAACTCATTTTCTGTTCTCATAATAAAACAATTTGCTGAGATGCAGAACTTTTAGTATTTCCTAAGGTATTTCTAGTTGCTTATCTTAAAAATTTAAATGTGGCCAAACATGATAGGTAATTATAAATAATGAGGACTTGAAAACTGAAAAAAAGTGTTTATATTTTTTGACCAATTTTACTTGTAGGACTTTATCCCAAGAACATACTCTGAAATTCCACTGAGGTTTTTAATCTTGTGTATCAGGGCTTGGTAAACTGCAGCCCGCAGGTTAAATCCAGCCAACAGCTTGTTTTTGTATAGCTTATGAGCTAAGAATGGTTTTAATCTTTTTAAAGGGTTTTAGAAAAAAACATTATGCAACAGTCATTGTGTGGTCCACAAAGCGTAAGCTATTTATTCTCTGGCCTTATACTGAAAAGTTTGTTGATAATTCTGTATTATACTGGTAACAATTACAGACAACCTAAATAAACATGTTAGGATGGTGTGAACCTTATTGATCATGTTTTTGAGTAATATTTAATGACCTCAGGAATTGCTTGTGCATAATGTTAAGTAGAATATAAAACTAAGTACAGTGATTTTAATTTTTGTAAAGGCATAAAAAGTGTGTGTATACATGTAGGAAAAAAACACTAAAAAAGGAATGTTCCCTAATGTATTAAGAGTGGATATTTTGAGATGGTGGAATTATGAGTGATTTTTATTTGTTTCTTTATAAAATACCTCTTATTTTTATAAAATATTTAAAATTAAAAAATATTTTAACTGGGAGGGAAGAGAGGCATTTAGGAAGCTGTCAGATAAGGTTATAGAAATCAGTTCAGGGTACTATAAAAGTAAAAGCTAAACTCACTAGGAAAAACTTATTTTGCAAGTATACTTAGTAAATAGTGTACTGTTCAGCTCTGTTTGAATAGTTATTACAGGGGACAGATTTCATATGGAAGAAAAACAGTCAAGAGGTCAAACTTGGCAGGATAGTTGATTGCAGTTTGCAGATCAGTTAGTTGTTGAGTAGTCACAGACCTACCTGTGGCCCATCTTCAATATGTAATTGCATGTATGTGAATTGAAACTGTATTCTGTATGTAGGTTGAGGAAGTTGTTGCCCAAAGTAAATTTAAAAATTCAGGGTAATTGTATATTAGTGGATTTTTGTGTCTTAATTGGCTGGGTTTCTCTTTAGGAATTATAGAAAGTCATTTCTATAATTGTCTTGTGAAGTTCATTGTTCAATACCTTATCATTTCTATTTTATCTTTAAGGTCTTTTTGGTTCATCAAGAGTGCAGTATGTTGTAGATCATGCAATGAAAATTGTTTTTCTCAACACTGACCCCTCCATTATAATGACCTATGACACCGTTCAAAGTTTGCATTCTGTGTGGGCTCTTCGGAGAGTCAAAACAGAGGTAAGGCTAAAGGCAAGTCACTTCTTAACATGAAAGGATAGTTAACACTGAAAACTTTTCACATGTATTTGGAAGAATCATTTGTGAAATGCATTGAGCTTCTTAGGAAAAAAGAAGTATTGTGTCTTTAATAACTGGCTTCTACCCTGAATTCTCACCAGGAAATTACCCTTTTAATCTAATTATTGCCTTTTTTTTCCTCCTTCTCATCATTTTGACTTAAGGAAGAGAATGTTGTCTTAAAGTTCTCTGAACAGGGGGGAACCCCACAGAATGTGGCCAGTAGTAGCTCCCTCACAGCACACCTCAGAAGCCTCTCCAAAGGAGATTCCCCCGTGGCTTCACCTTTCCAGAATTACTCCTCCATTCACAGTCAGAGTCGCTCGACCTCCTCACCCAGTCTACACTCTCGTTCACCTTCTATTTCCAACATGGCAGCTCTAAGGTGGGAATTAAGTGTGGAAGTGTTTCCTTGTTTTAAACAAGATATCCCAAGAAAGAGATACCTTCTTTTCAAACTTTCTCTTAATGTTTTGAAGGATTTAAAATCTCTGTTGATAGCTCTTGGGTTTTTTTTAGGGAAAATAGTGATTATCCCAGTTGTGTTGCTAAGTAAAAGTTAGTTTTTTTAAGTGAGTCCTATTTAGAAGCTGCCTGTGCTTGTCATAAGATTCGTTGCCTCATTTCCATCATTAAGTGGCAGCATTTTGATGAATATTAATTGCAAAAATATTTTGGTTTCTCTTTCCTTTCTTGTTTTTGGTCTTTGTATGAGCTTTTTCATTTTTACTAGTATCTATCTGGTAATGGGGGGACATATTTTTGTTGGTATGTACATATCAATATGTAGGAATGTAGTTTGGACCTTTCTGAATATAAAAACAGTTCATGTTCTGAGGCAGAAATGAACAAATTTTCATTTTTAAAATTATAAAGATTGAATTTTAAGAAGAATTTTAAATCTTTAGAATACAATAAAACACATAATGTGAGCCATTTAAATAGTTATTCCCTTTTAAAAAAATTTATTCCTGACAGGGATTATACCAGGAATGCAGTTGTTACATAAGAGTTTCAGGAAGTGTGATTGGAAAGCATGTTCTGTCAGCCTGCCTTGTTAATTGTGATGCCCTCTCTCTGTTTATTTTGCAGTCGTGCTCATTCTCCTGCCTTAGGAGTGCACTCTTTTTCAGGGGTGCAGAGGTTCAACCTTTCAAGCCATAATCAGTCTCCAAAGAGACATAGTATTTCTCATTCTCCAAATAGTAATTCTAATGGCTCCTTCTTTGCACCAGAAACAGAGCCAATTGTTCCTGAACTTTGTATTGACCATTTATGGACAGAAACGATTACTAACATAAGGTTTGGGACATATATTTTTATATTCAAAGAAAAATGTTGGTACAAGTCTTAGAAAACCCTTAGTGTTTTGCTTAGAGTTTCCTTTAGTCTTTTAATATAATCAGTTATTAATACTTATAAAAATGTAGAGATAAGTGTTAAGGCTGCCTCAGTTTCAAGAGGCTATTAATGATATTAAAAGGGATTATAAAAGTATTCTTTTATCATTTACTATTTCTTCTATAGTAGTAAGAATCTCTTAGATTTGAGGTGTTTGATGTTTTAGAGAGAAGCAACTAATTTCTGTAGATTAAAAACTTGGGGTTTTAATAGTGTTTTTTAAAAGTTCTATCTTTATGTTAGTTGAGTGTCAGGAGTTGTTTCTGGGATATGCAACTTAGACCTCTATTCTGGGTGATCTTTCTCCTTTTATGTTGTCTTTGATCAATCATTCATTCAGCCAGTTCCAGTGTGTATGCTAGTGGTTGTGGGTTAACAGGCAAATTGGTCACTGTCCCTATCCTGAAAAAGAGAAAGCTGAAGTTGGTGACACAGAGGCACTGCCCACTCAGCTGGTAGGGCTTTGGGAAGATGAATAGTAGGTATTTGCTGGATGGGAAAGGGAAGAAGGGTGCAGTAGGCAGGATGATCAGAACAGAAGTTCAGAAGTATGAGTGTATGATATATACAAATACTCTCACTTTGCTTATGCTGGAAGGAAGGGCAAGGGTTAGGAATGGGGACGGTTGAGAGAAAGATTGCCCTTCAGGGCTGCTCTGTTTGATGAGGGCTGTTAAGGTGTTTTATGTGTGGGTCATAAACTTAGGGGAAAGAGCAGAGCAATAAATGTGGGAGTTGTTGGCTTGTACGTGGTGATTGAGGCAAGGGAGGTGGATTAGAAGTTAAGAATCGTGTAGACATCAGGTTCCTGGAGGGCCTGGGGATGAGCTTGTGGTTGCAGAGGGTCTAGTGACCTAGCATCATACAGTAATCATGTGCATATTAGTTTATAAGACTTTTCCTAAGGAGAAGGTTTTAACATTCATTAGATTCTCATAGGGGGTCCGAGACCTCCAAATAATTGATCTGGTTGTGTAGAGTCAGAAGAGAGCTAGGGACTGAAGTCTTGGAAACCTAAGCTTTTGGGGGTAAAAAGAGAAAAAATACAACTGCTATAGAGAGACAGAGCAAGAAAGCTTAGGTGTGAGAGGCAGCAGAAGTGTCATGGGACACTGGAAAAGAGAGCCTTTCAGAAAGAAAGTTGCCAGTATTGCCAGGTGTTGGTGAGGTGTGGCACTAAGCGGTGAACTTAGGACATACCTGGTTGGCAGTGAGTTCGCTGGTGACCTTAGCCAGAGCACTTGGGAGAGGTGCTGTGGAGTGGAATGGCATGAATGGGGACTGAGGAAGTGAACGTTGACATATAGATTATTTTATGGATTGGGGATGGGGATACAATATTAGAGGGAGTCTCAGGGTCAAGGGAGCCTTTTGTTCCTGCTGAATTACATTAGAGAAAATTAGTCTTTGTGACTAAATACCTCAGTGAGCATCTCTAAAATATAAAGACAGCTTACCTAACCACAATACCATTTTTTTACACCCAATTAACAGTAAGTCCTTTATATCATTTATTATTCAGTCCATCTTCATATCTCAAGATTTTTATCTTTATATGAGAGAGTAGGCTGCAAGGATGATACTCAACGTAGGGAAAGCATCGGAAGTACAGGAGAGAGGAAATGACAGATAGAACGAGGAACCAGAAAGGAGCGCAAGCAGAGAGATTAGCCTTCAGGAGAAAGACAAAAGACAGTGATGGTTATTAGATACATAGGGCAGGAGGCTGGGCCCAAGCCTTACAGTCGCATTTTCTCTGTGCTGCAGAAGGCAAATGCATGTTCTTAGGGGTTAGGGAATAGTAAAGTGTGGAAAGTAAAGTGTGAATACAGTGTTGAAGTAGCTTCTCTGGTTTTGTTCCTCATAAATGAAATAAAAGTTTCCTACATTTAAAAATTGTTTGTCTTTAAATATCTGTTGGTAAATTTAATATATTGCAGGTTATTATTTTATAGAATTATGGTCTTCTGTACCACTCCAGAAAGAAATCTTTGGAAATTAGAGATATGGTTTCAGAAAGAGGGATAAAGTAGAGCCTAATCTGAGAGAGGATGGACAGGAGAGGTATTGTTATAAGAGGTCTGACCCCTTACAACCTTTAAAGGATAGGAATTCAAGTTTGCAGCTTTAACAGTACATAACTTCACTAGTATGGAATTAAAAAGGTCATTGTTAATGATTAAATTTATTATAATTTATTCCCCAAAAAGCTGTGGAATGGACTCAGAATCAAAGAACTGAAAGGAATCTCAGAGATCATGAAGTTCCAGTCTTAGAAGTGTTGTGGGGTCTTCAGTGTTACTGCTTGGCCCAAGTAGTTTTAAGATTTCTTGCAGGATATTTTCATGAAGAGTTACAGTGGCAGATTTTGGAACCAATGCTGACAGTTACTTTATTAATGTATCTACTACAGAGAGAAAAATTCACAGGCCTCAAAAGTGTTTATTACATCTGACCTATGTGGGCAGAAGTTCTTGTGCTTTTTAGTGGAGTCTGAGCTTCAATTACGGTAAGTACGCCTACTTCCCTTTGATTCTGTACAAATAAACTTAGGGCTGCTTTTTCTTTTTTCTTTTTTTAACTTAAGTAGCTTCACTGAAATAATTTACATGCCAGTGGGTTAATTTACATTTACATGTATGTAATTTACATACATGAAATAATATACAACCCAGTGGGTTAAAGCCTCTGTCTTCAGCTCAGGTCATGATCTCGGGTCTTGGGATCGAGCTCCACATTGGGCTCTCTGCTCAGCGGGGAGCCTGCTTCCCTTCCTTTCTCTCTGCCTGCCTCTCTGCCTACTTGTGATCTCTGTCTGTCAAATGAATAAATAAAATCTTAAAAAAAAAAAAATTTACATGCCAAAAAATTGACATTTTTTAAGTGTACAATTAAGTGATTTTTAGTAAAATTACAGTTAACGCAATCACTATAATCAGGTTTTATAACATTTCTGTCCCCTTAGAAAGAACCCTTGCGTTTGATTGGCAGTTAGTGTCTCTTCTGATTCTCAACTTCAGGTGACCACTCTGTATATAGGCTTTCTGTGTAGTAGATTTGCCTTTTCTGGAGATTTTATAAAATCATGCCAAATGTAGTTTTTTGTGGCTAGCTTCTTTTACTTAGCGTAATATTTTCTAGGATCCACCATGTTATGAGAACTTTAGTCCTCTCCTAGTGTAGTAGTCCGTTATGTAGATATACCACATTATGTTTATCCGTTCGTCTGTTGATGGACATGGTTTCCACTTTTTGACCATAGTGAGTTATGGCCCTGTGAACGTTGGAGCAGAAAGCTTTGTGTGGACATACATGATTTCTTTTTTCTTGAGATAGCTAGGAGTGGAATTGTTGGGTTGAACAGTAAAAATTCATGTTTAACTTCTTAAGAAGTTGCCACTGTTTTCCAAATAGGTTACATCCTTTTATATTCCCACTGGCAATCTATGAGGGTTCCACTTTCTTTATCGTGTTGTCCTTCTCTTTGTAGCAATTCTAGTGGATGTGATGAAGTGTTTTTATTTTTTATTTTTCATTTATTTATTTTTTAAAAAGATTTTATTTATTTATTTGACAGACAGAGATCACAAGTAGGCAGAGGCAGGCAGAGAGAGAGGAAGGGAAGCAGGCTCCCTGCTGAGCAAAGAGCCCGATGTGAGGCTCGATCCCAGGACCCCGGGATCATGACCTGAGCCGAAGGCAGAGGCTTTAACCCACTCAGCCACCCAGGCGCCCCATGAAGTGTTTTTAATTTGCATTCCCTAATGACTTAATGATGTTGAGCATCTTCTCATGTTCTTACTGGCCAGTCATTTATCTTTTTAGGTCAAAATGTGTATTCATATCTTTTGTCCACTTACTTACCTTTTTATTTTGAAATAATTATAAAACACAGGCAGTTGCAAAATAGTAGGGGGGTAGTCCTGTGTACCCTGTACTGTTTATCCCCCAAGGGTAACATATAATTATAGTACATTATCAAAATAAGGAACTTGGCATTGGTACAATCCACAAACCTTATTCAGATTTCATTAGTTTTACGTGTCCTCATTTGTATGTGTTTATAATTCCATGAAATTTTCTCATGTGTAAATTTGTGCAAACACCACAGTCAAGATATAGAACTTCTTTATTACCTCGAAGATGTCCCTCCTTTATAGTCCCGTACACTAAACCCACCCACCCCATCCCTAACTCCTAGTGACCAGGGATCTGTTCTCCATTTCTAAAATTTTTGTCATTTGAAGATGTTACATAAATGGAATTATACAATATGTAACCTCTCAAAATCGGCTTTTCCCAGTCAGCATAATACCTTAAAGATCACTATAAGTTGTTGCACATATCAGTAGTTTGTTTCTCTTTTTATTTTACTATTTAGCTGTGTAAAGTTTCAGGAGAGTAATGATAAAACTCAGCTCATCTTTGGGTCCATCACCAACATACATGCAAAGGATGCAGCACCAGTGGAGGTAAATGCAGGCACATTTCTTGAGAGTTGAAAATCATTATGTTTTATAATTTGCACAGATTGGCAAATAAAATTTTTGTCTTTCTCTCAGAAGATCGATACCATGCTGGTCCTTGAAGGCAGTGGAAACCTGGTGCTGTACACAGGAGTGGTTCGGGTAAGTAGTAAGTAGCCTTTCATCCTTTTGTAGGACCACCTCCTTGATTATTATTATTATTATTATTATTATTATTTTAAAACATTCTTTTTTAATGATTTTATTTATTTATTCATTTGACAGAGGGTGATCATAAGCAGGGGAAGTGGCAGGCAGGGGCTGAGGGAGAAGCAGGCTCCCTGCTAAGCAGAGAGCCAGTGCGGGGCTCAACCCCAGGATCCTGGGAGCATGACCTGAGCTGAAGGCACTTAACTGACTGAGCCACCCAGGCGCCCCTGATTATTATTTTTTAATGTGAGTTTAGTTTAATATTTAATATTAGTGACCTAATATTAAATTTGGTTGTAGAATTTGGCAGAAGATTTTTTTTTAGTTGAAAATGAAGTTCCCGCCCAGGAAAAAGAAGAAAGAAAATCAAGTCTCCAGTTAGGTTGGTCCCAATTTGGAGGCCTAGGACTCATTGCCATTAGATGGATTGGTGCTATCTGGCACAGATGGGGACTCATTAATTAATATAGGTAGATTATTTAAAAAAAAATATATATATATAAAATAAATGAGTAAATCTTAAAAAAAAAGAAAAACAAAAGTTAACCTGAAGTTTTATAAAGAATATAGTTTTGAAATTGATGTATGGGTAGCTTTGTTAAGTCTCAAGGTTTTTATAAAGTTTCATTAAATGTGTAGTGTGTTCACCATATAGTTTTTTTTTAACAGTTGTGAAATTTATATACAGAATTATGTAAATTTTTAACAATTTAGATTGCAAAATTTAAATAGATATACACAGTTTGAAGACTAATGAAGTGGCCCTGACAGTGACCACTGGCCACCAATCTGGGCAGTATCTTTATTGTCTGCAGGGTGCTGTTTCCTTACTTACATCCTCATCTCCCACCTCCCCCTGGATAGACTGACTTTTTGCAATAAATCTTGTTTGTTTGTTTTTTATTTGGAAAGCTTTTCATTGTTTATTGTCATTTACTGAGTTAAAGAAGTGGCAAGAGTGGACATCCTTGTCTTGTTTTTGATCTTAGGAGGAAAGTTTCAGTCTGTCACTATTAAGTCTGATGTTAGCTCTAGGTTTTGTTTTGTTTTGGGTTTTTTTAACATACTCTGTGTACATTGAGGAAAATCTTGTTTTTATTACAAGTTTTTTTTGCAGTTATGTACATGTCACTAAGGAGTAAATTGTTTAGTTTTCCTTAAATTTGAATTTTTATATAAAGGAGATATACCATATGATCTTCTCTGGACTTCATTATTTTGCTCAACATTATTACTTATTTTTAGATTTATCTATGTCCATGTGTAGCTGTATTTATTCACTGTTCTCTAGTAGTCCATTGTATGGTTATACCAAAACTTTTACCATTTTATTGTCACTGGGGGTGTTTGTGTTGCTTCTGCTGTTTCCTCTAGTAATGCTTTAAAAAAGTTCTTACACATGTCCCTTAACCTTCAGAGTATATGCATGTTCAATTTGGCCACGGGGGGTGGGGCACCAAATTGTCTTCTAGGATGTAGGTTGTACCAGTTTATAATATGTCCCCTTAATCCTTACATTCAACAGTGTACGAGAGTTCTGAATGCTGCTTTATGTAGCGTTTAGATTGGTGCCTTGTTAGAGTCAGGTGAGAATGGAAATCTAGGCTCCCCACTTGGACTTTGCTGACAGGACTGAGATGTAGGACACAGTTTTTCCCATGGTGATTTTTTTTGTTTGTTCGTTTTAAGATTTATTTATTTGTCAGAGAAAGCGCAAGTGGAGGGAACAGCAGGCAGAGGGAGAGGCAGGCTTCCCACTGAGCAAGGAGCTTACTGTGGGACTTGATCCCAGGACTCTGGGATCGTGACCCAAGCCGAAGGCAGACGTTTAACTGACTGAGCCACCCAGGCATCCCTTTCCCATGGTGTTTGTCTGGAGTAGATCACTTATTGTCTAAAAGTTTTCGATCTTGTTAAGCTATTCCTTTCCTAATTTTTTTTGGCCAAGGAGAGCGGTATTTCTGGGACTGTTTTTTTTTTTTTTGTTCGCTCTTACTGAGATTGTATCTGCCCCAATTTCTTTGCTACCCAGAGGCCAGCTTGATGAACTGAGTGGTGTTACAGATCAGTGTTTAGTTCTTAGATCTTTTACTGTGTCATTTTTGGTCAGTTTCACACATAGCTCACTCAGAGGTCTGCCCAGGATTTCATACACATATTTAAGAAATCCTTCTCTTATTTCCTTTCCGTTCTTCCTCTCACTTCCTAGGTGGAACAGAGAGGGGTTACTGCCTTGTTACTGCAGGGTGGTGATGGAACACAGTGCTCCACCCATAATTTCTGTGGAGGACAGAAGGGGAGAGGTATGCTGCCTTACTATTGTAGAGTAAGGATGAAAGCCAGTGTTCCTCCCCCTGCACCATGGGGAGGTGCAGAGGGGCTGCCTCTTGGCTATGAAAGCAGCAGTGGTCTGTCCATAGTCTCTGCACCTGCAGTGCCTGATGAGGAGGGGAGGAGATAACCACCTAGTTACCACCATGCAGAATAGGCCTGGCCCACAGTCCTTGTGCTGAGGGAGGGACGCCACCTATTCCTTGCAGAGGGAATGATAGAACTCTGCCCATAGACTCCAGACCACAGCTCCTGATACAGAGGAAACTGAGGGCTGTGGCTTTTTTCCTAGTGTTTACTGGAGTGGGGCAGGTATGTTGAAGATGTCTCTGTCTTGCTTCGTCCCTCTTTTCCTGACATTTTTCTAAAAAGAGCAAGGTTTCTCTTGGTTTGCTTCTGTGGCCATTTCTGGGTTGCAGGCCCCTTGAGAACACAAAAACTAGTTATGGGAAGAGTGAAAGAAACAAAAACACCTAGGGAATTCATAGGTTATTTCTGGTTCTCAGGTCCCTAGCCAGTGTCTTCTTTTCCTCAGCTTTCAGAGTCTTCCATTACATTATAAATTTTGTGCAGATTCTATTGTAAATAGTGGGGGGGATAGCATGAAATGTGCTTACTCCATATTTTCATTAACTGGAGGTCTCTCATAGCTTATTCTATTTTTTTAAAAAGATTTATTTATTTATTTGAGAGAGAGAGCATGAGCAGGGGAAGGGGTAGAGGCAGAGGCAAAAGCAGACTCCCCACTGAGCAGGGAGCCTCATGCAGGGCAATGTGGGGCTGGATGCAGGGCTCAATTCTAGGACCCTGGGATCATGACCTGAGCCGAAGGCAGACACTTAACTGACTGAGCCACCCAGGCGCCCTCTTGTAGCTTTTTAAAAACTTTATATATACTGTTTTTCACCCTCATTTTATTTTTTAATCCTGAGGATTTTGTTTGGGTAACTTTGTAATTTTATTAGTTTTGGGGTAATATATGGACATAAATAAGGATTTTGTTAGAATTTCTCTTGAGTTCTGATTGTTTCTTTTGAGTCTTATCAGAGTTTTCAGCCCGCGTGGATCTGAACTTCTGTTGTTTTTCCTGAGAACCTCATGAATAGCCAAAATAAGGGGTCAACTCACTCTTCTAATGAAGAATATACATAAAGTTTTTTGAGGAAATATTTGAGAGTTTATGAGGGAAGAAGGCAGATTATGAGCTCAAGAGCACAGTTCGGATTACATTGGATTTACTATCTGGAGCATTACCTGCATTTTTTTTAGCCCCTTGAAAGTAATTGATGTTCATTCTTTCTGACCGGAGATGTCATCAACAAGATTGCTGCTTATAGTTTCAGAATGCTTAGTGTCCCTGCTGTCTTTACCACCAATATGGTAGGAAAATGCATCATATCTGGGATCTTGTATTATGTTCTGACTTTATTAGCATTCACCCACTTTCTTATGCCAGAATAAGTCCTCAGTAATGAAGAAAAGGAATCAGACCAAGAAAAATTGTACCAAGATATTTGTAGGGGATGGTGGAATTACTAAAATTTTAGTTCTTCTAAATTCATTTTTTAGATGTGTTCGGTGTGTGTACAATTTAGAATATGAAAAGAAATTTATGCTTATGTGCCATAACATTTTATTTAAGGATATGATACATTAAAGCCAATATTTTTTCCCACATCGTTTTATTGCTTAAAGGTGGGAAAGGTTTTTATTCCTGGACTGCCAGCTCCTTCCCTGACAATGTCTAACACGATGCCTCGGCCCAGCACTCCACTTGACAGTGTCAGTACTCCTAAGCCTCTTAGTAAACTGCTTGGATCCTTGGATGAGGTGAGTAATGAATTAGGTGTTGTCTAAAATTAGAGACTCTCTCTTTTTTTAAAAAGAGTTTATTTATCTGTCAGAGAGCACAAACAGGGGGAGGGGCAGGCAGAGGCAGAGGGAGAAGCAGGCTCCCTGCTGAGCAAGGAGCCCAATGTGGGACTCAATCCCAGGACCCTGGATCATGAGCTGGGCTGAAGGCCGATGCTTAACCAACTGAGCCACCCAGGTGGCCCTAGAGACTCTTACTCATAGGAAACAAACAGAGGTTTTCTGGAGTGGATGGGGTAGGGGAATGGGTTAATTGGGTAATGGACATTAAGGAGGGAACATGCTGTAATGAGCACTGGGTATTATATAAGACTGATGAATCACTGAGCTCTACTTCTGAAACTAATAATGCACCGTATGTTAATTCAATTAAAAAATACTTAAAATTTAAAAAAGTCAATAGTGTTTTAAAGAAGTTTGGTTCAAATATTAGTTCTTTCCATGGTTAACTTTTTTCTGTCTTAAAAATGACAGACTTACAAGTTCAGATAATACTTGTTAGAGTATGTATGTTTTCAAACACAAATGATTCAGTAAACTTACTGATTGCCCTTGTGATGTGTAAGGTACTACAAAGATGAGAATGAGACATTCTTTTTCATCTAGGAATCTCATAATTGATTTGGGTGGAATAAGTGTAATGCTGCATGAGAAATTATAATTTAAGGTAGATTATTAAGACTTAGGAATGAGGAATAGAGAGTGCCACAGCAGATTTGCTGATAGAAAGATATATCCTGATGTGTTGATGTGGCAGAACCAGAAGCTTGTATCTGAGGGGCATGTTTAAGTTGGTTTGGACCTTTACGATAAGTAGGATATCTATAGATTAAAAGGGGCATTCAGAGCAAAGAGGAATCTCATGGGAAATGAGTGTGGAAGCAGGTAAGTGCAGAACATTTCTTTGGAATATTCATATTTCCATCATGTAGCATGTAAGACTGTGGAATGAATGAATGCTTAATAAAAGTACAAGTCGCTTCTTGGGTGGGGCAGGGCAGGGGATGGGTAATAATAACTTGCTTTTGAGTGTTTTCTATGTGCTAGGCACTTTTCTAAAATGTTTTATATGTATTAACTCATTTAATCCCTTAGAATGGCTTTGTTGGGAAGATACTGCTCCCCATTTTACGAACGGGTACATAGAGATAAAAGGTTACTTATCTAAAGTCATATAGCTAGTAAGTGTTAGAGTTGGGATTTAGACTCTAACATGTTCTTAAAGGCAGAAAGGATGAAAAGGTTTTTATTCTGAATGCTATCACCAGAACATTACAGGTTTTTGAGGATGGAGTTATGAATATTAGGCTCTGTGTTTTAGATGTTTATTTTAGGACTTAGACCAAAGAGATTCCAAGTGTTGTTTTCTGTGCTAGTTCAAGGGGCATGAAGAGGATCCGAGGAGTTACGCCAGCATATTGGAAAGGAGGGGAGTGAGATGAGAGGTCTGGAGAAGTGGAAATGGCAGAGTCTGTTAGCTGATTGGTTTTGTGCTCTGCTGGGGAGAGGTGTTGGGGAACAAGGCTCAGAGTTCTCTGAGCAAGCTGGGTGGACACCCATGCTTACCAAGTTAGGAAGCCTGGAGAAAGGGCGTCTGTATTTGAGAGACGTTTGGGTGCAGGTGTTTAGGGGCAGTTGAAAGTGAAGGTTGGTGCAAGCAGTTTTATTGGTCAATGTCTAGGCCTTGGTTTTGTTTTTTAATATGTGCATTATTGAGTTTTTTTCCCTTAAAGCAGGACATTTACAGAATTTTCAAAAGGCAGCTGGAGAAGTGTCAGAGTTTCGTGTGATTTGGAGGAATTTTTGTCTTTTTTTTTTTTTTAAAGATTTTATTTATTTATTTAATAGAGATCACAAGTAGGCAGAGGGGCGGGGGGGAGCAGGCTCCCGCTGAGCAGAGAGCCCGATGCGGGGCTTGATCCCCAGGACCCTGAGATCATGACCTGAGCCGAAGACAGAGGCTTTAACTCACTGAGCCACCCAGGCACCCCAATTTTTGTCTTTTGTAATGTAAAATGGTTCCTAACTTTCTTAGAATTCCATTAGCCCAGGAATGATTAGCGTCTTTGTGGTAGCCATGGAGTCACAAGATCATTATATTATACATTAGCCGATGACTTCCCACATCTCTGATTGATTGTGCAGTTAGACTTAGATTCAGGACCAGTGGAGCTCAGCTCTCTTTTTGTGGCAGCTGTGGGAGTAGAAGCTTGAATATAATAAATAATCTTATACTTCATGGGCTGTCAGTATTGATAAGATATTCACTTAGAGATGTCCTGTGATTTGAATTATGGAATTACAAAAAGGGTCAGTGTTTAGGACTCAATCTAAAGCCTGAAGCATGTGTATGTAATTAGTAATTAAGATCATTTAAGTTTTTTGTTTGCATGTCTACAATTGAGCAAGTAAATATTCTTATATGTTCAGAACAAACATTTGGCTGTAGGGGAGATACCACTATGTACCTGTCTTGTTTGTTTGCTTTCTCATTGCTCTCCTTTCACTCTGGGATCTTAGATCCTCAAGTCATCTCTGCCTTGGCTGCCTCAAGTTACAGTTTATGTATCTAGCTCTGTAAGATTGCCAGAAGTGTTGCTGTCTCTTCTTCCTCTTAGCACTGGCCTTCCTTGCACACTCAGTGTATCCATACTCCCTACCAAATCCCCACCAAATGTCGCACATGCCAAGACCAGGAAAAGTGGTGTAAGAATTTTGGACCATCTCCCCGTGACTCCCTTCTTTCTCTCCTGGATCTTGGCCGCTTAGGTCTAGGTTGTCTCCATAGCTCTCCAGTGCTATTGATCAGATGTTTTACTATTTTACTGACTTTTTCAAGTTGCTTTGGGTGAAGATCTTGGTCTGCTGTAAGGTGGTTCATCATACTGAGAACAGAATGGCTTTAAATCATTATGTACAGTTGTTAGACCATGTACCAAAAGAGCTTTCTTTATCCTTAATTCCTCAAAAAATATTTCATCTGTGTTGTATTTATAACTGTTTACAGGTGGCTCTGTTCTCCCCAGTTCCGGAACTGAGGGATTCTTCAAAACTTCATGATTCTCTCTATAATGAGGACTGTACTTTCCAACAGCTTGGAACTTACATTCATTCCATAAGAGACCCTGTCTGTAACAGGGTAACTCTGGTAAGTATATTTATTTTTAAAAGATTAGGTAGCTCTCTAAGAAATACGACTATCATTTCAAATTTGTCAGGATGGAGAATTCTGTTTGCAATATGAAAACATATTTTTTATGATTTTTAAAAAAAAATGTCTTTTTTGGTACTATTTTACTTTAAAATAATTTGAGGTAATTCTGCTTACCTTTCTACAGTTGCTTTATTATTAAAAATTATTAAAAAACAAATCTTATTTAAATAGTTGAATTTTGGGCATCTGGGTGGTGCAGTCAGTTAAGCAGCTGCTTTCGGCTCAGGTCATGATCTCAGGGTTCTGGGATTGAGTCCCACATCGGGCTCCCTCCTGAGTGGGGAGTCTGCTTTTCCCTCTTCCTATGCCTGCTGCTCCCCCACTTGTACTCTCTTTCTCTCTTCGTGTCAAAGAAATAAGTAAAATCTTAAAAAAAAAGTAGTTAAATTTTATATTAATAGGATTTTTGTCTTTTTTAAAAAAGATTTTATTTATTTACTTGACAGATCACAAGTAGGCAGAGAGGCAGGCAGAGAGAGAGAGGGGGGGAAGCAGGGTCCCCGCAAAGCAGAGAGCCTCACATGGGGCTTGATCCCAGGACCCTGAGCTCATGACCTGAGCCAAAGACAGAGGCTTAACTCACTGAGCCACCCAGGTGCCCTAGGATTTTTGTCTTTTCATTAAAAGTTAATCTTTTTTAGTGATGATGAGTCTTAGTGTATGTATAAAAATTAAACATTTCATTAAAACAAGAACTTTTAGAAATGCTATTTATTTGTTTGTTTTTAAATATTTTATTTATTTATTTATTAGAGAGAGCATAGCAGGAGAGAGGTAGAGGGAGAAGAAGAAGCAGACTCCTCGCTGAGCTGGGTGTCCAACCCAGGGCTCTAATCCAGGACTCTGAGATCATGACCTGAGCCAAAGGCAGATAGATGCTAACACGGCTGAGTCACCTAGATGTCCCTGGAAACGTTTTTTAAATAAGGACATTTACAGTTTCTGAAATTTGAAAGTATTCAGTTCTGTTTGAAAAATATTTTTCATTTATTGTATGAATTTTACTTTGACAGGCAGTATTATAAAGCATAGCCATTTTTAAGACATTCAGAAACTTAGAATGCACAAATTCTAATTATGTGCTCCTGTTTGTTTTCATTCTTTCCCCTAGGAATTGAGTAATGGCTCCATGGTTAGGATCACTATTCCTGAAATTGCCACTTCTGAATTAGGTATGATTGAAGTCAGACCTCGCTTCTGTGTATTCTCAGTTTGATTGCTAAGATTTGTAGTATTTGCTGATTTGCAATAGTAATTGGGATTTTAAAAAATTTGCTGTTTTTGAAGCTGTGGGATTGAGGTTTTTACTTAGCGGAGAAGCTGTGAAGAGCTGGGGATCACTTTTCAGTGTCTACTCCATATGTGCTCTAAGACTGGGGTATACTTGAAGGATGTACTTGCTCTGTTTCTCTGAGATTTCTTACGTTGAAGAAGGCCATGCAGTGAGCAGATATGCCTCTTGCAAGAAAATCTGAGAAACAAGGAAGCCTAAGCAGCTAAAACATCTTTTGGCATATGTGGTGGCTTTAAATCATAAGAGACTCTTAATCTCAGGAAACAAACTGAGAGTTGTTGGGGGGTGGAGGGAGGATAGGGTGGTTGGGTTATGGACATTGGGGAGGGTATGTGCTATGAGTGCTGTGAATTGTGTAAGCCTGATGATTCACAGACCTGTACGCTTGAAGCAAATAATACATTATATGTTAATTTAAAAAATAAATAAATATTTCTATTGTTAGATAAATTGAGAAATTAACATAATTGCCTTAATTGAATAAAACTCAGTGTTATAGTCAAAATACAGTCAGGTGTATTTTATTAAAATGAGAGTCTGTTTAAGTTATTGAAACACAATTTGAAAAATACTAGGAGGATATTTCTGAATAGAGAATAGTAGAACTTCAGAATTGGAAGGATTTATCAACAGTTGTAAGTTAAGAAAACAGTGTATAAGAAAATTCACAACATCTGTTAGTTTCAAAATCTAAGTGGCAAAGCAAAGCATTGGCAGATTGAGTGGTTTCTGGAATTTGGTTAAGTAGGATAGAATGACTTTTTTGTTCTAGGAACTGTCTTTCATTGGTGTGGTAAAATGATACTGTGAGAAGATGTAGAGATACCTTGCTTTTCTAAGAGGTATTTAACCAAGTAATTTCAAGGGCATATACCTCAGAAGTATAAACCTAAACAAAAAATATGAAAACAGATAACAGACTAAATAAAATAAAATGAAAGCAGAGTAGAATCTTACTCTCTCATAGCCAGATAGAAGTCACATAAGTTTCTGTACTTTGCTCTGAACTTTCTGTACTTTACTTATAAACATTCCTCAACCCCTTAGGCAGTATCTGGTTTACACTTGTTCTGGATTCAACCATGACAGACTTGGTTATTTGATTTTTCTAGCATTTATTCTATTTGACTCTAATCTTTGCTGCAACATAGCAAATTGATGAGAGAGGATATGCTGCTGAGGATGGGCCTGGTGACAGTGGGAAGGGAAGAAGAGAATCCTCTAAAGAGAAGATGTGAGAATACAAAAACATTGCGGTTTGAGGCCACTTAACTACGAAAAGCAGACCCAGGCCTCTTCAGCACAGTAGCATGATAGTGTAGCACTGTGACTGATATTTCTTCAGCACTAAGGAAGTCACTAAGGAAGGTATAAATTATGTAATATTGGCTGATCCCATGATGTAAAATATTTATAAAGTAAATGGTGTCAGAAATAATTAAAAATTATAAAATTTTGGTTAGCAGGGATGTTAACTCATTGAGACCATTGTTTAATGATAGTTAAGCATTGCTATTTGAGGTTGCGTATTTTGAGTATTGAATATTTACTGAAGTATTTCAGCAGTATCTTATATGAACTTATTCATGTAGAAATTACATGTTTTTGATAGAATGTCCTTTATTGTCCAAACTAGAGTATTTCTGAGAGGAAAACGGGGAGCTGTTAGTAATTGCTAGGGCGGTGGGTATAAATCAGTTCTGTCTCAGGCTAATCTGGACTGTTGGTTGACTTATTTCTGATCCACAATCAGTGAGCGAGAGGAAAGCTGCCCTGAAACCTTTTGCAGTTCCTGTTGGATTCAGCAGTTGGTTTAAGTTTCAGGTGATCAGCTGGGAATGTTTTTGTCCCACTGGGTCTGTAATGACAGTTCTCTTTACAGAGTAATTGGCATTTACACTGAAGTAGTTAAAAAAAAAAAAAAAACTTTCTTATTGAAAGGGGAAAAGAAATGCATATGGGAAGCATACTAAAATTAATCTTTGCTTTTAATAGTGCAAACATGTTTGCAAGCAATTAAGTTTATCCTGCCAAAGGAAATAGCTGTTCAAATGCTTGTCAAGTGGTACAGTGTCCACAGCGCTCCAGGAGGACCCAGTTACCACTCCGAGTGGAATTTATTTGTGACTTGTCTCATGAACATGATGGGTTATAACACAGATCGCTTAGCATGGACCCGAAATGTAAGTACATATAATTGTGTTTTTTTTCTGAGTTATCCTGTTGTTACCAATGTAATGTTTGCATAATTGGAAATATAGTATTTAGAGTACGTAACAAATCAATTTACTAATAGGTAGAATAGACCCAGGCCTCTTCAGCACAGTAGCATGATAGTGTAGCACTGTGACTGATATTTCTACAGCACTAAGGAAGTCACTAAGGAAGGTATAAATTATGTAATATTGGCTGATCCCATGATGTAAAATATTTATAAAGTAAATGGTGTCAGAAATAATTAAAAATTATAAAGTTTTGGTTAGCAGGGATGTTAACTCATTGAGACCATTGTTTAATGATAGTTAAGCATTGCTATTTGAGGTTGCGTATTTTGAGTATTTAATCACAAAGTAAAATAATAATAAGGCTTATTGTGTCTACCTATATGGTAAATCACATGTCTTTTAATATTTAAAGATTATATTTTACTAGTAATTATAATTACTGAGTTTTGTAACATGGGAGAACATGTTTGACTATAATTTCTCATTTCATCTTTGTAAAATGACTGGAAGTTATGCTAGGATTAGTAGTAATCATTTTGGTTTTATTAATGAAGAAACTGAATCACGGAGAGAACACAGACTGGTGATTTGCTCAAAACAGGGCCTAGACAGTGTCTTCTGAATGATGGCTTAGTGTTCTTCTCTGTAGTTCATATTGTTTTCACAACACAAATTGCTTAGTCTTAGGGGAGGAAGGTTTGATTTGAGGGCGATTTAAAGGACTTTAGTCTAAGTATCTACTCTGTTAATGATACAAAGCTGTATCCCTCATTCTATCCCAGAAGCTTTCTTATAGGCCTTTAACAAGGTTATTTACAAAAACCAGCAGAGTAGTGTTTTCAGTATTGGTGATTCCTTTTGGGTCTAGAGATAACTCCCAGGACAACCTTGCCTGGATTACTCTGAAGAAAATCACTCTAGAACATACTTACCTTTGTCTGGTAACTCAGCTGTACATTTTAGTCTCATAGTAGTAAATTCATTTAAAAAATCATTTTTTTCTTCATTATGACTGTACATTCTTACAGAGGAAAATCTGGAGAATTGAAGAATTAAGAAGAAAATAATTCTACTCAGATAACCACTCTGAACATCTTTGTATATTGCCATTTAGATAAACACGACAAATGAAAAATTCTAATATCATTAAAAATTCTTAGGAAACCCCCCCATTTTATCATCTTCATAATAGGTTACCAAGTGGTTTTATCATAATTAACCAACAACTAATAATGGAGCATTGTTATATCAGTTTTTTTTTCTCATTAGGAATAGTTTGCAAACACACATCTTATAGCCCTAGTCCTTTCCTAAGAATTTAACCTTAGAAGAGCTATTACTAGGTCAAATAATTTTTGAAAATGGTTGTCCAGTTGACATTCTCACTAGCTTTATTTAGAAGTGCCCATTTCAGCATAGTGATGATTTGTGGTATGGTGAACCTTCGCCAACTTAGTGAGACATTTTCTCTCATTCCTGTCTAAGTAAACGGGAATGGGCTTTTCAGATTCTCATTGGTCATTTATTTATATAGGCTCCATGCCCAGCATAGGACCCTGAGATCAAGACTTAGATGCTCCATCAACTGAGCCAGGCAGGAGCCCCTCTCATTGGTCATTATGGCTGCCGGTTTTTGACTCACATTTCATGTCCTGACCTGTTTCATTTTCTTCTCTGCGCAACAGTCAAAGTAATCCTGTCTGACAAAGTCAGGTCATGTTACTCTGTTCAGAATCCTCCAGTACCTTTCTTTCCTACTCAGAGTAAAAGCCAGAAGCCTGCAAGGTGCCATGTGACCCATCCCTCTCTTACCTCTCTCATCTTGTCTCCTCATCCCTGCCTTGCTCACACTGTCCCCACCACACTGGCATCCATTTCTCTTCTTAGAACACACCAAGTGTGTTCCTGCTTCAGGATCTTTGCACTTGCTATTAACTCTGGAGAAAAAGCCTTCCTCCAGACAAGACAAGCCTAGGTCTTTTTCAGGTGGCATCTCAGTCCAGCCTGCTCTGTCCATTCCATGTGGAATTGTTACTATTCCCCATACTTTATATCCCCTTTACCTGTTTTATTTTTCCCTTAGCACTAATTAAATATGCTGCATATTTTACTTATTTATGTTGTTTGTGTGTCTCTCTCTCTTCTAGAATGTGAATTTTATGTAAGCAGGGATTTTTGTTTAGTTTTGTTCACTGGCTCTAGGACCTGTAGTAGTGCTTGGCATAGATGGGATACTCAGTGAATTTGTTAAATGAATGCACTTTTACGTCTGAATGAGATACTGTTTTTAAGAATTTGTGTTTATTTTATCATATGGAAGAATTTCCCTCTGAAATTTCCTTGAGAAAAACCTTCCTGGTAAAATAGGGACAATTTTCTTATTTTAAACAGTTGCATGAAAACTACTTTATTCCACGTTTTCTCATTCTTCGTTAAATATGAAGAAATTGAGCCTTACTAGGAACTGAGGATTTCAGTAGTGCTTCAGCTTTTTGTGGTTGTTGTGTGTGACTGTGCTGTGGAACTCATTGATGAATACAGGTTCTTCTGCCCCATTCTCTGGCAGAGAGCCAGGGCCTCCCCTTAGGTTTCCCTGTTATGACGGAGCACCCACCATTTTTTCTTTTGTAAAGAGGGATGGGGCTCTCTGACTTATTTATTGGATAACAGTCCTAAAAGAAGGAATAAGGAAATCAGTTCTGAGGCTGAGTTGCTTCACATTTATTTATAGGACTGCATAATTAAACCCTTGCTATTCTTTTTTCCTTACATCAAAGCTCAGGATGAAATGGCCCTCAATGGCAAATCGTTTCCATTTTGCTTTGTTCAGATTTATTCTTTTTTGTTTTCATTTAAACAATGGTGGGGAGAGTAGGCAGTACAGAATTTTTGCCAATGACTAGTTAAATGATTTTTGGCATTTCTTTGGGCCTTCCTTAATTTACTGATGTGTTAGATGAGAGCACTGGGCTAGATTATGTTTCCTTCTGGTTCTTCCATTCTGTGAACAGTTGCATCTGGGGTTAGTGTTTTGTGTCCTTCAGGATGCCCATATTTTCATTAGTTAGAAGTTGAACGTCTGCTGAAGGCCAGGCGTGATGCCAGGCTTTTCAGATATGCATTAGGCAAGGTAGTTCCTCTTATGGAATTGAAGGTGTCAGGAGAAGGCAGATAAGTATTTTACATCAGGTTATGACAAAGGTCAGGGATTTACTACAGAAGTGTATAACAGGTAGGTAGCCTGCAGAATATTAAAATAATGAAAATAAAATAGATCCATATATGCTACAAAGAGGTATCCGTATCAGATAATTTCTGTTGTTTTCATAACCCTAGGTCTTGAAATGTGGTAACCATAGCAGGAATGAACATTCTTTAGACTGTGGTACTTAGAATATGTGTGAGAGAGAATGTTTGTATGTAGGTGTGCATGTATGTGCTAAATTTTGGTTGAAGCTTTAACTAAGATAGCTAACAGAAATGCATCCTTTGATTTTTACTCTCATCATTTTGTTTTTTTGATAGTTTTGTCTGTGAGTTGGATGTGTTTCTTTTGAATACTTCGTAAGAAAACCTTTTCTATTGATCAGTTTTAAGAATTACTCAGTTTAAAAAAGTACTTTATTCCATTTTATATTTAGTATTTAAATATCTTATATTTATTAAATATTAAAAATAATTTATAAAAATTAAAATATTTATATTTAAATATTCAGCTTTAAAAATTACCTTATTGCTATCTTTAGTTTTTTTTATAGAAATCAACTTTCATATCAGTGATATTGATTGATAAAATGTAAATTTTTTAAATAAGGCATTGGAAAATAGCCATTGTCATTTATGGGCTTATGGTTGATTCATTGGTAGTTCAGTGCCCATGTGAAGTAGCAGAGGTGGCAAAGGTGATGCGGGGGGAACCAAATAAGAGTAAACGTTGAGAAAAGTGCTTTTATATAACTGTATTAGTTAGGATAGGCTAAATATGATAGAAAGTTCTCAAAAGATATAATGACTCACACAATAAAAACATTAAGTCTTGCTCATATAACACTACTTAGCAGGTAAAGAGGCTGCACAGTTGTTAGGGACCCAGGCAGAGAGAGAGAGAGAGAAAGAGAGCACAAGAAGGGGCAGTGGCAGGCAGAGGGAGAAGCAGGCTCCCTGCTGAGCAAGGAGCCTGATGCAGAACTTGATCCCAGGACCCTGGGATCATGACCTGAGCCGAAGGCAGAGGCTTATCCCACTGAGCCATCCAGGCACCCCTTAACATCCACTTTCATTCATAGTTATGCTGTCACAGGGTCATACCTAACTCTGAGGGAGGCAGGGATATGTAGTGTGGCTGTGAGTCCCAGAGGAGGAGGAGAACTCTTTACTTTAAAGAGTAGCTACCTGCCTCTGCCCTAGAATTGTTAGCCTGTCCACTATAGACAGACTCTAAGTAAATGTCTGCTTGGTTCTGACATTTGGCTAACATTGGGTGTACTTAGCATATTTGGGATGTGGCTCAAGCTCCTCGTTCTACTAAAGCAGTGTTGATCTGTGTCATCACAGAAGTTGGGTTGGAAAGAAACCACAGTTGCAGTGCCTGTGAGCCGAGGCACTGTAGTAGGTGCCTTGCATATATGATTTCATTTCTTTTTCACAGCGACCTGAGAGGAAAAGTATTCATACCATGTTTTTCTGGATGAAAAAATAAGTTTTGGTGACTTTCTTTAGTTTCCATAATTCATGGAACTGATATTCGAATTAAGTTGAACAGCTAGCAGTGATAAATGTATATGATTTTATCTTTTTTGGGGTTGTCTTTTTCAGTTTGACTTTGAAGGATCACTTTCGCCCGTCATTGCACCCAAAAAAGCAAGGCCTTCTGAGACAGGATCTGATGATGTAAGCATTATTATTTCTTGCTACTACAAGTTCATTTTTGGGTACTCTTGTTGATTTGTGTATCTTTTAACACCTTTTGCTTTAATACTGTATAGCAGTTATTTTGAAGGTTGGATATGTTATGTTTTCTGTGGTTATTCATATACTTTTATCTTTAATGATCATCTAAAAATTACTGAACATAGGTAATACTGCATGATTTGAATTTGGATTTGTTGATGTTTTCCTGCTAATTAATCCTCTGATTTAGGTTCTCAATCATATTAGATTCCATGGTTATATTCTTAAGTGATAAAAAAAAAATTTTTTTAATTGAGGTATAGTTTACATAAATGAAATGCTCAGATCTGAAGTTTATAGTTTGATCAGCTTTGACAAATGAATACTCAAGTAACCCATACCCCTCTCAAACACAAAACATTTCTATTATTCTGTAAAGTTTCCATGTGCCATTTTTTTTTTAAAGATTTTATTTATTTATTTGACAGAGGGAGACATCACAAGTAGGCAGAGAGGCAGGCAGAGAGAGAGGGGGAAGCAGGCTCCCTGCTGAGCAGAGAGCTGGATGATGGGCTTGATCCCAGGACCCTGAGATCATGACCTGAGCCAAAGGAAGAGGCTTTAACCCACTGAGCCACCCAGGCGCCCCTCCAAGTGCCATTTTTAATCATTCCCTTTCTCTATTTTTGAAGCAACCACTGATTTGAATTGTGTCACTATAAGTTAATCTTGCCTGTTCTAGAACTTGGTAGAAACTAAATATGGTACATAATCTTTGGTATAAGGTTTCTTTGATTCAGCATGATATTTTTGAGATTCATCCCAGGCGTTGCAGATATCAGCACTTTGTGCCTTTTATCGTTGAGTAGTATGAATATACCATAGTTTGTTTATACATTCTGCTGATGGATACCTAGGCTATTTCCGTTATTTGCCCATTATAAATAAGGCCACCATCAGTATTCAGTGACAACTATCTGTGGACGTATATTTTCATTTCTTCTGGATAGATACCTAGCAGTGAAATTGATGGGTCCCAAGCTCATTATACTACGTTGCACTCTAATGAGTGATATATGAGAGTTCCTCTTGTTCTTCATCTTGGCCAACATTTGCTGTTGTCAATCTTTTTCATTTTAACCATTTGAATGTGTATAAAGTAATTTCTCTGAGGTTTTAATATGCCTTTTTCTCAGGACTAATGCTGTTAAACACTTCTTTATGTGCTTATTAGCCACTTACATATCTTTTTGTCAAGTTTGTGCTCAAACCTTTTACAATTTTTTAACTGGATTTTTAGAAATATTTATTGAGCTGTAGAAGTTCTTTATATATTCTGAATAAGAGTTCTTTGTTTTGTATATCTTAGTATATGGCTTAATAGTGTTTTTTAATGTGATTTTTTATTTTATTTAATTAATTATTTGACAGAGAGAGAGAGAGAGAGAGACAGTGAGAGAGGGAACACAAGCAGGGGGAGCGGGAAGAGGGAGAATGAGGCTTTCCGTTGAGCAGGGAGCCTGGTATGGGGCTTGATCGCAGGACCCAGGGATCATGACCTGAGCCAAAAGCAGACGTTTAACGACTGAGCCACTAAGGCACCCCTGAACAGATTTTTAAAAATTTTATTACTCTTTTCAATTTTTTACTTTTATGGCTTATTCTTTCTGTATCTGGTCTAAGAGTGTTTAAGTTAGAATAACACACTGTATTAAACCTTACAAAAGCATCAGTAAATTCCAAGACCTGAAAATAGCATAAACCATATTCTCAACACAATACGATAAATCAAAGTAGAAACCAAAACAGACTCAGTACTTGAAAAATGGAATACAATCAGTGTGAATATAAAATTCAGTTGATTATTAGGTTGTAATTGCAAGCCCCAGCATCTTATAAATAAATATACAAACTGAATACAAGTAGACTTCACTCCTTATCAAAACAGATCAGTGTAGTGGTCACTAAACTTGCCTATCTACACTTCCCACCTTTTATTCTTTACTTTTGGCCTCATAGGAAATCACCTAAGATAATCTTAATTTCTTCCTCAATCTCTATAAATAGTGGAATTCTTCTCTCAGTCTCTTTCCTAATACGGCACGACTTAAACTTTTCAAATGGCTTTTGAAGTGATTTGTCTTAATGTCTGTTGCTGGCATCTGGAAATTGCTTAGCTATTTTGATGTAGGTTTTAATTTTTTTCAACTTAATGTAAAAATAGAACTTGTATTGTTTTAATGATGACATTATAAGGAGGCATTATTTAAAAAATTAATATCTTCTTTATTTTCTCAGGACTGGGAGTATTTACTAAATTCAGACTACCACCAGAATGTTGAGTCTCATCTTTTGAATAGATCTTTATGTTTAAGTCCTTTGGAAGTTTCACAGATGAAGGATGAAGATTTTTCACAGAATCTCATTCTGGATTCTTCTACACTTCTGTTTACTCATATACCTGCAATTTTTTTTGTTCTTCATCTTGTCTATGAGGAGCTTAAGTTGAATACTCTAATGGGAGAAGGAATTCGTTCACTTGTTGGCCTTCTTGTTCAGTTGGCAAGGTAAGTATTATTTGTAGATCAGAAACTGCCAAGAGGTCCTGAGGTGACTTGATCTCAGCCATGAATATCATTTAGGAACCTTATAAATAAATTTCTGAAATCTACCTTTTCAGAAAACCAGAGCATTTTCTATAAACCACAGAAGTGTTTTAAGGTACTGCCTATGTAAAGCCTTGTGGGCTGTTACTGGGGTTCTTAGTCTTTGTCTTAAGATTAGTGGGAAGTCACAAAACTGTGTTAAATAATGGAGGTGACCTGTTCAGCTCTTCATTTTGACGAGATGACTTGGCACACTGTGGTGGGCGTTCTGTAACACCTGCTGTTTTGTAGTAATACCGAAATTCAAATAGGAGGTATGGTTAACATAATTGTAGTTTACATAGATGAATTATAATATTATGACCCCTATTTTAATGATGATGAAACTTGTCTAAGGTTGTTCCTAAGAACATGAATATTATTTGCTAGTTGAGAGTTCTTTAGCTGTGTTTTTGTTATCTCAGTCTGTGGTTGTCCCTGTCTTCGAGGCTCTTGTAGTGTATCCACAATAAGATTGTGTTTGGCACTGAATTCTGAAGGTCATATTTAGGTGCTGTTTCAGCCTTTGTGACCCCTGGTAATAAAGAAAATTGAATTTGAATTGAAATGTCAATCTCTGAATTAAGATTATAGCACATTTTCTAATTTCTATGATCTTCCTTTAAACTTTGAAATTCTTTTCTGAAATGTAGCAGTTTTAATTAATGGTCAGTTTCTCTTATGATGAATCATTACTATCATGAAAATTCATTTGTAATGAAATGACTTCCAAACTCTAACCATGGCTTTCTGAAATAAGTAACATTTTTATAATGTTTTACATTTTAAAGCTATTTTTTACATACATTTATTATTTAATCTTCAAAACTTCTGAGTGAGTGAGGGAGAATTTGCCTACTTCCTGGAAGAAAATACTGATGTTCATAGAGATAACTTGCTGAAGACAACAAAACTAACAAATAATAGAGGAGAAACTAGTTTTACCCCCATAAAAGTTACCTAGCAAAAAGTTTGAGTTGCATTTGTTATACTGGGCACTTCAAGGTCCAGAAATAGAATAAAAGGATTGTAGATTTGGTTATCTTCTTTGTCATAAGTTTTTTAAATTGAGAAGTTAAACCGATGAATCCTTTCTTTGGGGGAAAATACTACCTTTCTTGGGATTTCTTTTTTATATGCTTTTATTGTTTTAGGGATTTAAAATTGGAGCCTTATGTAGATCATTACTATAGAGATTACCCAACACTTGTCAGAACTACTGGACAAGTGTGCACAATTGATCAAGGTAAGTGTTTTTATCATTAAAGATTTTCTAAATGGTGAGTGATGTTTGCTTGTATTTTTATCGGTGAATAGCACTGTATTTCCTACCATTAGTCTCTAAGTCAGAGGTGATATCTTTCCATCAGGTAGATTTCAGTTTGTAGTGTTTGATCTCTGACTTATATAGTAAGAGATAACATTAACTTCTTCAGTGTGTGGGAAAAATTCTACCCATCCCCATGTGCTAAGGATGCTTTTGCCTTAGACTTGTCTAATCAGTAGCCAACAACCATCTGTTATTTCATACTGAAAATTCAGTTCCTTAGTTGCATAAGCCACATTTCAAACTTTCAGGAACCATATAGGATAGTGGCTGCCATATTGGATAGTACAGGTTATAGAACATTTCCATCACCACTCTACTGCCCTAGACCTTGAACTATAGGTACTCAAGATTGGAGCCCAGTTGTTAAGAGTGGAATCCTAGGTTTCTCTTGTTTTCTCACCGTTAGGATTAGGGTACAAAATTTTAGTTAAATTCTTTATGCCTTGAGTACAAGAATTTGTTAAATCTCCATCCAGAATGGGATAGTAGTCATTTGGTCTACATATTATAATACAGTAAAATATTTTCTGTGGCAGAAAACATGAAGTATTTTGGAGAAAAATGTTATTCTGTTTCCAAATGGCACATACTGCCCATTTTCCCTTTAGAATAAAATGGTATTGTGGGGTGCCTAGGTGGCTCACTTGGTTGAGTATCCGATTCTTGATCTCGGCTCAGGTCCTCATCCCACACTCAAGAGTTGAAGCCCCATGTTGGGCTCTGCACTAGTCATGGAACCTACTTAAAAAAAAAAAAAAAGGAATAAAATGGTATTATCTTAATGTATTCTTATTCTTAGATTCTTTATAAATGTTTGCTCTAATTCTAAAGGTCAAACAGGATTTATGCATCATCCATCGTTTTTTACTTCTGAGCCACCAAGTATTTATCAGTGGGTGAGTTCTTGTCTGAAGGGTGAAGGAATGCCTCCCTATCCTTACCTTCCTGGAATCTGTGAAAGAAGCAGACTTGTAGTCTTGGTATGTATTGCCTACCTTGTTTATTTTTCTTTCTCTTTTTATTTATTTATTTATTTATTTTTTAAAGATTTTGTTTATTTATTTGACAGAGAGAGATCACAAGTAGGCAGAGAGAGAGGAGGAAGCAGGCTCCCTGCTGAGCAGAGAGAGCCTGACGCAGGGCTCGATCCCAGGACTCTGAGATCATGACCTGAGCCGAAGGCAGAGGCTTTAACCCACTGAGCCACCCAGGCACCCCTATTTTTTTCTTTTTAAACTTAATTTTAAAAACTATACAAAAAATGAACTTTTTTTCATTTTGTGTACATTCTGTGAATTTCAGCAAATGCATAGTTTCATGTAGTACCACCATAATTAGTCCATAGAACAGTTTCGTCACCCCCAAAACTTCGCAGAAGCTTTCGCGATTCATCCAAGTTGTTGTCTGGTCTGCAGTTTGTTGCGTTTAATTGCTGAGTGCTAGTCCTTTGTGGGATATTTCACAGTGGTTACCCATTCACCCGTTGAAGATATTTCGGTTGGTCCCAGTTTTTGGCAGTTATGACTACAGCTCCTATAAACATTCATGCCTAGGTTTTTGTGTGAATGTAAATTTTCATTTCTTAAGGGTAGATATCCAGAGATAGGATTGATGGTAAAAAAAGTAAGTATTTTTCATTTTCCATTGGATAGTCTTTCCTGCATTGTTGAAGATTAGTTGACCATAGAGTTGAGTGTACATTTCTGAGTTCTCTATTCTGTTCCACTGATCTGTGTGTCTGTTTTTGTGCTAGCACCATACTGTCTTGATGATTACAGCTTTGTAATGAGCAAGAAGTCTGGAATTGTGATGCCACCAGCTTTGGTTTTCTTTTTCAACATTCCTCTGGCTATTCAGGGTCTTTTCTGATTCCACACAAATTTTAGGTTTATTTGTTCCATTTCATTGAAAAAAGCTGATGGTATTTTGATAGGGGTTGCATTAAATGTGCAGATTGCTCTAGGTAGCATAGACATTTTAACAATATTTGTTCTTCCAGACCATGAGTATGGAACGTTTTTTCCATTTCTTTGTGTCTGCCTTCATTTCTTTCATGAGTTTTCTATAGTTTTCTGAGTACAGATCCTTTGTCTCTTTGGTTAGGTTTATTCCTATGTATCTTATGGTTTCAGGTGCAATTGTAAATGGGATCAATTCCTTAATTTCTCTTTCTTCTGTATAGAAGTTGGTGTTGGTGTATAGAAATGCAACTGATTTCTGTGCATTGGTTTTATATCCTGGGACATTGTTAAATTCCTGTATGAGTTTAGCAGTTTTGGGTTGAAGTCTTTTGGCTTTTCAACATAAAGTATTATATCATCTGCAAAAAGTGGGAGTTTGACTTCTTTGCCGATTCAGATGCTTTTTATTTATTTTGGTTTTCTGATTGCTGAGGCTAGGACTTCTAGTACTGTGTTGAACAGCAGTGGTGATAGTTGGACATCCAATTCTTTCTTTTTTTTTTTTTTTAAAGATTTATTTATTTATTTGAGAGAGAGTGAGTGCAAGTAAGAGAGAGCATGAGAGGGTAGAAGGTCAAAAGGAGAAACAGACTCCTTGTGGAGCTGGGAGTTCGATGGAGGACTCCATCCTGGGAATCCAGGATCATGACCCGAGCTGAAGGCAGTTGCTTAGCCAACTGAGCCACCCAGGTGCCCTCCGATTCTTTTAATACCATTTGTTGAGAAGACTCTCCTTTATTGTTTTTGCACTTTTGTCAAAAATTAATTTGCCATAATATTGTGGATCTCTTTCTGGGCTTTCTATTGTAGTTCATTGATAGTATTGCTATCCACACTGTGTTGATTCCTGTAGCTGTATAGTGAGTCTTAAAAATTGGTTAGTGTCCCCAGGGGGACCTGGGTAGCTCAGTGGGTTAAAGCCTCTGCCTTCAGCTCAGGTCATGATCCCAGGGTCCTGGGATCGAGCCCCACATTGGGCTCTCTGCTCGGCAGGGAGCCTGCTTCCTCCTCTCTCTTTGGCTGCCTCTCTGCTTACTTGTGATCTCTGTCTGTCAAATAAATAAATAAATATATAAATCTTTATAAAAATTGATTAGTGTAATTACTCCTTTTGTTACTCTTCTTTTTCAAAATTGTTTTAGCTATTTTAGTTCCTTTGCCTTTTCATTTAAATTTTATGTTCAGCATATTTATAGCTACAAAAAAATTCTGCTTGAATTTTTTCTCCAAAGAAACATCTTTACTTACTTTAAAAAACTTAGTTCACTTTAAATAGTTAATACATGTCCAAGGTCAAACCTTCAAATAGAACCATAGGACGTTGGTAAGGGTGAGTCCCTTCTCCCAAGGGCAGTTGGCCTACAGGTCCTTTGTGTAGCTTTCCAGAGGTGGGGCCTTCCTAGGCTTATAGGAGAACCCCATGCTTTTGTTTCCTCCACAGATACTACCTGAATGTAAATGTCTTTGTATCCCACATCTTTTCCTTATTCTGCATTCTGCTTTGCTTCATGTTGAGAGAGGCTTCAGAGTCCCCTGTGGCTCTGGAACAGACATGTAAAATAGTGATTCTGCTTTTTTAAAAAAATGGTGGTAAAATCTACATAACATGATATTTATTATTTTAACTTTAAGTGTACAGTTAATTCAGTGGCATTAAATACATTCACAGAATATTAAGAGCAGGTTAATCCCAGAACTTTCACATCCCTTGATGCTTTTGTCGAGACATTTAAGTGAAACCACCAAATAAATACATTGGTCCTTTCCAACTCTGCTGAATGGGGGTAGACTTGGTATAGTCTCTAGCCACGAAGAGGAGCTAGAGAAATATGAATTTACCAAGTTGGTCAACCTCCAACTTAAATTATGTTAGTCAACTTATAGATACTCAGATTATGGCCTTTTTTTTTTTTTTTTTGGTTAAATAATGATGTCAGTTAGGTTCAGGATTATGTCATTTGCGATGCTTATATAGGATTTTTAAGATTCTTCAGCATTGTAGTAAAATTTTAATAGAATTGTGCTACTTTTTTCCAGAAAAAAATTAAAAGCTACTTGCAGGTACAACTCTTGGTGGTAGTAGCAAGTAGCAAATACTCAAAGGAGAACTTTGAAGGCCAGAGTGGAGAAGGGTGTGGGTTAGGGTTCACCTAACAGAAGCAATGCAGGTTTATGAGTAGAGAAAGTTTAGTAAATCTGCATAATGGAATACTACTCAGCAATAAAAAGAAACAAACCACTGCTGTATGCAGTAATGTGAATGAATCTCAGAGGCATGCTAAGTTAAAGAAGTAGGACACAGAAGATTACCTATTCTAAAATTCTCTTTATGCAACATTGTAAAATAGGCAAAACTGCAGGGAAGGAAAACTGGTGAGTTGTTTCAGGTGCCGGGTATAGGAGGAGTGGATTGACTACAGAGGCTATAGGGGAAGTTTTTGTGTGATGGAAATGTATATTGTGATTGTATTAGTGGTTATATTATTGTATAATGTTTGTCAGTACTCAGAGCTGTACTGGATGGATTTTCCTATACATAATTATATCTCATTCCTTTAACAAATAATTTTAATTTTCTCCTTTTGCAGAGTATTGCACTCTACATACTTGGTAATGAGAACTCTGTTTCTGAGGATTCCTCACAGTATTTATCCAGAATAACTATAGGTAAGTCAGTGTAGTGATAGACTTCCCAAAATGAATTTTTTCCAAAACAAATTTTCATAAATGTTGATATCAGAGTTGAAATTAAAAAATGAAAAACTTCCACATTGGGGAGGGTGTGTGCTGTGGTGAGTGCTGTGAGGTGTGTAAACCTGGCAATTCACAGACCTGTACCCCTTGGGATAAAAATATATTATATGTTTATAAAAAATAAAATTAAAAAAAAATCCAACACACACACACACACAAGAAAGAAAAAAAATAAAAACCAAAAACAGTAAAAAAAAAAAAAAAGAAAAGAAAGAAAAACTTCCTAAGTGTGTGTTTTAGAGGCCACATCTTGCCTCCTTTTTGAGATGGCCTCTTGTACTTTTGTAGCCTGCAGTCCACAGCTGATTTTCAGAGACCAGGAGTACTTTAGATTTAACAAGTTTTTTGTTTTCTCAATGAATGTAAAAAGGGTTAGGGTTAGTATTTCCAGTCTGCCAATGGACTGCTTATTTTGTTATTTTTTAGGAATTGTTTGTGAATTTTATTTCCTAATATCTTCTACATGTTATATGTTTGCTTTATGAGGATGACTATCTAAGTAAAATTTCATTTTGTTGCCTTTTAGCCCCTCAAAAGTCACAAGCAGAACAAGAAGAAAACAGGTGACTTTTGTTCAGATTGTGCTTGTATATTAAAAATAGAAAGCACTATTGTATTTTACTGTTGAATAACTTCATGTTTCATTCCCTTACAGGTTTAATTTCAAGCATTCTACATCAGTTTCTAGTCTAGCTGAACAATTAGTTGTCTGGATGACTAATGTAGGTAAGGTAGTCCTTGTTACTTTCTACGTGTCTTTGAGATGCTAGTGAGAGCCACCTGCTTTCCCCAGACACGTCCTTGTTAGTAGGCCCTGTTTCCTCCCAGTGAGCTAGAACTGGGTGGCAGGACAGGGGCTCTCACTCTGTGTAAGTGTCCCGCAGGACCAAGATTGTGGCCCATCAAGCACAGTTCCTTTCCCTGACATTGTCACAACTTCCATATCATAATCCTGCTATATCAGCTTTTTATCTCTCACTGGGTAATTTGCCTCTTATTTGCTTATTTGCCTCTCACCTTAGAGCAGTCAAAGCTGTGACTCTGCAGATTGGCCTCAGAATGGAGGACTGTAGTTCTTACACGTTCAAACTTAAAGCCATTGTAGTGCTCACATATCAGAAGGGAGGATTTCTGGCAAAATCGAAAAGTAATTATACAGACATTTCAGGGTGCTTCTGAAGAATATAGGTTAGTGATTTAGGCTCCAAGATGAGGATACAGTTGGGAGGGAGGGAAAGGGAAGAAAGGAGTTCCTTATTCCCTTTTCCCAAAGCTGGTGCTCTTAGGCTTTAAATGGAGTAAAATACTAGACTTTTTTTTTAAGATTTTATTTATTTATTTGACACAGAGAGAGAGAGAGAGAGATCATAAGTAGGCAGAGTGAGAAGGGGAAGTAGGCTCCCTACTGAACAGAGAGGCCGATGTGGGAGCGCCTGGGTGGCTCAGTGGGTTAAAGCCTCTGCCTTCGGCTCAGGTCATGATCCCAGAGTCCTGGGATTAAGCCCCTCATCAGGCTCTCTGCTCAGCAGGGGGCCTGCTTCCTCTTCTATCTCTGCCTGCCTCTCTGCCTACTTGTGATCTCTGTCTGTCAAATAAATAAGTAAAATCTTTAAAAAAAAAAAAAAAGAGGCCGATGTGGGGCTTGATCCCAGGAACCTGAGATCATGACCCGAGCCGAAGGCAGAGGCTTAACACACTGAGCCACCCAGGTGCCCCTAGAAATTTTTTTTGAAAATGAAGAACTAAGAAAAACTTTAAATTATGGATATGAAGATATAAAAAAATGGCAGTGTTCTAGAATAGTATGTTATAAAGTAATGAATATTACAGGATGTCTGAATTCTTATTTAAAGAATATTTTAAATGATTTAGTTTTTGCTTTTATTTTGTATGCTTCCTTGGAAAATTATAATAATTGTCATATAAAATTATAGGTAGGATACCTATGCTGAAAAGTATTAGATAAGCTAGTTATATTTGTATACTGTATAATATTTAGTGGAAGTGTTACAAGGAAACAGTTTTACCTCAGTAATTAACTTTCAGTATTAATAAATAATATATAATAGTATAAAATTTAGAAAGTCATTATAAGAAAAATAAATTTTTATATGAGGTTCTGAAAAATTTTAAATATGAATGTATCGAGTGTGTAGAAAATAATAGTAAGGTGAACATTGTTGTATACTGGTTACCTACCATTAGAAATAGAACATAGCTAGTGTACTAGAAGGCCCTGCATCTCTGCTCCACATGTAATCTTCCTCTCACACACCTTCCTACTACCCATAATCACGGCCTTACCTAAATTTTGTATTAGCTCTTTTTTTTTTTTTGTAGTTTCATCATCCGTGTTGTATGTCTTTGAACTTCATATAAATGGATATAGAGATAAATTTTTTTTTCACTCACTTCTTCCATGTTGACTTGTGTAGCAGTAGGTCATTCATTTTCACTGCTACATACTCCATTGTTTGACTATAGCACTGTTTATCCATTCTGTTGATGAGAGTAGCTGTTTCCTCCCTTCCCTCTTTTTGTCATAGTGAATAGTGTTGTTACTGAATGTTTTAATAGTTGTGTCCTGGTGCACTTGTGTACAAGTTTCTGTTACGCCTATTAGTGGACCATAGAGGTGGACCTATCTGTACCTGCCATGTGTTTTCCAAAGTGATTGTACCATCACCAGCTGTGGGTGGGAATTTATATTGCTCTACATAGTTGCCAACACTTTCTGTTGATTTACTTTAATATTGGTCAAGTGAGTGTGAAATTATAATTGTAGTAATTTTAATTTGAGTTTTCTTGATCACTTTTCATATGTTTATTGCCCATTTGTGTTTCCTCTCTGGGAAATGTTTCTGGATTTCTGGTTGTTTCTCTCTTTCTTAAGGTTTTTCTTTCTTTTATTATTATTTTTTAAAGATTTTATCTATTTGACAGAGTGAGTTGAGGGAGCACAAGCAGGGGAGGGGCAGAGGGAGAAGGAGAAGCAGACTCTTCACTGAGCAGGGAGCCTGATGCAGCGCTCGATCCCAGGACCCTGGAATCATGACTTGAGCTGAAGGCAGACACTTAACTGGCTGAGGCACCCTGGTGCTGTTTTTAGTTCTTTTAGTTCTTATACTAATCCTTGCTGTCTAGACACTAGACTGGCAGTAAGATGAAAAAAATAGATCTGTCTTTTGTCAGAATAGATATTGATTAATTTGAGTCCGAGGATAATTGGGACAGTGGCAGGTTTAAATGAAACATTTTCTCCCTTCGTTTCATCACAAGGTTTCACATTAAGAGACTTGGAAACTCTTCCCTTTGGAATTGCTCTTCCCATCAGAGATGCAATTTACCACTGTCGTGAGCAGCCTGCTTCAGACTGGCCAGAAGCTGTCTGTCTCCTGATCGGGCGTCAGGATCTTTCCAAACAGGCCTGTGAAGGAAACTTACCCAAAGGGAAATCTGTGAGTCTCAACATAGAAAGTTCAAAGTTCAGATTTAGTCTCAAAATCAAAGTAGAAATACTCTTCATTTTTTTCTTAAGTTTTTTTACAAGTGTATATATTGGTTTGTCTTTTACATTGTATGCCATATGGGATTTATTATTGGGCAGATTTTCTTACTTGTAAAGTGAACATGGGAATAAGAGATTATGTGAAGGTTTTGTCTTGCCTAGAACTTTCTTTCCTTTGAGTCAGGTCAAGTACTGAGTCAGTAGATCCACTACCATGACTATTTCTTTACTTGTACTGTACTGGTAATTAACTACTTTGTAACTTACATAGAAAAAGAGGGAACACATGTATCTTCAATTTGAATATGTTAACTATTTTCTCTTTTATACTTTTTTGATGTGTTGAATTTCTAGAATTTAATCTTTTAAATAGGTGTAAATATATGTTTAATCACATAAAATTGAAGTTGCAGGCAAGTTTTTTTGGGAGCTGGGATGAGAGACACTGAAGTTGTTTAGAAGATGTCTTAGGTTATTCCTCCTGACTTTCTATCCTTCATCGTCTTTCTCTGCTTTTATAAAGAATGGGTTCTGAGAAGCCTACAAGTAGAAAATGAAATACATCATTACTCTCCAATTATCTCTCTTTTAAAATCAGCCTCTTTTAAAAACTTAAACATGGAATTTCGATTTTTTCTAGAACTCTGTTTAAGTTAAAAAAATATAAATGATAGCACTGCATTGCTCTGAGGGTCATAGGATTCAAGGATGGTTTTCCCACTCTTGATAATTCTTTAACTTTGGATTTTTTTTTTTTTACCCCCAAGAGTGAGTGGGGTGGATGGGGGCAGAGAGGGAGTGAGAGAATCCTGAGCAGGCTCCACCCAGCATGAAGGCTGACATGGAGCTCCATCTTACAACCCTGATATCATGACCTGAGTGGAAATCAAGAGTTGGATTCCCAACTGAGCCACCCAGGCAGCCTGTTTGTACTTTGTTTATATCCCCAAGAGAACAGCACAAGCTTGCCTCATCTCATATTAGCTTTTGAACCAACACATACTCATCAAAATGGTATAACTATTTATAATCCACATTAGGTCTTAGGCTATTAATGCTTCTTCAGAGCTTAAGAGTCTGTATCAAAATTTTATTTCTAACATCAGAGTTGCCTACTGAACCTATGAGAGTAGCAGTTTCCATGGGATTCCATCTCCAGCAGGGTTGGCCCAGCACATCTCTCTCTTAATCTGCACTCATATAATAGCTCTTAGTTGAATTATGTTTGTCCTACTTTAAACAAAAAACCATTTTTTTTTTTTGCTAATAATATGACTATCCTTTCCTTTACCAAGATAAGTTTTAGCTTTAGACCTTATTTGTTACTATGATTGAGAGCAGTTTAATATCATTAGCACTAAAACCAAATAGCATTAATAATCTTTGATCTATTTAGATATTGTTTTGAGTAATTCTGTCTAAATTCAGTTTGTTCCATTATTTGAGGTTATATTTTATATTATTTGAGGCTACCTTTTATGACTCATTGAAATTCAGTTTATCAGCTATTTGGATCTATACTTTATAGTTAACTCACCCAGTAGAATAGTTTTTTTAAAAGTTAGATATTCCATAGGACCTATAATGAATATTTATGAACTAAGTAAGGGATTAATTAGTCATATCTGCTATAATTTTTTTTTTACTTTTTTTTAAAAAGATGTTTATTTATTTATTTGACACAGAGAGAGCACAAGCAGGCAGAGAGGCAGGCAGAGAGAGATGGGGGAAGCAGGCTCCCCGCCGAGCAGAGAGCCTGATGTGGGGCTTGATGCCAGGACCCTGGGATCATGACTTGAGCCAAAGGCAGAGGCCTAACCCACTGAGCCACCCAGGCACCTCTGCTATAATTTTTTATAGGCTAATGTTGCTTCCATGTTAAATATTGCAAAAATTTAGCATTTTAACTGGGGATTAATCTTGTTAAAGGAATGTAAAATTCTTGAGAGAAAATGAGAAGATTTTATACTATGCTCATTGAAGTTGCAGTGTGATTGAATTTTTTGGATGGGGAAGACTCATAGGAAAACACATGCTAAGCTTCTGAGGACAGAATGATAATTAAGAGATTAACCTTCTTCCATTTGTTTTGCTGTTGCCACTTTCTGATTAAGAAATTTTTATTTAAGACATCCTTACTTAAAAAGGTGAAAATCAATAATGATCCATTTAAAGTACTAAAGTAAGAAAATATTGTTCAACTTCCTCCAGCCCTTGGCTTATATCCTTCCAGGTTGTTTTTTTCTGCTTATATTAATCAAAGACAATATTTGTTTGTATGGGCTCTTTAGTAATAGTGAGTGGGTTTCATGTTCCACTTGCAGTAATTCGTTTCCTTTTTAAGATATAGTTAGGATAACTATATTTTAAGATATAGTTTAGGATATAGTTAGATCTTTATAAGTTATTTAGAATGTTTCAGTGGAATCAGCTTCTTGACTGTTGTCCTAAATTTAATGTTTTTCCCTTGGCTCAATAAAGAATTTTCCCAAGTGAGCAATATAATTGTACTTTAAAAAAAGACTTCTAGATAAGAGCCCCAGTATACATGGGAACCCAAACCAGCCTTGCTTTGGAATGCATATTTTCTCTGTATGATAGAGAGATAGATGGTTATAAATGCCCCTACTTCCACAATTCCTGTTTGAATTTGCTATGAGGGGCTACATGGAATGTGATTTAACATAGAAACAAGTTAAGTGTGGTATATTAGTTTCAAAATATAACCTATTGAAGCCATTTTAACTCTCAAGTACATCACGTGTATATCCTTGTGTTCAGTAAGTGCATGGTCTTTGGTTTTTAAATTATTATTACAACCAAGTCTGTTACTCAGGTGCTCTCATCAGATGTTCCTTCAGGAACAGAAACTGAGGAGGAAGATGATGGCATGAATGACATGAATCAGGAGGTCATGTCGTTAATATGGAGTGAAGATTTAAGAGTGCAGGACGTGCGAAGGCTTCTTCAAAGTGCGCATCCCGTCCGTGTCAATGTAGTACAGTACCCAGAACTCAGTGACCACGAGTTCATTGAGGAAAAAGAAAACAGGTAAAAGAGGCATGTTGTTATCTGTTATCAGTGTTTACCACTGAAAACCCTGAAAAGATAGTTAAGAATTAAAAGTACCATGTGTTTTAATTTTTTATCCATCCTCGGTAAACCATACATTTTTTTCAAAATATTTTGGCATTTGGTAACCCAAGAGTATCTGATGACATAAGTGATCCTCCTCCTCTTAAAATATAGCTTTGTGCTACTTAGAAAAGGTGACTCTGAGACCATTTTGCTTAGCTACCATAAGAATTTACTAACAAAGCAAAACTCTGAACTCATTCTTCTGTATCTTGAGGAGGAAAAAAATATGTGTATGTGTGTTTTTGTGTGTGTGTGTGTGTGTAAGTTTTTAGTGTAGGTTAAACTTATACCAGTATTTTTTAACCTGATATGACAAGTAATACTCTATAAATCTTCTCTACTCCCAATCTCTAACATATATTATATCCCTTGATAATAGTAATACTCAGTAGTAACCATCCTGTGACATTCCAGAGTCGTTGCCTTGGGACAATTCAACTTGTATTTGAAAATTCTCTCCTGTCCTATTACCTGCTGTGTCTCTGTCACCTGTCACTTTCCACCATTATTCTCTGGTTCTCCTTGCATTGCTTATGGCGGTCCTGCTTTACGGAGAAGGATCATCTATTACCTAGCTGCAGGGTGCTGAAGATCTGAGTTTGTCCTAATCTGCCTCTCACTGTTTCCTCTTCATCTGTACTAAGGTGTTAGTCACCCATAATTGAAGAGTCTAAGGGACAGAGAAATTGTGCGAAAACATAGTAGTTATTGTGGGCTCTGGATCTGATGGGTGTCTTTGCATGAATTACTTAACTTCTTGCTGCCTCCGTTGTCTCAACTTTAAGAATAGGCATAATTGTAGCATTCATACCTCATGGGGTTGCTCTGTGTATAGAATGAGTTATGTCTATATCGTGCTTAGAACACTGCTCTGTATGTACTAAAGCTCAGTGCAGTTAGCCATGATTATTAACTGAGTTCATTGATATATGAAGCTAGTTGTTTTTTTTTTTTTTTAACCTTTATAATCAGTGACATCTCAGAAGGGACTACAGTATTTTGTTTTCATTATTATAGTTTTGTGGTTTCTGCTGAAAAGTTCTGTGGGATATGGCCTTGAGTTTTTCAGATTCTAAATTAACATGGGGCACTATTCCTAAATAATCTTGGGACCAACAGATTTTTCTCACCAAAAAGACTAGAAAAGCAGCTCGTATGTATGTACAAGTTAGGGAGAGAACATGCTTATGAATAGCTTTGAAGAGAAAAATGTTAGCCTCTGCTTGGGTATTTCTGTCCCTTAACAACACAAATATCTTAACAAGAGTTTGATTGTTGAGTATTTCTTGGTTATATATGCCCCTATTTCCACAATTCCTGTTTGAATTTGCTTTAAGGGGCTACATAGAAACAAGTTAAGTATGGTGTATTAGTTTCAAAATATAGTCTATTGAAGCCATTTTAACTCTAACATTTATAGTAATATTAATCCTGTAAGTCTTGAGCGCCTGGGTGGCTCAGTGGGTTAGGCCTCTGCCTTCGGCTCAGGTCATGATCTCAGGGTCCTGGGATTAGGCCCACATCGGGCTCTCTGCTCAGTAGGGAGCCCTCCCCCCGCCCCCCGCCTGCCTTTCTGCCTACTTGTGATCTCTGTCAAATAAATAAAATTTTAAAATATATATATTAAAAACAAGATATTTGAAAAATAAAATCCTGTAAGTCTTAGCCATCATGTAAGTGAAACTAATTCTTGTTTCCTTGGCCACACCATGAAATCCACTGACTTCTAATATAGGAACTTCTTCCTTTCTGTGTACAGGTCACAGAAGTGACACTTCTTTTTTTTTGAAGATTTTATTTGTTAGAGAGAGCATGAGAAAGAGATCATGAGGGGCACCTGGGTGGCTCGGGGGGTAAGCCTCTGCTTTCAGCTCAGGTCATGGTGTCGGGGTCCTGGGATCTAGCCCCACATTGGGCTCTCTGCTTGGCGGGGAGCCTGCTTCCCCCTCTCTCTCTGCCTGCCTCTCTGCCTACTTGTGGTCTCTCTTTGTGTCAAATAAATAAATAAAATCTTCAGGGAAAAAAAAAAGGAAGGAGATCACAAGCAGGGGGGAGGAATAGAGGGAGAATCAGACTCCCTGCTGAGCAGGGAGTCTAATGTGGGACTCTATCCCACGACCCCAGGATTATGATTTGAGCCGAAAGCAAGATGCTTAACTGACTGAGCCCCCCAGGCGCCTGCAGAGGTGGCACATCTGAGGCTATGTTGGCAAAAAGGATGGCAGGATGATCCCAGATACACTGAGGGCAGCTAGACAAAATAACAAAATGAGGAAACCCAAAACATATTATTTTCCTTTGATCAGGTTAGCATCAGAATGGCATTTTGGGTTTCTCTTTTTGGTTGCTGAGGGAGAGTTGGCTTGGTTTATAGACCAAGTTTTTCACTCAAAGACTGGTTTTCACTCAAAGCAAGTATGGAACAAAAGAAATGTGTATCTCCCTTAGAGTTTCTAAGAACAAGAATATTAAAATGAGAATAACCATGTTTGGATGATTCATCTACATTTTGTGTGAATTTACTATGATGTGATTTCCTCTTACCTAGCAGTTTTTCTTTTGGAATGCTTAACTACAGATTATATTCCAGGTTTTTTTTTTCTCTTAAAGATTTTTCACATGTTGGTTTTGATTTTAATTATAGATTGCTCCAGTTGTGTCAGCGAACTATGGCCCTTCCAGTAGGACGAGGAATGTTTACCTTATTTTCATACCATCCTGTTCCAACGGAACCACTGCCTATACCCAAATTGAATTTGACTGGTATGTTAAATTCTGGGCTCAGTGAGAAAGGAAAATGGTTAAGTATATTTTTAGTGGAGTTATTGAATTATTTTAGTTAAATCCAAAGGAATGGTCTTTCTATCCCCACTGATTTAAGATATCAACCACTCTAGCAGATGTCAGAGCACAAATAGGAAATTAGACTAACCACTGTGGAAAGTCGCATGCAGCCCATTACTAAATATGCTTTTAATGAGACTGTTCCATGATACAAAAAGGCACTTGGGAAGGTTTAGAAAGATGATATTGATGATAGTGAGATTACTGGACTTTAAATAATCTTAAAGTATAATATATAAAAACATTGTATCTTAATGTGTCTTGTTATATCTTATTACGAGTATATGATCCTTGTACAAAAACACAAAAAGATACTAAGCAGAAAGAAACAATGCTCATGTATAGTATTGTATAGTATAGTAGTCCCACTTGGTAGTGTTAACGTTTTGGTATATATGGTTCCCAATTTTATTCTTCTAGTTTATAATTTTATATATTTTTAATTATCAGAAAATTTAAATCTGTTTTAGAAATTGTTTTCAGATTTAGAGTAAGCATCCTTTCATATCTAGCATACATAGGTATATAATTATATTGTGTATATATGTAGGTAGGTAGGTAGGTATTATGTACAGATATTTTTAATCAACTTCATTTTTATTTTTACTGGTGGAATATAGTTTAGGTAAACAACGTGATTTTGTTGGAAATTACCATTTTTTTGCTATTATAAATATGCTGTCAGGTTATAGTCATTTATTTATATTAATTGCTTTAGAGGTAGACCTCCCAGCGCAGCAAGATTTTAAGGTTTTGATATAATGTATTGTCAAATTACCTTTCTGATTGGTTGTGTGAATTTTTACTTCTATAAGATATAAGTGTGTTCCTTTCCTAATGTTGATTACAGTGGGTTTTATAGTGCATGTTCACCTGATGCTGGTAAGAATATGTTCTAAACGTGACAGTTGTGTAGTTGAAATTATCATTGAAAATTCCTAAAGGTATAGTAGGTGTGGTTTTATGAGACCTGTACGAGATATATTTATGATACACATAGTAATGTATAGTGTAATAATATATACCAATAGAATTCCACAGTGTTTTAAGTTGCATAATTTAAAAAAACCAGGGTCCCATTCACATATGTGGAGAGCTCATTCTTTCAGTAACATATGGAAAATGAGATCAGCTGAATGAAGAATACATTTTCATCTCCAGTATTATACCTATTGTGGAGCTCTGATCTTATTTAGAGACATCGCAAGCAGAATTACCTTCAATATTGGTATTGTCTTCTCTCTTAGAGAAGGAGCTGTATGGCAAAATCTGAATAATTACTGAATCTTCATGGAGAACGGGCTATATAGGTGTTCCTTCTGTTAGTCTTTCAGCTGTTTGAAGTTTCCATATAAAGAATTTGAGTTAAAAACAAAAGAATCTCATGTAAAACTGGCAAATGTTAAAATGTATTAAATCTGGGCAGTAATGCTAGGGTGCGTATTAAAAAAATTAATACATGAGTCGTCTTTTTTTCCCCCTGCATACATTTAGTTAAATTTGCATGTTTAGAATGTGTTTCTGACATTAGTCCGAACTTTTATTCTTTTAGCCATTCTGGTACCCCCCCCAAACATTCTTAAAATACATTCAAGATACGTTCTTAAAATAGCTTCTTGACTCACACTGATATCAGTACCTTTGTATGTCATTATTCTTATTGAAGAAAATTTGGTTTACCCTTTGCCTGTCATTTTTTCTTGTGTGTAAATACTCTGGTGAATATGATGAATTCTTTTAGAAAGTTCATTTGTTTTTTCATTATTAATCTCTCTGCCTTTTGAGAAGGTGAAAGTATACCTCATGAGCTTGTCGCCCATTGTGGCATTGTCATACACCAGTATTTGAGTTAGTTCTTAGGTACACAAAGCAAATGGTAAAAACAAATATATTTTCACTTTGTATGTTTGTGTATACATACTCCAATTAAGACATTGTGCTTCTATCTGAAATTTATTTTACATAACTTCAGAACTCCTTTAAAACCATATTTTCAAACTCGTAGTGAACTGTGTAATTTTATGCAATATTTAGAATAGTTATTTTAAATATTCATCTAAGACCTGACCTAATTAATACAGAACATTAAAGATATAAAAAGCATTCAGTATTTGCATGTACACAGTGGAGATCCAAAAGAGAACCAGAAGACTCAAGGAAAGGAATTCAAAGAGAGCTTAGTAACATTATGAACATTTAATTTACAGTATTCTTACATAAGTTGACCATAAAATTTAATTCAGCAAATACTCTTTATGAAGTTCACTGGATAACTCAGGTCTATAAAATGATACTTTTTATAGTACTATCTGAATGCAATTTGGCATTTTTAACAGGGGCATGTAATTAGAAACAGAGAGAGAGACAGACATATATAGTAAGAGAACAAATTTATAAAGGTCCTTGTCTCTTTTTACGATGTATTTAATGTTCAGAGAAAAATATAGGCTGACATGTTTGAAAGTAACATCATTGTGATCAATCACAGGTTGAAATTTATTATTCATATAGCTCGACTGTGATGTTAGCCTTCATTTTATTTTTTAATAAGCTTACTTCTGTCAGATTTGAAGTAGTGGGTATCCTAATCAGATCTGTATAAAGTTAAATTGGTATCCATTTTCATAACCTCATGTATTTTAGAAAAAGGATAATGGATTATTTTATTTTTAAACTTTTTTTATTTAAAAATTTTATTTGAGTATAGTTGACTTACAGTGGTAGATTAGTTTCAGCATAGTAATTCAGTAACTCTGTATGTTATGCTCACCACAAGTATAGCTACCATCTGTTACCATGCAGTGTTTTTATAATATCATTGACTGTATTCCCAATGTGGTATGCTTTATTTCTATGACTTATTTGTTCCATAACCGGAAGTCTAAATCTCCTACTCTCCTTCACTCATTTTGCCCATCGTCCTACTCTCCTTCTTTCTGTTGATCATCTGTTTATTCTCTGTATCTATAGTCCTGATTCTGCTCTTTGTTTACTCATTTCTTTTGTTTTTTAGAGTCCACATATAAGTGAGATCATGTGGTATTTTTCTTTTTCCATCTGATTTATTTCATTTAGCATAATATCCTCTAGGTTCATCCATGTTGCAAATGGCAAGATCTCATCATTTTTAGTGACTGAGTAATATTGCTGTGTTTGTGTGTGTATACGTATGTACACTACATCTTCTTTGTTCGTCTATTGATGGTAGATGTTTGGGCTGCTTTCATATCTTGGCTATTGTAAATAATGCTACAGTGAGCATAGAGTGAATATATCCTTTCAAATTAATGCTTTTGTTTTTGGATAGTAAATGCCCAGTAGTGGAATTATTGGGTCAAATGGTATTTCTCTTGTTAAATTTTTGAGGAACCTCAAAATACTGTTTTCTTCAGTGGCTATACCAATATACATTCTCACCAACAGTGCATGAGGGTTTCTTTTTTCCCCCACATTCTCACTAACATTAGTTAATTCTTGTCTTTCATTCTAGCCATTCTGGCAGGTATAAGGTGATATTTCATTGTGGTTTTGATTTGCATTTCCCTGATGATGAGTGATGGTGAGCATCCTCTCATATCTGTTAGCCATCCTATGTCTTCTTTGGAAAATTGTCTATTCAGATCCTCTGCCCATTTTTAATTAGTTTTTTTTTTTTCTGATATTGAATCATTTTAAATTCTTTATATATTTTGGATATTAACCCCTCATTGGATATATGATTTTCAAATATCTTCTCCCATTCAGTAGGTTTCCTTTTTGTTTTATTGATGGTTTCCTTTGGTTTTGTAAAAACATTTTATTTTGATGTAGTCCCAATAGTTTATTTTTGCTTTTGTTTCCCTTGATTTAGGAGACATATATAGAAAAATGTTGCTTTGGCCTCTGTCAAAGAAATTACTGCCTGTGTTCTCTTCTAGGAGTTTTTTGGTTTCAGTTCTCACATGTAGGTCTTTAATCTGTTTGGAGTTTATTTTTGTATATGGTGTAAGAAAGTGGTCCAGTTTCAGATGATGAATTATTTTAAATACGGTTTTTTTACCTTGCATCGAATTTGATGTACAAGTTAAAGTTTAAGTACTCATAATAACTAATGTCATTCCAGATATTATGAGGTTAAGGGTTTTGAATGTAGAAAAGGTAATCACTGTTCTCAAAAATCTAAATGGAGCAATTTTGGATTTATGAATTAGTCTCAATTTTAAATTCGTTTGATTGAATAGGACGGGCCCCTCCTCGGAACACAACAGTAGACCTTAACAGTGGAAACATCGATGTGCCTCCCAACATGACAAGCTGGGCCAGCTTCCATAATGGTGTGGCTGCTGGCCTGAAGATAGCTCCCGCCTCCCAGATCGACTCAGCTTGGATTGTTTACAATAAGCCCAAACACGCGGAGTTAGCCAATGAATATGCCGGCTTTCTCATGGCCCTGGGTCTGAATGGGCACCTTACCAAGCTGGCTACTCTCAATATCCATGACTACTTAACCAAGGTGAGACTCCCAGCACCTGGCAGTGTGCCTCATCCAGGCCCCTGCAGTAGCTCCTAATTGTTCTCTTTGCTCTTCCTTCTTCATTCTTGTACCTCTCAGTCCATTCTTCCCATAGCAGGCGGAGTCATTTTTCTGAAGTGTCGATTAGCATGTATCACTTCCCTGGTCAAAACTGTTTAAAGACCTTTCGTTGCTCTTGATGTACATTCTGGGAGCTTTTGTGATCCCCCTCACTTATCCAGCCTTACTTTGTACCACTCATCCCCTTGCTCTCCACACTCCAGCCACAGGGACTGGCCTTTTTAACTCCTTGGCAAACCAAATTCTCTCACTTCAGAGTTTGGCAAACAAACTCTTTCTCTTGGCATAAACTCTTCCACTTATATACCGTAAAAATACACTTAGAGTATACAGTTCTGTGGTTTTAGTGTGTTCAGAGTTGTGCATCCATTCCTGCTGTTAGTGTTGGAAAGTTCATCGGTCTGTAAAGGACCCTCATAGCAGTAGCAGTCACCCTCCATTCCCTTTCCCTCCAGTCCCTGGCTACTACGGATCTACTATTTGTCTCTGGATTTGCTGATTCTGGGCCTTTCATTTAAATGGAATCCTATTGTAGGTGGTCTTTTATGGCTGGCTTCTTTCTGTAATAATGTTTTCATGGTTTGTTCATGTTGTATCATGTATCAGCACTTAATGTTTTTTTTTTTGCTGACTAGATAATTCCATTTTGTGAATAGATTGTGTTTATCCATTTATCAGTTGGTGGGTAGTTGGGTTATTTCTACTTTTTTAACTTACGAATAGTGCTGCTGTCAACATGTACATGTTTTTGTGTGGACATATGTTCTCATTTCTCTTGGGTTTATTCCTAGGTGTGGAATTGCTGGGTCATATGGTAACTCTTTGTTTAAATTTCTGAGGAACTACCAAACTGTTTCCAGAGTGGCTGGAACCTTTTTACAGTCCCACCAGCAATACATAAGGATTCTAGTTTCTCCACATTCTTGCCAACATTTGTCTGTCTTTTTAATTATTGTCATCCTAGTAGGTGTGAAGTAGCATCTCATGATTTTGGTTTGCATTTCCCTGATGGCTGATGATTTGAGCATCTTTCATATGCTCATAGGACATTTGTAAGTCTTCTTTGGAGAAATGTCTATTCAGATCCTATGTTTATTTTAAAGTTGAGTTATCTTACTGAGTTGTATTCTCTATGTATTCTGGATACTAAGGCCATTAACAGATAAAGGATTTGCAAAAATTTCTCCCATTCTTTGGGTTGTCTTTCACTTTCTGATGGTATCTTCGAAGCACACAGGTTTTTAATTTAATGAAGTCCACTTTGTCTATTTTTTTCTTTAATTGCTGTGCTTTGGCATCATATCTCATTGCCAAACCTGTGGTCCTAACCCATTAATACTTATGTTTCCTTCCCAGAATTTTACAGTTTTGGCTCTTAGGTTTAGTTCTGTGGTCCACTTAGAGTTAATTTTGGGGAAGGATGTAAGGAAGGTGTCCAGTTTTATTCTTTTGCATGTGGTCTGCAATTATCACAGCACCATTTTCTGAAAAGACTGGTTCCCACTGAATTGTCTTGGCACCCTGTGGTCACTTGACCATTACTGTGAGGATTTATTTCTGGATCACATCAGAACCTTTTACATGTTGTTCTCTCACCTGACCTCATTTTCTCTTATTTTCTAAAGCTGCGTACCTCCCTTTCTACCACTTTTCCTGGTTAATTTGTATTAATCCTTCAGGTCTTGTTGTAAGTTTTACTTCTTTAAATATTCGTAATAATTCTTCAGCTCCTCCTAATCGAAATTAGGCTTTCAAGAAACACTACTTCATATTACTTTGTACTTTTTCAACATACTGCTTTTTAGTAATGTATTTATTTTTATATTTTTACTTCAATGCTTTTCCCCCCATTAGGGCGCTTGCCTCATGAGAGTAAAGACTATTTTTCTTTAGTTTGTTGTTGTATTCTTGGTACTTCTCACTGTACTTGTTAATAAAAGTACTTACTGAAAGTCTGGCAGGCCTTAACTTTATTCAAGACTGCATATTTGTTTTGGTAGTGACTTATATTTCATTTTACTTTCTACCGTAGGGTCATGAAATGACAAGCATTGGACTGCTCCTTGGTGTTTCTGCTGCTAAACTAGGCACCATGGATATGTCAATTACTCGGCTTCTTAGCATTCACATTCCTGCCCTCTTACCCCCAACGTCTACAGAGCTTGATGTTCCTCACAATGTCCAAGTGGCTGCAGTGGTTGGCATTGGCCTCGTATATCAAGGGACAGCTCACAGGCATACTGCGGAAGTCCTGTTGGCTGAAATAGGTATGGCATTAACAGTGCTGTGTCTTCATAAGCATATACTGCCCTCTCCACAGGAACCCAAGTAAAAACGATGGTAAAATTATAAAAGTTAAGGAAAAATAGTAGCTTTTATTAGAATATTCTGATGCTAATTTGACAAAATAGTGTAAGTAATATTTTCCAAGGCTGATACTAGTGTGCAGGTTATTTATCTGGATGTTTATTTGGTCAGCCTGTTGTTGGGCTCTAGAGAGCCTATTTAATGAGCTAACCTATGTTCTTAATCACTAGTGAGAGGCTGTTTATGGTGCTTTGTCCTTGCTAGGCAATATCTGGCAGTGATCTGCACTTGAAATGTGAAGTTGATTACTTTGATCCCTAGAAACAGTGTTCATTATGTTAGACAATTCTTACTTTCAGGAGAATGGAAGTGATTGACTCTTGCTTTTCCTCCTTTCCATGCTGGCGGTTATGTTGTTAATGAAATGCATTTGCTCTGTCTGTAATTGAGTCTAAACTTTTTGGAAATGTGTCTTATGTATTGTTATCTTTTTCTGACAAGTGGAAATACTGTTGGCCTTACTATTATATTCCCTAATTTAGATACATAGTTCCACGTCTTGTTCTATATTCAGGATCTTTTCTACATATATTTCCGGATATATTGTTGAAGATATATTTTCTCTGGAATTCTGTTAGTTAGCTATTGTCTCAGTAATGCTACCTAACAAACAACCACAAAATTGGCCCAGCATCTCAGCTTTAGGCCATAGATCTAAACGTGGGTGTGCTGCTCTGGCTCCTGCTCCAGATGACTTATTCTGGGGCCCAGGCTAGAGGATGTGGTTGTTTTATGGTGATAACAGAAGGCCAAGAGGGAGAACCAAATAATGGAAGCACATTTCAGGCCTTTGCTTACATTGTGCCAGCTGAGATCCCTGGTTAAAGCTAGTCACGTGTTAAGTCAACCATCAGGTTCTGTCAAGAGTATGGATGTGTACATAAGAGCACTGTAGGGCAGTGAACTATTTCAACAATTTAATCTACTATAGTGATGAAATAAATTATTTATAAAACTGACATTTTTCTGTTACCAAAATACGTAATAGCATAAGTTGGTCTGAAAACATTTATTCAGAAGATACTCAAGAGTAGCTTTTTTTATTTTTCATTTTTTAAAGATTATTTATTTATTTATTTGACAGACAGAGATCACAAGTAGGCAGAGAGGCAGGCAGAGAGAGAGGAAGGGAAGCAGGCTCCCTGCTGAGCAGAGAGCCCAATGCGGTGCTCGATCCCAGGATACTGGGATCATGACCTGAGCCGAAGGCAGAGGCTTTAACCACTGAGCCACCTAGGCGCCCCAAGAGTGGCTTTTAAAGCTTGTTCATCTGCAAGGTGAATCAAAGCACACCTCTTTCACGTGGTATATAGAAGATTTCATCTAGATTCATATGCATATGCTCTTTTATATAATTATAGTCAGATATACATACTATTTTATATTGCCCTTTATATATATCATTGTCATAAATGTTTTTTAAAATTAATTTCATACTGTGTAATCTCATTGAATTGGTGTTCTGTAAATTGCCTATTTTCTGATTTTCAGGACTTTTTAGTTTATTTCTAATTCTTTGCTATTATATATAAATACTGCTTTTGTATAATATTGGTTACTTTTGTATAATATTTCTTTTTTTTTTTTTTTTTTTAATTTTTTCTTGTGGGTAAAATCCCAGGAGTGTGAAATTTGTTTTGGACAGAGGGGTCTTTATGTATAATACATTTTGCTGTCCTAAAGGGTAGAATTAGAATCAGGAGGTGCTTTTTAAAAAAATGAGCTAAGTGTCTGAAAACATAGTATTTAGCTTAAAAACTTAGAGTCTTTCCTGTCCATTATTAGTATTTGAACAGTGAATTGGAAATAGTAAAATAAAAACAAAATGCAAGAGATTAAAAATTAAAACATTTTTAAGTGCTCTTCTTTTAAAAAATTTTTCTATTTCTTGATAATTTTTTTCCCCCAGAACATCAGTTTTACTTTAAGAATGGAGAACATGTGAACACATCCTTTTTATACTAAACCACTTAAAATATTTAAAAATAAAACAGATTTTTATATTTTAAGACAAAACAAGAAATACCTTACATGTAAAGATATATATTTATATGAGATCTCACAGACTCCCTGGTGTATCAGTTGACTTTTCCTTTTATTGAGAAAATAATTTTAGAAATACTGTATTAAATCATTATCTTCTATTCTCAGTTTTTCTCATATGTATATGTGTATGGTGTATCAGTTGACTTTTCCTTTTATTGAGAAAAAAATTTTAGAAATACTGTATTAAATCATTATCTTCTATTCTCAGTTTTTCTCATATGTATATACTTGGAAGTGGTCAAGTAGTTTTGTTTTTCTTTTCTTTAATAAAACCCAAGGTTTCATAGTGTATAAAAGTCACTGCTTTCAAATTGATACATTAAAAGACCCATCTTGAGCTTTACATTGTAGTAAACCAACAGTTGTGCATATCATCTGTGATAATGTCATATCTTTCTGAGTGGGGTTATATTGAATCCATGGTTCTTATGCAACTTACTAGAAAGCTAATTCTAAAACTTATGATAGAATTTTAAGAGGCCAGGAGGCCAGCTTGAACTGTGTTATTTTCTATTTTATAGGACGGCCCCCTGGTCCTGAAATGGAATACTGCACTGACAGGGAGTCTTACTCTTTAGCTGCTGGCCTGGCCTTGGGCATGGTTTGCTTGGGGGTAAGCATTCTCTGTGCCTTCACATGCTTCATTTATGATGTCTGCATGTTGAGACAAATGATCTTGACACTTAACTCTAAATACCACTCTGCCTTACTGTGACTTAACCTGATTCTCAGCTCTTTTTTCTTTTTTTCTTTATGGATATTTTTCAAAGTGCTAGATTTGGAAATGGAGAGAATTTGAAGTGAAGAGTGGGGCTTTAAGGTTTTTATTCCCCTGGCTTAGATGTCAATGTTCATGAATGAACCAAGGGAATGAACTATCTTGAAGAATTGAAGACATAAGATGAAGTGATAGCCCCCTCAGACAGAAAAAAGAAAATTATATATGATCAGGAGCTCTAAGTGTCTATAGTAGTTGCTAGAGATAAACCATGTCCTTTTGACATCTTGGTATTCACTGGGATCTCATTATGTTTTCACCATAGTATTTGCTTTGTGACGGAATGCAGTATGACTTTGTTCCATCTTTAAACACATCCATGAGACGTAGTGTAGAATTATTGGAAATGTTTGATCGAATTGACTATGTCACCTGAAATGTGGGTTCTTAAGAACCACCAATACTGTATTATACCGAAACTAAATTATAAAAAGAAAGTTCAAAATAACATGGAGGACATGGGGAGATGGAGAGGAGAAGGGAGTTGAGGGAAATTGGAAGGGGAGGTGAACCATGAGAGACTATGGACTCTGAAAAACAACCTGAGGGTCTTGAAGGGGTGGGGGGTGGGAGGTTGGGGGAACAAGGTAGTGGGTCTTAGGGAGGGCACGTAGTGCATGGAGCACTGGGTGTGGTGCAAAAACAATGAATACTGTTATGCTGAAAAGAAATAAAGAAAAGAAAAAAAGAAAGTTCACTGTTAGGTTTTTGATTCTTCACATTTGACACATGAACTAAAGAATCAGATGGTATAATGGAAAAGCAGCATACTGGGAACTGGGATCTTGATTTGGTTCTGACCAGTGAGTCATGTCCTTTAACTATAGTATCGTCTAGTGGTTAAGCAACTCCATGGGTTGTTTTATCCTTGTTTATATCCACCCCTGCTGGGTACTAGCTCTGTAACCTTGGGCTTTATGTGTGCCTCACTTTCCTCATCTGTAAAATAGTAGCCATTTGGTAAAATTGTCATATTAAGTAAGTTAATCCATGTTAAACACACAGAATAGTACCTGAAACAGTGTTCAATAAGTTTATTATTATACTTATTATTGCTGAAATAGGTTGTAGGTACAATAATGAAAGAACTCAGATGTTCAAAGTTCAAGTTTCATTTACATACCTCATATATTCTTTTATTATTAGTATAATTAACTGTATTTTGAAGCCTTTATTTTGTGATATGAAAGTATTAAACATGTAAGTTTGTCATTTTTTTTTTTTAAAGATTTTTAATTTCAGAGGGAGAGAAAGCATGTGCACTAGCACGTTCAGGGGGAGGGACAGAGGGAGAGGGGAAAAGAGAATCTCCAGCAGACTCCGTGCTGAGTGAGCATGGAGCCCAACCTGGGGCTTGATCTCACAACTCTGAGATCATGACCTGAGCCAAAATCAAGAGTCGAATGCTCAACCTACTGAGCCACCCAGGCATCCCGAAGTATAGTAATTCTTAATGTGAATAATTAAGAGCTTGTTTGAATGTTAAGTCTTGAGTAATAGTTATTTTAATTTAAAAAACCCAAAATACCTTGAAGTTAGTTCATTCTTTTATTTGCCATGGGTGTGTGTTATGAGTCTTATTCCATAAGATTTTCTTTCATATGTTTGTTATCTCATTTTCCAGCATGGCAGTAATTTGATAGGTATGTCTGATCTCAATGTGCCTGAGCAGCTTTATCAGTACATGGTTGGAGGTCATAGGCGCTTTCAAGCAGGAATGCACAGGGAGAAGCATAAATCTCCAAGTTATCAAATCAAAGTAAGTTCAAAATAAAGCAACAGATCAAAATTCTGAAAGCTAAGAAGTTAATTTGAAAATAGTAATTTTCTTACCAACATTTATAGATCTGTTAATTTTAAGCATAGGCTAGTATGTAGAAGAATTTGTAATAATTCGGAACTTTTTTACATAAATAAACTTTTTTTTTTTTGATAGGAAGGAGATACCATAAATGTGGATGTAACTTGTCCAGGTGCCACTCTTGCTTTGGCCATGATCTACTTAAAAACCAATAACAGGTATCACATTCCCCCACTTCACCCCTTACTATGATAGTGTGACTTCTTTTATGACCTCAGTAGTAAAACTAAATTATTTAATGTATTTATTTTCCTTGTACTAGATTAACTTGATTTTGATTCTCTTCAGTACTCAAGTTCCACAGATTTTTATCTAGAAACAGTATATTTTGCTATTTTAATCTTTGATAATATAGTTGCCAATTTTTATTGATTTTTGTTTTGTAGTTGATGTCACAACTAGAAAATACCCAAAGTCCTCTTCATTAATTATGCATGTTATTTGAGGATTGGTTAAACCAGAATCACTTAGCATTATTCTATTCTTGGTTACCATGTATAAAAATGATTTCTGTTTAGTTCAAGAACTTGCCTAATAATCATACCAGCTTCCTTCCCAACTCCCAATAATTAGGGCTGGACACATAAAAGTAGACTTTTGGCATTTATTTTTTTATTTTATTTAGAAGAGTAAGTTAGGTAGGAGACAGTAAACTATGTTTTATATTTTAAGTCTTTTAAGTTAAAAAATGTTCTGAAATTCAAGAATTTTTTCAGCATTGTGAATTTCCCCTGTTAGAAAAAGTGAATGTATGTAAAATTAACAAAATGGTTAAAAACAGGTATTTATTCATCTGTTTTGGTGACTATGTATGTTAGTGCTTTCTTGGTAATTGGAGATATTTCAGTGAACAAAAAAAAAACCCTAAAAATACCTGTTTTCATAAAGCATATGTTGTCATAGGGCAGGCATTCATCCATGACAAATGCTGTATTAGAGGGTATAAAGTACTATGAAAAGCAAATATGGTAATGGATGGAGTGGGGGTTTCTTGAGTGTCTTGGGGTTCCTCATTTTTTTGTTCTCTAGTTGAGCAATAATGCCTCCTGATGCCCTCCACCAACAGATCGATTGCAGATTGGCTTCGCGCTCCTGACACCATGTATCTGCTGGACTTCGTGAAGCCAGAATTCCTCTTGCTTCGGGTATGGCACTTCGTCACTTTTTATTTCTGCTAACATGAGGAGTCTATTTGTGCTTCTCAAGTTTAGCTCGTGAATATAAATGTTTCCGCAGGGGAGCCTTTTGCTATTAATCCATCATCTAGATGTAATTGGTAGTAATCTTTTGAAATTTCCCAAAGTAACTTGTAGGATTGCCAGGAAACACAACCATATTGCTATATAATACTAGGAGTTAACATTTCAACTTCTTACTTTAGTCAACAAGCAGTTAAGTGGCTGGGGCTGCTTTATTTTATGTTCTTTCATTATTAAGGATGCAGCATTACTATTTAGGGTATAATTAGTGACAGTAACTATTTGACATAATTGCCTACATTTTTCCCTTTATTCTTTAATGTTTAAACTTGTATGTTTTTAGCTCATGAAAGCTTTTAACTTATATAGACAGTGCTAAGATTCTCTGTGATTTTTCTTTTATGAAGCGAGTGTTTAAAAATTCTTTAAACTTTGGTAACAGTTAATTCAATTTAGGGTTTTAGGTGTGTTTTAGGTGTGTTAAAATTTAAATCTTCAATTTATTTTAATGAGTTTAGCTTAGGTTGATATTTTGTACCGTATTTTTCAAATTGCCTTCAGTTGGGAACTGATTTTTACATTATTTAATATGATCATTGTTATAAAACCTGTGAACTTTGCCTGCTCTAATTGATTTTATCTGTTACATTTTTAAGACACTTGCTCGATGCCTGATTCTGTGGGATGATATTTTACCAAATTCCAAGTGGGTTGATAGCAATGTTCCTCAGGTGAGTATATATAATAAATATTGTTATATCTTTAATAGCATAAATTATAATTTCTTGTGGGGTTTTACAAAACCTTGTAAAATACTTATTTTGAATAAAGGCAATGTTGATAATTATAGTATCTCTTGAAAACATGGGACCTTTCAGTTTAAGATTGTGTGCTGACCAGACCACAGTCTTCTCTTTTGGCCCCAGATCCTGAGAAATTGTAGTATTAAAAACTAAATCTACCAAAGTACCCTAAAAAAGTATTTTGTCCTTTTTATCCTAATTAAGCTGCCCTCTACCAGGACCTGTCCTCAGTCCAGAAGCCATGAAAGAGGAAACTTACCCAGTGGTTTTCCTGTCTTCCTAGTGTCACCTCTCCTCTAGAAACTCCTTGCTTTTGTTTGATCTCTATTGCATTTAGGTCAAGGATTGGGGAACCATGGCCCACCTATTTTTATAAGTAAAGTTTTTTCAGAATGCAGCCATGTCATTCATTTACTTATTACATATAGCTGCTTTTGTGTTAAAACAGCAGAAATCAGGAGTTGCTTTAGATACTATATTATCAACAACCCAGAAATGTTTACTCTTTGGCCCTTTAAGGAAAGGTTTGCTGACCCCTGCCATAATAGTTAATTTTTATAATAGTTAATTTTTATATTTTGCCTAGAGTTTATACTTGTTTCCTTTTTTTTTTTTAAAGATTTTATTTATTTATATGACAGACAGAGATCACAGGTACGCAGAGAGGCAGGCAGAGAGAGAGGGGAAAGCAGGCTCCCTGCTGAGCGGAGAGCCCAATGTGGGGCTCGATCCCATGACGCTGAGATCCTGACCTGAGCCAAAGGCAGTGGCTTAACCCACTGAGCCACCCTTGTGCCCCTATACTTGTTTTCTTTTTCTTTTTTAATTTTTATTTTTTTATTTTATTTTAAGGATTTTTATTTATTTATTTGACAGAGAGAGAGATCGCAAGTAGGGAGAGGGGGAAGCAGGCTCCCTGCTGAGCAGAGAGCCTGATGCGGGGCTGGGTCCCAGGACCCTGAGATCATGACCTGAGCCGAAGGCAGAGGCTTAACCCACTGAGCCACCCAGGTGCCCACCCATACTTATTTTCTGCAAGAGAATCAGTCTGATAGTTTATTCATCCATTACCTAAACTCCTAGATTTATTTCTATTTGTTTGATACTTCCAGTTTGTTAGTGAGGAACAGATGAGGAAGAGTTGTTTTAATTGACTCAGCCATTTTTCAACCAAAATTTTAACTCCTAGCACATCTGAATATCAGAGATGTCAGTTCTTTCTGAAAGTGCCATTTAAAATCTGTATTGTAGGATAAAATTAAACTTTTTCCCCCATTCCTTCATTTAGTGCATATTTGTTGATCTTCTTTAAATGAACTCTATAAATGTTAAACTCTAGGCTACATTTAACATGGATCTGACATGTGGACTGTCCTCAAGAAACTCTAATAAATTTACTAAATTTAGTTTACAAAGTTAAAGATATACACAAAATAACTGTATTCCAGAACAGAAAGTGAAAATCTATGCCAGAGTTTTCTTTTTAACTTTTGTGGAAATGTGGCCCTTGGACTTTGAATACATAGTTATCTTTACTTCAGACTCAATATTTTAAAATTTGGCCTTTTTATATCAGGGATCCTCAAATACATGTTAACAAATTCACAGTTATGTTCATTGATACTTTCTGTCACTCTCCACTTTCTCCTAGTTTTCACCCATTCCTTTCACTGATTTTGTAGCAGGGCCTCTTGTAGGATACAACCTAGTGTCAAAAGAGGTCTTAAAATCACTTTGTAAATGGCTTTTTTTTTTTTTTTAAGATTTTATTTATTTATTAGAGAGAGAGAGAGAGAGATCACAAGTAGGCAGAGAGGCAGGCAGAGAGAGAGGGGGAAGCAGGCTCCCTGCTGAGAAGAGAGCCTGATGCGGGCCTTGATCCCAGGACCCTGAGATCATGACCTGAGCTGAAGGCAGAGGCTTAACCTACTGAGCCACCCAGGCGCCCCAAACTGCTTTTTTTGTTTGTTTGGACTTAAGGCATATCTAAAATAACAATAACTACATCTTCATAGCACTTTTTCCTTCATCACAAGCTTTACTCTACAACCTTATGTTATGTTCCTAGGCAGTGCTGTACTGTGAGTTGTTCAGGTATTGCCCTCTGTGCATTGGTGGGAACAGTGTGCTCTTTTTGTTATCAGTATGTCTTTGAATCCATAAGACTGTGAACTTCTCAAAGTCAGCTGCTGTGTGTGTTCCTTCTTTCCTTCCTAGCAACTAGCCCTTAGTAGCAAGAGCTACTGTGACAGTTATAATAGACTCATAAAAAGAAGGCAGACCACAGCACTAGACTAGACTAGAATCACCCAGCTAGTCAGAGCTGGGGTAAAACGGAAACTAGCTATTAGGACCTCAGATCTTAAGAGTTTTGCCTTGTACTCTCTACGAGACAGAGGAGTTTGGTGGTCTTTTCTTGTTCATTTCCTGTATGCCTTACCTTGCCTTTAAAGGACTATATTTCTCCCTTGGATTACTCCTTATATTTTTGATTTTTTTTTTAAAAACTTCCGGAGACCATAGGAAAGATGACAAGGACCAGATTGAGGAGGGGTTCTCCCTCTCCTCCCCCAATTATTTACAACCCAAGTTCTTAGTGATGCTTTTCAATGGTTTATGATCAAGTATAGTGTTAGAATACCTAGGTTAATGATGGTGATGATGATGATGATAGCAGCTAACACTTAAGACTTAGGCATTAATTTTAAGAGCTTTGAGTAGATTGAGTCTTCTAATTCTCAAAGGAACTTAGAAGGTAGGCACTTAAATTGTGCTCATTTTACAGACAAGACACAGAGCAGTCAAGAAAATTGCTCATGGTTACAGAGCTAGTGTGGGCCCTGCTGAACCTAGGCCTTAAACTCCAGTTTTAAAGACAAAAGGAGCTTATAAATGCCTGCTGTGAAAATAGAAATACTCCATTCCTATATGATATGATAGACACTTTATATAAATGTTATAATTAGGTTATCTATGTATATATAAATTACGTTGGAGTTATAGCAGTTTTTTAGAATGTCACTCAATTTCTGAGTAAGTAGCATACAAAATTAAAAATTAAGTCTGAAGAGGAAGGAAGAAAGATGGAAGTAGTTATCAGCCTATATTATACAGCCAGCATAATTGCTTACCTCATTGAGATTATCAGAGAGCAAAGGTATTTCAAGTTTTTTGATTTGGTGATGTTCAGTACATAAAAAGATTGTATCAAGGGCACGTGGGGTGGCTTACTTGGTTAAGTGACTGCCTTTGGCTCAGGTCATGATCCTCGAGTCCCAGAATTGAGTTCTGCTTCGGGCTCCCTGCTCAGCTCTCCTTCTCCCTCTGACCCTCCACCCTCTTGTGCTGTCTCACTCTCTCTCTCTCAAATAAATAAATAAAATCTTGATTTGTATACTTTTTTTTTTAAGATTTTATTTGAGAGAGAGAGAGGGAGCACAAGTTGTGGGGAGAGTTAGTGGGAGAAGCAGACTTCCCTCAGAGCAGGGAGACTCATATGGGGCTTGATCCCAGGACCCTGGGACCATGGCCTGGGCTGAAGGCAGACGCTTAACCGACTGAGCCACCTAGGCGCCCCTAAATAAAATCTTAAAAAAAAAAAAAAGAAGAAGATTGTATTGTTAGTGAGTTTACAATATTTATTGGTTTCTTATAGAAAGCATCCTGAAATGTTATTCTCCTAAACAGTCTTTGAAAAGATTATAAGAATAATTTTCAAAATTTAATTTAAAGTTAATTAAATGATTTAATTGAGTAATTTAAATCAAATTTAAATTTGATAAAGTTGTTTACTACTTAAACTATAAGGATGTGTTTCTCAACAGTAGTTAAAGATTAACATATCGATGGTTTAGTTTAGCTTAGGTAATTTAGTGACTAACCTTACTCTGCTGGGCATAAGGCTAGAAATACCTCATGAATAAGAAGTATATATTTCTGATTAGAGTTCTTTCCAGTTGCTTTTTCCCCTCTTCCCACTGCTTTCTCATATCCTTGCTCCAGCCCTATTCTCCAGTCATCTTTGCATTTCACTTCACTGGTGTGAAGTATTACATCAGCCTGTTACTGACTCAGAATACACTTCAGTCCTCCAGTTCATATGCATTCAGTCCTAATCAGTTATTGTTGGGTCTGTCTTAGATTTGAAATTGGATTGCATTCAATGTGATTAAAATATATGTTTTTGAATGAAATAGCTTATTTTATGTAATATGACCATGAAAAGCAGTTATGTTCTTCTTCTCTTTTCTTTTTTCTTTTTTTTCTTTTTTTTTTTTGGTGAAGGGGCCTGTGGGGCAGGGCAGAGGGAGAGGGAGCAAGAATCGGAAGCAGGCTTCACGCCTAGTGCAGACCCCTTTGTGGGGCTTAATATCACAACCCTGAGATCATGACCTGAGCTGAAATCAAGAGTCAGATGGTTAACCAGTTGAGCCACCCAGGTGCCCCAAAAAGCACTATGTTATTTTTCAAATCATGTAATATTTATAACTTGAATATTAATGTCCAGGTATTCTTGCTTTCTTTCTTAACAGATTATAAGAGAAAATAGTATCTCTCTCAGTGAAATTGAACTTCCTTGCTCAGAGGATTTGAATTTGGAAACTTTATCGTAAGTTAGGAAATACGTAAATCAAAGGACCTATTATAGAATCTCTCATAAATAAATAGAAATATACTGTGTGGGAAAAGTACTCCTTGATTTGAGTAATTCTGAATCCCCTATGTTTCTAACCGTTACTTACCAGATGCTCACAGAGTTAATTTTTTCTTTGTTTTTTGTTTAGGTCTCTGAAGTGTAGAACTTTTGCCCTCAGAAAACAATATCAGAGATTTAGCTTGTACATAGTCCTCATTTATCCTTTTCATTAAAAAAATTGGCAGTTATTTTTAAAAATTATCTTCTTTGCTGTGTGTGAAACATGCAGTCAAGAGGCATACTTTATCAGTAAGGGCTACATGGTCCTTCTGCTGAAGAAATTCGCTGGTGGAGTAGAGGCACAGTTGAGCATTCCCAGAAGAATGTAAACTAGTTTTGAGAACAGGAATATTTATTATTTTTACCCCCAGAAAATAGTAATAATGAATTTTAAAGCAAAATAATGGTAGTATTAAATTTCTTATAATCTGTTTTCAGGCAAGCACATGTCTACATCATTGCAGGAGCCTGTTTGTCTCTGGGTTTTCGATTTGCTGGCTCAGAAAACTTATCTGCGTTTAACTGTTTGGTAAGAAGTATCTTAGTTTATTCTCTTTTTTTAAACAAAGTGTTAATAGGCTTCTTTTAACCTCAGATTTTTTCTTTTGTTTTTCCAGCATAAATTTGCAAAAGATTTTATGACTTATTTGTCTGCACCTAATGCTTCTGTAGTAAGTCTTTTTAATGATCATTCTCCTTGGGAAAAAAATTGAACTTGAAAAAATTTATTGGTAACTAAGTTACTTAACTTATGTGTAGTTAAGTATTTCTGCAGTTTGTTGAGTATGGGAGATTTGAAGTTTTGGCTCATCTTTGTATTTGTGGTCTGGGGTATTAATTAGGTAAGAGTATGCTTACCCTTGAAGGATATGCAGGTCTCTAATTCTTGTGATATCAAAAACCATATCTTTCATGGATTGTCATACCCTATGGCAGGGATCTCAGGACTGAATATTGGTAACTGCTTTTTTTTTGGTAACTGCTTTTTTAAAAAGAAAGTCCTTAGTAAAAACGCAATTCCTTTTGAGGCATTGCTGCTCTAATAACAGGAGATTATAAGATTTTCCTGATAAAAACCACACAGATTTCTGCAACATTATAATATGAGAAAACTAGAAAATCAAAAAATCTGAAAGTAGTTAGGTGAATTTGATTATGGTGTATCCAGACATTGTTATACAATGGAGCTATCATACTCATGCTGTAAGAATTTTTTATGAGTAAAGATTGGTTACATATAATAGATTTAAAAAGTTAAAAATATGTGTAGTGATATCTCAGTTTAATTTAAAGAAAAAAAATTCATAGATACAGGAAAAGATTTGGGGAAAGGCCAAAATATTTATGGCAGTTTTCTTTGGGTGTTAGTATTCCAAGGAATTGTTATTTCCTTTTCGATACTTTATTTTCTGACTTTTCTACGTTGAACTTAAATTTCATAATCAGAGAAAATTTTTGTTTTTACAGATATTTTTAAAGTTGTAAATATTTGTAGTGTCATGATGGCCAATTTAGTTTTGATAATAAATGTAATGCAACAGTTGTAGTATGTCATCTTTTTGCATTTCCAGACAGGTCCTTACAACCTAGAAACCTGCCTGAGTGTGGTGCTTCTGTCTCTTGCCATGGTAATGGCTGGCTCGGGGAACCTAAAGGTTTTGCAGCTTTGTCGCTTCTTACACATGAAAACAGGTGGTGAAATGAACTATGGTTTCCACTTAGCCCATCACATGGCCCTTGGACTTCTCTTTCTGGGAGGAGGAAGGTAAGTGAATATATATTTTTTCTTCAATGAAAAGATCTCATGAATAAGATCTGTAAGAGTGAGTTATTTTAGTTTTGAAGATACTTGAAAAAAAATTTTTTTTTTTTTTTTTTGAAAAAATTTTTTTAAAAAGATTTGATTTATTTGAGAGAGAGAGAGACACAGCGAGAGAGGGAACAGAAGCAGGGGGAGTGGGAAAGGGAGAAGCAGGCTTCCCTCTGAGCAGGGAGCCTGATGCGGGCCTAGATCATGCGGGCCTGGGATCATGACTTGAACCAAAGGCAGATGCTTAACGACTGAGCCACCCATGTGCCCCAATACTTGAAAATTTTTGATCCTGACTGGCTGTTAGCATGTTGAGGAGCATTAGTATACTTTAAAAGGGCTTTTTTGTTTGTTTGTAGTTTAACCATCAATTTATGTCTTAGTAGAGTTGTCATCCTTGCTCTATATTTGCAGAAGAGTCAGTACTCATTTCTTCAGTGCGTCACCTCTTGTTCCCCATTGTTTAGTGACTTTGCCTTTCTACTGAACTCCTCTCTCATAAAGGTTGTGAACACTATCAGTCATCAGGTCCTATGAGAGTTTCTTGGTTTTCCCCTTCTTTGCTCTTTCCAGCATCTGTCATTCCTGACCACCTCATCTTTTTGTAAGACTTCCCCAGAATACCTATCTCTGCCCCTGCTGTGCCTCTCCTGTTAACGATTACTTCACTTCTACCCAGAGATAATCACTGTTTAGTCTCCTAACACCTTAGACTGGCTTTGCCTGTTTTTGAAATTCAAGTGGAATCATACACTGTGTGTTATATCATACTTAGAGTGGACCCTTGACCAGCATGGGTTTGAACTGTGTATGTCCACTTACACATAGTTGTTTTGGTTAAATACAGTACACTGCTGTAAATATATTTTGTCTTCCTTATGATTTTTCTAATATTTTCTTTTCTGTAGCTTTATTGTAAGAGTACAGATTATAGTATATATGTTCAAAATATGTATGTGTTTATCTACTTTTATCTACTTTCAGTCAACAGTAGGCTGTTAGTTAAGCTTTGGGGAAGTTATAAGTTATTCGTGGACTTTTTTGACTATGCAGAGTTGTTGGTACCTCTAACCCTCACATTGTTCAGGGTTCAGCTATACTTCTTTGGCTCAGCCTTTTGAGATTTATCCATGTTGCATGGAGTAATGTTGTATTCATATTTCTGTGCTGTTGAATTCCATTGTCTGATTATACCACAGTTCTCAATCTACTCTGCTCTTGATGGATGTGTTGTTTCTATTTTGGGGCTGTTACAAATATTCTTGTACATGTCTTTGATTTTGTTATATGTAGATCTATGCGTGGATCTGTGCATATGTATGTATGTTTGCTTAACTTCTGTAGATAATGCCATCAGTGCTCCAAATACATCAATCAGTATTGTATACCGTTCTAGTTGTTCCCTGTCCTTCCCAACACTAGTTTTACTGGGTAGTCTTTTTGATTTTGCCATCTGGTAGTAGTTGTGGTTTTAATTTCCATTTCTCTGAATAATGATATTTAGCACCTTTTATATTTTTAATGGCTAATTGGAAATCTCCTTTTGTAATACCTAAGTCTCCTGCTACCCATTTTCATTGGCTTAGTTATTTATTTAAAAATCTTATTTGTGGTGGGGCGCCTGCGTGGCTCGGTTAGTTAAGCATCTGGTTTCAGCTCAGGTTGTGGTTCCAAGGTCCTGGGATTGAGCCCCAGATCAGGCTCCCTACTCAAAGGGAGCCTACTTCTCCCTCTCCCTCTGCTTGTGCTCTCTCTCTGTCAGATAAATAAAATCTTAAATTTATTTGTGGTAATATACATGTAACATAAAATTTATCTTCTTAATCATTTCTGAATGTGCAGTAGTAGTAGTTAAGTGTATTCACCAATCACCAGAACTTTTTCACCTTGCGGAACTGAAGTTCTGTCCTGCTTAAACAACAGCTCCTCATTTCCTCCTTCCTCCAGCCCCTGACAGCCTCTGTTCTACTCTCTGTTTCTATTCATCTGACTGTTCTGTATGGCTTTATCATTATGATCCTGAACCCTCTGTCACTCTTACGTGTTGTACTTACTTTCTGCTGTGTGGTTCACCTTTTTGGTGTCTTTTGATGAACAGTTAACATTTTTCTTTTATGGTTTGTACTTTTTTGTCCTTTGGATAAAATATTTCCTTACCCCTCTCCCCCAAATGAAGATACTCTATTTTCTACAAGTTTTTTAGCTTTCCATTCACATTTGGATATAAAATCTACCTGTACTTGATTTTTCTATAAAATTCTTTTTAAAGATTTAATTCATTTATTTGACACACAAGAGAGAGAGACAGACACAGAGAGAGCACAAGCAGGGGGAGCAGCAGAAGGAGAGGGAGAAGCAGGCTCTCCCCTGAGCCGGGAACCTGATGTGAGGCTCGATCCCAGGACCCTGAGATCATGATCTGAGTTGAAGGCAGACACTCATGGTGTCTATCCAGGCACCCGTCTATGTGATTTTTTGATAATTGATGCCCTACTATTACTGAAAAATTTATCCTTTCTCCACTGTTCTGCAATACCGTTTTTATTATAAATTAAGTGTCCGTATATATACATTTATTTCTGGGCCATTCTGTTCATCTGGTCTATTTTTCCATACTTGCACCAATACCACAGCCTTAGTGCTTGTAGTTCTGTAGTAAGTCTTCATGTCAGGGAGAACGAATCTTCCAAACTGGGATTTCTTCTTCAAAAGTGTGTTTTTCTGTTTGAATTTTTATATAAATATTGGAATTTGTTTATTATTTTCCACACTAAATAACCCGAAAAAATATTGACCAGAATTGCATTGAGCCTATATATTGGTTTGGGAGAAATTGAAATCTGTTATACTATTGAGTCTTTCAGTGTATTTCATTTATTTAGCTTTAGTGTGTGTAACCTTGGCCAACTGATACAATTTCTACAAGTCATATAGGTATATTTTCCTCTCTTCTGTAAGACTGAATTAAACATTGGAGCTCACCTTTCTAGAGGTATAAAAGGTAAAGATTGTCAGAAAGGGTGCTTTCCCTTTTAACAAGTTTTGTAGAATTTTTCTTTCTCTAATTGTTTAGAATTAAGAATAGTTAAAAAAACTTACTATGAAAATTCTTATTTTATGATTTTTTAAAAAGATTTATTTATTTGACAGAGAGAGAGTACAAGCAAGGGTAGCATCAGGGAGTGGGAGAAGTAGGTTCCTGCTGAGCAGAGAGCCCAATGTGGGGCTTCATCCCAGGACCCTGGGATCATGACCTGAGCCAAAGGCAGACGATTAACTGACTGAGCCACCTGGCGCCTCTTATTTTAGGATTTTTGAAAATTTATTTTCCTTTCAAACTAAACCCCTGCACCTCTTGTTCTCTTATTCATTCTTTTTAATTTTAATTCCAGTGTAGTCTTATTCAATGTTAATCTTTCATTGTTTTTACACCGTGACCCTACTTGCTCTGCTTTCATATTGAGTAAATTTTCTCCCACTCTGCTCTGCTTTTCTAATGATTCGTGGTCTTTAAATGGTTATATGTACTTAATGACAACATTTAGATTTCTCATTGCATAGCCACATCCTGTGTTTAATCTCAAAATTTGTAACATTAATATCTAATATTATCTTTGGGTTTTGGTTTTGTCAAAATGGTAAAGAGACAAAGGCCTATTTTATGCACATGGGAAAATGGATATATTTCCTTACTTAAATTTTGAAATATCTTCTTCCTAATTCATTAAATATATGTATATATGATAAGGGCTATGTTCTTACTTGATGCCTAAATTATTAAAATGATAAAGACTTGGGAATATATGTGTGTATGTGTGCATGTGAATGTATATAATGAAATGTATATTGATTATCTGCAACAGTGGTTTTATGTGATGTCCAGTACCATCTTTATTTCAAGATTTTTGTAAAATATTTGTAAGAATAAAACTATTCTTACAAAACCTTGTAAGAAAGACTTTAGAACTTTAGAGTCATCTGCCTATTGGCCGTGCGGAGTTTGAGCAACGGTAAAATAACATAAGGAAAATCTCAAAAGGTTTTATTAGGAGTATGTGACTTTTATAAAAATAAGTTTATCACAGTGATAAGAAAAAAACTGTTTATACTTGGAGTTCTATACATACCTCCTTATTGTCATGTCTTCATTCATGACTTTCAATTAAGTGTAATCTCTAGGATTGCATTCATGGTCCTCACTATTGTGATATTTTCAGTTAAAAATCCATGTTTACTAATTCAGGTTTTGAAAGTTATCATCTGTGGAATGTTACTTCCGCTTTCAATAGTAGATAATCTTAAAATGGCTTAAAGACTCACTGAAGGGGCGCCTGGGTGGCTCGGGGCGCCTGGGTGGCTCAGTGGGTTAAAGCCTTTGCCTTTGGCTCAGGTCATGATCTCAAGGTCCTGGGATCGAGCCCCACATCAGGTTCTCTGCTCAGCAGGGATCCTGCTTCTTCCCTCTCTCTGCCTCCCTCTCTGCCTGCTTGTGATCTCTCTCTCTGTCAAAAAAAAAAAAAAAAAAAAGACTCACTGAAAAGTGAAACGTTGATAGCACCGGCACACTAGTATCTATCAAAGCATTTCATCAGTGGGCTTTGCTATAGTACCCCAATTATTGGATTCTCAAGAAGGCCTTGGAAGTTTGCACAGTGTATTTAATAACATTTTTCCCTCCTGCATTTGTTTCACAGGTACTCTTTGAGTACGTCAAACTCTTCCATTGCTGCTCTCCTCTGTGCCCTTTACCCGCATTTCCCAGCTCACAGCACTGACAATCGGTGAGTCTGATGATTGTGTCCTCAGTGTGATCTTCCGTAAGGTCTCCAAGGGGTAATTTGATGGTGCTTTGGTTCCATGGACTCATTTCCAAATTAATTTGTTCTCTTCTTGGACTTAGTTACCTTCCTGACTAAATCTTCTAAAATGTTTCTCCAAATATTAGACCAAAAGAGAACTTTGGATGTCTGATGGACTGATGGATCCATCTTCCACCATTCTTTAATCAGTAGAACTGCTCTGAACCCAGAAGTGGGCCAAACAGGTTTACCTTTAGGGAAAAATTCATCAAATGAAAGATACTAGCCAACAGAAGCAAGATGATATATTTTATATCATAATTGTTTAATTCTAAGAGAGAAATTGGTCTGATTTAGTGGCAGTGTCTATATGAATTCCATTTTCCCCTCTTACATTAATGTTGAGAAGTTTTGTATAAATGAAATAAAAGGGACATGAAAAGCAAAATGCAGCAAAGAATCAGAGATAACTTATAAGTGGCAGTGAACCCTAGAACCTCAAACACGTAGGAAAGGAGTGATTGTACAGAAGCTCTGCATTTGAGAGCACAGACGGCCTTCAGCACTGCAGTCTCCCTGGCAGTTTCAGGCATAGCTGATTCCTGCTGCATATGGAGGAGGGGGAGAAAATAGCTCTTTATGTTCCCATGACATCCGAGGTGACCAGTGTGTTCGGCTCATCTCTCAAGAGATGCATCCAGAAATGGAGCACTAATGTAGTAACTGAGCTGTCATGCTCTAGTGTAATGTCGTTTAAAATAGTAATAATAAATGAAAGTTAGCTGTTTTATAAAAGTGGCCTGATCTGACGTCTAAACTCTGATGATAGGTGGAGCACAAGCATATTCTTGTTAAATTATTGCAACTCTGACAAGTGGTCTCTTGCTTGTCAATTTAGGAAAGACTTTTTGAGTTGTTAATGTCCGTAATTAGTGGTTAGGGTACAACAAGGAGCCTCACTTCCCTATTGCTAGGAGAATTGTTTGGTTTAGCTATTTTAAACAAAGCTGTTTGGTGATAAGCACCAAGAACCTTTATGTAACTGATAAATACCGTTTTTTTCTTCCTGGGCTTGATTGCTTTTAATTTTTTCTTTTTTAAACAAGAACATATCTACACATTTATTTATTTATTTATTTATTTATTTATTTATTTATTTATTTTTCAGTAAGGTTAAATCCTTGAGGGGTACAGCATCACACAGATTCTGTGGCCAATGACTTTAACAGGAAGGTGGCTTTGGAATTTGGCACGAACCATGCCACTGTTTCCATGAGCACGAGTTACTTTTTCCCAGATTACTCTGGTTTTGTTCAGTTTGCCACCAGGAGTAACTGTGTCATTCTTTGCTTTGTATATATAAGCTTATCTCTTGCCTAGATAGAATTCAGTTTCATTTCAAGCATAAACACTTTCAATTTTAAGAGCTATGTGCTCCCTCTGGTTTCGGAGACCCTGCTTATAGCCAGCAAAAATGGCCTTGGACCACAGCCTTCATTCGTCATTATAGGAGACCTCTTCTCAATAGGCCCCGCTTACTTGCACCCAGAGTTTAGCAGCAGGAGCCCCCTCTACTTTTAATTCTGATTAATTTATAGGAAAGGGTAGGTTTGGGTGGGAGGAGGGGGAGGCTATTGCTGTAACTTAAATTTAAAAAGAAAAATTTGAAGTCTCATTTTATCCTTTTATGGCATCTTAAAATCTAAAAACTTTTTGTGTCTAAATGCTAAAAAATAGAGGAGTGCCTGGGTGGCTCAGTCCTTTAAGTGTTCGCCTTCAGCTCAGGTTGTGATCCTGGAGTCCTGGGATCGAGCCCTGTGTCAGGCTCCTTGCTCAGTCTCCCTGTCCCTCTGCCATTCCCCCCTGCTCGTTCTCTCTCTCTGTCAAATAAATAAAATCTTTATAAATAAATAAATAAATGCTAAAAAATAAATGGTAGTTAAAAAAATTTTTTTTGAAAGCCCAGAAAAGCATCATGATCTCCCCCATTAGTTTTCAGTGTCCTGGATCCCAGGTGTGTGTGTATATATTTGTGTATAGGGGTGCGTATGTAGATGAGCTTTCCTTCTCCCTACCAGCCCTTATGCCAGAAAAACAAAGACCTAGAAGTAAGTCCCTTGGAAGGTAAAAAGGTGCCTGTGTAGGTCACTAAAGGATTATTTGAGAGCTGATTTTATAAGTGATGATTTTTTCAGTAAATATTTTCATGTTAAGGTAATTTTTACCTTATCTATAAAACCTTGTAACTATGAAAAAAAAGTTAAAAAAAGTAAAAAAAAAAAAAAAAGCAAAGAATTCTTGAGTCAAGGATCATGTGTCTATAATTTTTTAAAGAGAATCTCTTCATTAGTTTTTTTTTTTTTTAAATTTTATTTATTTGACAGACAGAGATCACAAGTAGGCAGAGAGGCAGGCAGAGAGAGAGGAAGGGAAGCAGGCTCCCTGCAGAGCAGAGAGCCCGATGTGGGACTAAATCCCAGGACCCTGGGATCATGACCCGAGCCGAAGGCAGCGGCTTAACCCACTGAGCCACCCAGGCGCCCCTCTTCATTAGTTTTTAATTGAATCTTGTCATCTTCCTAAATTTCGGACCGCTGTCATGGGAAGATAACAACCCCAGCTTCCATCGGGGTTCAGTGTCGGCAGCAACGGGGTGGAGAGCTCACACTGTCTCAGCTGTTCGTTACCTCCTGTCTGTGTTTTCTGTGAGCAGGTATCATCTGCAGGCTCTGCGGCACCTGTACGTGCTGGCTGCGGAACCAAGGCTCCTGGTGCCCGTGGATGTGGACACAAACATGCCCTGCTATGCCCTTTTAGAAGTTACCTATAAGGTCATTCTCTCCTTTCATTTATCTGTAGTTTCGTTACCACTCATACATCTTTGCAGGTCAAATATTTCAGAACTCTTGTCCTTTAAAAGATGACAGAGTGAATTAATCTTTTATAAAAATTGAAGCTTCTAAAGTTCTTGTACATCCTGTCAGGCCATTCAGGCTCACTTGTAGTTTAGGAGGGTAATAGTGTAGAAGTCATCAGCTGCTCTTCTGCCCCAGAGTCTAGAGTTTGAAAATGTCCTTGTTCACAAGTTTGAGTTAAAACTATTCTAGATCTGTTTGCAGAGCATATTTGATGAGAGATCTTTGATTTAGATGCACACATTGTAAGTCATGTGTATCCTTCCTTCATTCAGAATATTATTAAGTACCTTCTGTGCAGCAAACTGTGCGAAGGCTCTGGGGTATAAAAATTACATCTTTGTATTCCTTAGGGACCTGCTGTCTATTAGGTAGCCAGGCATGGATGCAGTAAGAGTAGCGCATGGGGGTATGTGTAGAATGCAGGGGAGCAGAGGAGAATTGTCCCCTCCAGCTGTTGAGGACTGGGGAAGTTGTCCTGGTAGACACAGTGTTTGGGCTGAGGTTTGCCAGCTGAGCAAAGGCACGTTCCCAGAAGATGACATGTGTGTAAACCCAGAGGCTTCAGAAGTACAGATATTCTGAACTGCTAGTATGTGAAGTGGTATAAGGTGATGCAGGCCTTCCAAAGGATTGTACACTTAGCCCTTAAGACTTGATACAACGAGCATTTTATGCCATCTGGCCATCTGTATAGAAACGGTGGGGAAAGAGAAGTACGGAGTGGATGGAGATGTTTCTTCTTGGTAGCTTCCCCTAACTACATAGTAAATTGTGGCTGTTCTTTTACTTCTGTAAAGGGTACTCAGTGGTATGAACAAACCAAAGAAGAATTGATGGCTCCTACCCTTCTTCCAGAACTCCACCTGTTAAAGCAGGTGAGTGGGATGTGATTTAGGGAGATCTGTGCAAGAGGTTAATTCAGCCACATCAGTGTGCATCAAAGGTAACTGAGATGAAGCCTCTGCTTTCTCAGTGTTCTGTAGGAAATAGGAAAGCAGCCCCGGTAGGAATTATCATGAACAGAGACAGTCTTTACTTGCAGATCTTTACTGAGAGGTTAGATGGCCATAGAATTTGATTCATATACATTTTTGTGTAGTAATGTAGCTTGTTAACTTTTCAGTGTCTCTTTCCGGCTTATTTTACTTCTTCTGAGAAATGTGGGTTTCATTTTGCCACACTAGCACCTTTTTAGCGTTTGATTGACTGTGTTCACATTTATCTTGGCAGATTAAAGTAAAAGGCCCGCGATACTGGGAGCTGCTCATAGATTTAAGCAAGGGAACACAACACTTGAAGTAAGTATACCGAATTTCTTAGATGTGTCTGTGAAGTGAATAGAAGTAAATGGAAAGGTAGAAATTGCAGATTATTATCTAGGATGGTTCCTTGTCATTCTTTGATCTCATGCAGGACAGTAGCGTATATATCGAATAAAGTGGTCTGTAACTTTGAAACGGAGTTTATATTAGAAAATGAGTTTTCTTTTTTTTTTTTAAAGATTTTATTTATTTATTTGGCACGGGGGCTGGGGAGAGCAAGCATAAGCAGGGAGAACAGCAGGTAGAGGGAGAAGCAGGCTCCCCGCTAAGCAAGAAGCCCGATGTGGGGCTCGATCCCAGGACCTTGGGATCATGACCCGAGCTGAAGGCAGATGCTTAATCGACTGAGCCACCCAGGTGCCCGAGTTTTAGTTTAGAAGACACCCTAAGTAGTTAGTTATATTTATTTATTGAGAAACTTGTAGTGACCTAAGTTGGTACAGTAATGGAATTATCTGTTGGAGCAGTAATAAAAGATAATCAGTGTAAAAGAGTAAGGCTGGGGTGGTGCCTGGGTGGTTCAGTCGGTTCAGTGTCTGCCTTTAGCTCAGGTCATGATCCCCAGGTCCTGGGATCAGGCCCCACATTGGGTTCCCTGCTCAGTGGGAAACCTGCTTCTCCCTCTCCCTCTGCCTGCTGCTCCCCCTGCTTGTGCGTTCTCTCTCTTTCTCTCTGTCAAATAAATGAATAAAATATTAAAAAAAAAAAAAAAAGATGGGGAAAAAAAAAAATAAGGCGGGTATGTATGTCCATCTAGAAAGGGAACTTTGTAACAATTGATATTTGCCAGACCACATCTTGGATATTTTTATTACTGTTTTGTTGAATTGTTCTTATAAAATTAAGATTATGATAGATAACTTTTGAGTGGAAATAGTCATATGCAAGTAATTACTTTAATGAACAGAGTGTTAATTTTATACCTTGAGTAGGGTAAATTAAGTCTTTAAATTTCTAGAAAGTTTAATAAGCCCATAACGATTTGGTTTGAGAGGGTTGGGGGTGGGGGATGGGATAACAAGGCGATGGGTGTTAAGGAGGGCATGTGTTGTGATGAGCACCGGGTGTTACACGCACCTAATGAATCATTGGACATTACATCCAAAACTAATGATGTACTATACAGAGACTAACTGAACATATTAAAATAAATTAATTAAAAAAAGAATTTTTATAGTTTGGTCCCAATTTATATTTCCCTTAAACTAGATATGATGGCTGTTTTCTCTGTTGTTCTCTTTAGATTTGCAGTACCATTTTTTCCTGCTGCTGGCCAGTCAGTAGAGATCTCGTACCTCCAGTGGATAGAGGATAAAGGGAATATGGAGAAATGTTAGATAAAATATTGCCTTTGAAGCACACACTTGAGCAGGCAGAGCATGAACTAAGTTCTGTGAACTTAGATACCAAAGAGTAGTAGAACTTTATTTTGGCTTTCTCATAGGGACTGATTTAATTTTAGACACAGTAAATGATCATATACCCTACTGGAAAATGATGAAGGCTTCATCTCATGTGAACATGATGTTGGGAGACACTGTGTTTCCAGCTGAGAACTACAAATAATACCTCACATAAAATTCATTCTTGTTTTTTTTTTTCCCCAGATCAATCCTTTCTAAGGATGGAGTTCTGTATGTTAAGCTCAGAGCAGGTCAGCTCTCCTACAAGGAAGATCCAATGGGGTGGCAAAGTTTGTTGGCCCAGACAGTGGCCAACAGGAACTCTGAGGCTCGGGCTTTCAAGGTATTATTGACTGGTTAAAAACTGAAGGATGAGGTGGAATAATTACAAATCCCACTAGCCCACTCAAAGCATGTACTTCTTTGGTAACATTTATGGTACCATTTAGGTGAATCTGCTCTCTCATCACTGCAGATTATAAAGACTGAATGACCTTGGATCTGTTTCTTGTTTTATGTAGCAGCTACAGTAAAATATGGGCCATCTGCCAGGACTCTAAGGATGACTTACATTTAGCAGTAGGGACAGTATATCTTCTTTATTTTTAATTAATATGTAATGTATTATTTGCCCCAGGGGTACAGGTCTGCGTATCGTCAGGCTTACACACTTCACAGCACTCACCATAGCACATACCCTCCCCAATGTCCATAACCCAGCGCCCAGGTCTGTATTTCTTAACACTATAAAAATGTTTAGTGTAGTAATTTTACTTATTAATCTTCAAATCTGTTAAGATTTGTCTAATTCATGGCAGAAATAGATAAAGATTTTTACAAGGTAGCGCTAATTAGTTTTTCTTTAGACCCCCCATTTGTTGGTTAAATCTTGGTGAGGATAAAAGGATGACAGGTTTATTTGATCAGTTTGCTTTATTATTCTCATAGTACTTGACCGCTAATTTAAGAGTATTTCAAATGAAAAAGCAGTTAAATTAAGAGTGTTTGAAACAATCTCATCCCTATCGTGGTCAGTATGTATTTTACTCTATACTTAAGAAGTTAAATATGTTCCCCACACTAGAAGTGTGTTCCACAGGGACGCCTGGGTGGCTCAGTCAGTTAAGCGTATGCCGGGGTCATGATCCCAGAGTCCTGGGTTTGAGTCCTGCATCGGGCTCCCTGCTCAGTGGGGAGTCTGCTTCTCCCTCCCTCTGCCTGCTCGCCCTGCTTGTGAGCGTTCTCTCTCTCTCTCTCTCTCTCACAAATATATAAATAAGATCTTAAAAAGAAAAAAAAGAAATGTGTTCCATAAACTAACATTAAAATTTCTCAGTTTAAGTATAGTTTTCAGGAATTTCATGAGCAAATGTGCTCCTGCTGAAGATACATCAAGTCGCAGTATAAAGTGATCAGAGCCCCTAGAGGGTGGCGGTAGAGGCAGAAATGTGGCCGGTGGACTGGCTAAGTGGTAGCCAGGGGACTAAATTAGCCACCTTTGTTTTTCCACATAAGGAAATAGCATTTATTTTAACTCATATTTCATTTTAGACCGGTTACTTACGACTGAGCCTTTATAATAGTTCCCAGGGTTTAAGTAGATGTAGTTGACATTAATGAATTTTGTTGGGCAGTATTTGATAGGATGTCTATGAAATAGTTCTGAAGGACTTTTGGATATGGTTTAACTTAAGCTCTCTTGCTTGTATAAATTAGAGCCCATCTCAAAGACCCTAATCTAATTTGTAAAGAAAATAGAAAAGTTTATACTTGATTTTGAATTGGGAAATTCCGTAAAGATTAAAAGACATCTCAATTTCCTGCTTCAAGGGAATTCAGAAGCAAAACATAAACCTCAGTGGAAAATTGTAATACCTTTGTATTCCATGTATTCCATATTCCCTTTTCTTGAACCTTGAGTGTTAATCTCTTTTTTTTTCCAATTTTTTTTATTGTGGTAAAATAAATACAAAGTTTGTTGTTGTAACCCCTAAGTGTATAGTTCAGTGATGTTAAGTCCATTCATATTGTTGCGCAGTCATTAGCCACCATCCATCTGTAGGGCTCTTTCATCTTGTAAAACTGAACCTCTGCACCCATTCAACAGCAACTCCTGCTCCTGCTCGCAGTCCCAGGTGCCCACCATTCTGCTTTCTGTCTTGGAATTTGATTATTCTAGCATCCTCATACCAGTGGAATCCATACAGTATTTAGCTTTTAGTGAGTGGATTGAGTGGTAGTCTTTTTGCCTTACCTTTTCAGTTTCAGTTCTAGTTTCTTATTTGTTTTTCAGTCAGTGAGGGAGAGGGGAAAGCCTTTTGGGGGCAAGTTGTATAAGAAAGACCCATTTATTATTGGCCTTTTGAGAAGTCAGTAGCTTATGTTTGGCTTATGTGAAAAAGCGTCTTGTAACTTCTCAGCGGAACAGGTTGGTGAAGCTCTAGCAGATTTGTACAACCTTGGGCTTTATGGGAACGTTGTATGAAAACAGTGAGGTAGTTTTCTTACAACTGCATATACTACAATTTGAGCAATAAGGAAAATAACCTCTGGTATTTCACATTTGTTGCTGTTTATTTTTTTTAGCCAGAAACAATTTCAGCATTTACTTCTGATCCAGCACTTCTGTCATTTGCCGAATATTTCTGCAAACCAACTGTGAACATGGGTCAGGTATGTATCATCTTTGACTCAGCTGCCAGGCTACAACTTATTATTTATCTGTGAACACCACCAAAAAACTCGGGTACATTGGATGATTTTTGCTTGGCAAATACAGATTTTTCATAATCTTTTTTTTTAAAAGATCTTATTTATTTGACAAAGAGAAAGCAGGAGTGCATAAACAGGAGGAGCAGGCTTTCCGCTGAGCAGGGAGCCTGACGCAGGGCTCGATCCCAGGCCCCTGGGATCATGACTCGAACTGAAGTCAGTTGCTCAACCAACTGAGTCACCTAGGTGCCCCAGATTTTTTGTAGTTTAAAATTATTAAATTTGTTAACTCCCTACCTTGATAGAAGAAACAACTTAAGATTTCTAAGACGTTAATTTCAATAGGTGATATTTTCTTATGTGCCTCCTTGTACTGATTGATATTTTCATTGTTTACTGTCTCTTATTTTTTACATAATTTTATTATTTGTTTCCTCGCATTTTATAGCTTTTTTCTCTTGGTCATAAAACTTGTTCTCTTCAGGATTCAAAGGGTGCCCAGTAGATCTTTTATTTAATCCAAAGTTTGGATGTAGGAATTTGATATCTGGGATTGAGGGCCTGTTGCCTATAAGTGTGTGTAGCTCCGGGAAAATTTTTTAGCCTCTCCAAAATGCAGTTTCCTTGTTTCTAAAAGTGGGATTATGATAGAGCCTACCTTACATTGTTGTTTTGATGGCTAAGTGAGATAATTGTAACCCCTTTAACTTACTGAATCTTAACTATTTATTGGACACTTTGCTCAGTATTTTATGTAATTTTCTTATGGATTCTGACTCTGAGGGTAGGTACTTTATCATTCCAGGTTTGCAGATGAGGAAACTGCCACTCAGCTAGCACATGCCTAAGATCACATAGCTAGTAAGGGCTGGGCAAGCATTCAAGGCTGCAGGTCTCTGATGAAAGTCCGTGCCTGTCCTTTAGCCCAACTGGGTTTGGTTGTGCTGCCTCCTCCATACCTGTTCTGCTTGGTGTTTTTATGCATCTTTGTTGGATGCTGGGTTTTCTTTCTGGATCTTGTTCTTGCCAGCCTAATCCAAGGCACGTCTCTGTAGTGTCTTGTCAGCTCATTTTACCGCAGCCAATACTTCCTCTCCTCACAGCACTTAGAGCCCTAACTGTCCCTTCAGACTTAATTTTACTACATTTGATTGATGTTTAGTATTGCATTCACTATGCTTTTATAAAGAGATAGCTGTTTTACCTTATGTATTATTGACTGTTGAGCTTAAGAATGGGCCATGTAGTTGCTCTACAACGTTGAATTGATTTTGGAATATACATTGATGTGCTACAAAAAGTTTCTAATTTTCCACAGAAACAGGAAATTCTGGATCTGTTTTCTTCAGTACTGTATGAATGTGTTACTCAGGAGACCCCAGAGATGCTGCCTGCATACATAGCAATGGATCAGGTATGGTTCAAAAACCAGTTCAATTCTGATGACATTTATACTGTATTTTAATTAACATACTGAACAATGAGGTAAGGTTCCCTGTGTGTACATCTTTTTTGGTTTCTCATTGCTTTTAGCAATTCAAAAAAGGAAACCCTATAAAACTTAAAAGCTTTACTTATGACAAAAAAAAAAAAAGCTTAGAATTTATGATGCCAGGAACTCTAGGGTTCCCAGTCTCCCCTTTTTTCTCTTCCTTCGACTATCAGGGGAAGACCACATTCCGTGCCTTTCTTCCCTAGCATCCTTCTCTTGTCTCCTTCCTGCAAAGCCTCTTCATGGAAAAGAAATGCAAATGAGCAGTAAGTGAACAAACAGTACTCTAGTGATGACAGTAATGTGAAATTATGCTTGTGTGATTAAGCGTGCAAGAGGTTATAGTATTAGTATGTAGGGATTTAGGAAGCTGGAGTTCATTTTTAAATTTCTTTTATTTTATTGCTGTTTTAAAAGAGCCTAAAAGTGGTAATGCAGAAAGTGATGCCTAACTGCTTCCCTAAAGGATCAGGCCAATTTATTCACTTTGGGTTATTAGTAATACACAAGACTTTTTAATAGTATCACACCTTTCAGACCCAAAATTGCAGTTAAGCTTAGCCAGTAGTTTTCTAACTGGGCTTAAATTTATAGAGTAATCTTCAGAATACAGATCTTTAAGTCCCGTTCTGTATCATCTACTGAAACAGAATTTTCTGGGATGAGGTCCAGATCTGTGATTTTTAAAGAATTCTTTAAGTGAATGTGACATGGTGAGTTCATAGATAAGCATGTGGGACTCAGTGTCTAAATCCAAAGGAAGTAATCTCTAATGGCAAAATAATCTTTATTGAAAAGTAGGAAATGACACTTAGGAAGGAGAGAATTTCCCAAAACCTGAAAATCACATTCTGTCAAGTTATATTCTTAATTAAAAGGCAAGTTCTAATATAACCAGATAGGCCCAGAATGGCATTATTGTCTGGTATCCATCCACATCTTTTAATTGGAAAGTATGATTTTATGATGTCCACACTAACACTGTTTGTCACAGGGCTTCTCTATATAGCAGTTAAATAATGAGTTTTATTTTTCCTTTGTTGGCCGAAAGTGTTCCCTTTTTATGCTCTGAACCTTTACCCCTTCACAGTCATGGGCAGGTGTCTACAGAAGAACATCCCTGCTGGTTGCAGCCATGGTGATTTTGCAGATGGGTCCCAAGAACAGTATTATTAGTAGTATTGTTTTGCCTTCTGACCCCTGGGTTCCCTGGCCAAGTCATTGTACTCTACTTGGGTTTCCCAGAGGTGATGGCAGTAGACCTAGTGGGTCTTCATTTTTCAGAGCCATTGAGCCAAGGTCATTTGCCTTTGTTGCTTTTACCTAAAAGCTATTTATGTGGGGACCACACTGAAGAGGGTGGACATGTATCTGCACCCTCTCCTCTGGGGCTAACTGCATCAAAACATGGAATGGATTCCCTTTGCCCTTTATTGATCTATGAGCCATATTTTAAAAATACTCTATTATGCAACTCTAAGGAAGAGACAATTAGAGCAATTTCACTCTTTCTTTCATTAAGTGGACTGCTGTTACTTTTATCTCCTCAAGGCTATGAGAAGACTAGGAAGAAGAGAAATGTGTGAAACATCTGAACTTTGGCAGATAAAGCTGGTGTTAGAGTTTTTCAGCTCCAGGAGCCATCAGGAGCGGCTTCAGAATCACCCTAAGAGGGGGCTCTTTATGAACTCTGAGTTCCTCCCTGTTGTAAAATGCACTATTGATAATACTCTGGACCAGTGGCTACAAGGTAATAATCGCATTATGCCCAGCGCTTTTTTATTTTTTAAAATTCTTTATTTAAATTCAATTTAATTAACGTATAGTATATTATTAGCTTGAGGGGTAGAATTTAGTGATTCATCAGTTGCATAGAACACCCAGTGTTCATTACATCAAGTGCTGCCTTAATGCCCATCACCCAAATACCCCATCCCCCTCCACCTCCCCTCCAGCAACCCTCAGTTTGTTTCCTAGAGTTAAGTGTCTCTTATGGTTCGTCTCATTATTTTCATCTTATTTTATTTTTCCTTTCCTTCCCATATGTTCTTCTGTTTCTTAAATTCTGCATATGAATGAAATCATGTGGTACTTGTCTTTCTCTGATTCATTTCACTTAGTATAATACCCTCTAGTTTTACTATGTCATTGCAGATGGCAAGATTTCATTCTTTTTGATGGCCAAGTAATATTGTGTGTGTGTGTGTGTGTGTGTGTGTGTGTGTGTGTGTGTGTGACATCTTCTTTATCCATTCTTCTGTTGATGGATGTCTGGGCTCTTTATATTTGGCTATTGTGGCTATTGTGGACATTGCTGCTATAAACACTGGGGTGCAGGTGCCCCTTCAAATCAATATATTTGTATCCTTTGGTTAAATACCAAGTAGTGCAATTCCTGGGTTGTAGGGCAGTTCTATTTTTGACCTTTTGAGGAACCCCCATACTGTTTCCAGAGTTCCTGGTGCTTTTAAGATATTGGGACTCAGGCTTTTTAGTTTTAACATTTTCTTTCATTGTTAACCAAGATAAACCTGAATATAAGCTAGAATGGCTTTAGATGTAATGTTTTCAGTTAGGTGAATTGGACTCTGCTTATTTACTTCATCTTCTTTAAAAAATATATTTAAGGGGCGCCTGGGTGGCTCAGTGGGTTAAGCCGCTGCCTTCGGCTCGGGTTATGATCTCAGGGTTCTGGGATCGAGCCCCGCATCGGGCTCTCTGCTCAGCGGGGAGCCTGCTTCCTCCTCTCTCTCTGCCTGCCTCTCTGCCTACTTGTGATCTCTCTCTGTCAAATAAATAAATAAAAATCTTTAAAAAAAAAAAATATATATTTAACTCTGCTTAATACACTACAAGAATGTATATACGTACGTATGTATATATGTATGTATATTTATACATTTTATTTTATTTTTAAAATTTATTTATTTATTTGACAGACAGAGATCACAAGTAGGCAGAGAGGCAGGCAGAGAGAGAGAGGGAAGCAGGCTCCCTGCTGAGCAGAGAGCCCGATGCGGGGCTCGATCCCACAACCCTGAGATCATGATCTGAGCTGAAGGCAGAGGCTTTAACCCACTGAGCCACCCAGGCACCCCTATTTATACATTTTAAATGCCACATGACACTTAAGAACTTGTTTTATCTTTTCTAGCATCAGATCCTGTTTCCTTTCCCGGGTCTCTCTCTGCTGTTTCTTAGGGGTATGGCCTGTCACCTAGCTATGAAGTCAACAGGCTGTTTTCTTCCCTTGCCTTCCCTTCTGCCCTGTGTACACTGAAAACTCGATGTGTGCTTAGAATGAAGGTTTGTTTTACCAGCTCTTTGAGTCAGTCAGTGGGAACCTGGGACATCATGTGACTGTGGCTTAGAAATATAGACTTACGATTGCAGGGGAATAGTGTAGAAGTACTTATGCCTCACGTGAGGCAAATGAGGGGCCTTTTGATTTTTGGAAACCTGTCTAATGTGTGATATATGTTTGAAATTGATTTTTAGTCAACATCTTGATCTTTTTATTCTCTTCAGTTCCTTCAAATAACTTCTGATACATACCTGACAGCAACCTGTTTGGGGTAAATACTAACCTTAGTAATAGCAGTAGTAATAATTCTTGATGTTTTAAAGCTGTTAGTAGCCAGTAGAACCTGCATTTGAATATAATTTAGGTAAAAACTATCTACTGTAATATAGGGAATAAATTTCTGGAAAAAAAAAAGAGTAAACCAGATTACGAAGAGTATACATGGAAAACAGCAATTTCAAACTCCTCGTGTTTGATTAACAACTACATTGTTCTGTCATTTTCTCTTAGAATTCAAAAGATTATGTAGTTTTAAAATGTTTTTTAAAAAATCTCATTTTTTGGGAAATATACAAGTTACTACATGGGTTTTGATATTCTGTTTGTATTCAGTTCAGCATGATCATCTATGGCAGACCTTTGCTGTTGATAAGAAGTGTGTTCTTAACCTTTGCAGAGTCTCTGATTTGCACATTTAAGTAATGAAGTAATGAACTTAGGCAGTGAGTGGAGCAGTCTCTAAAACAGTGCTCTGAGTTACTGTTTTTCTTACTGCTCGTTAGGGCATTTGGTAGTTTACAACATTGCTCTTTACCAAATCTGACTTGCCATTGCAATTACCAAAATTTGCATTTATTTTTCAGTGAAGAACCATCACTTTTTTTTTTTTTTTAATTTTTTAAGATTTTATTTATTTATTTGACAGACAGAGATCACAAGTAGGCAGAGAGGCAGGCAGAGAGACAGAGGGGGAAGCAGGCTCCCTGCTGAGCAGAGAGCCTGATGCGGGGCTCGATCCCAAGACCCTGGGATCATGACCTGAGCTGAAGGCACAGGCTTTAACCCACTGAGCCACCCAGGTGCCCTAAGAACCATCACTTTTAAATTGAGGTAAAATTGATTGCATTGGTTTCGATATAATGCATTTATATTAGTTTCAGGTGTGTAACATAAGTTGCTACTTGTATATACACAAAGTGATCATGATTGTAAGTCTAGTTAGTTACCATCCTTCACCATACATCTGACTCCCTTCACTCTTTATCTACCTCTAGCCCTCTTCCCTTGTGACAACCATCACTCTCTTCTTTGTATCTATGAGTTTTGTTTTTTAGGTTCCACATATACACAAAATCATATGGTATTTGTCTTTCTCTGTCTAACTTACGTCAGTTAGCATAATACCCTCAAGGCCTATCCATGTTATTGCAAGTGGCAATATTTCATTCATTTATATGGCAGAGTAGTATTCCATCATGTACATATAACCACATCTTTATCCATTCATCCGTTGATGGACACTTAGGTTGTTCCAGATTTTGGCTATGGTAAATGATGCTGCAACTAAGTAAATATCTTTTTGGTTTAGTGTTTTTTTTCTTTCTACCATATATGATCCAGCAATTCCACTGCTGATAAATACCCAGCAGTGGAATTGCTGGATCATATATGGTAGATCTATTTTCAAGTTTTTGAGGAACCTCCATTCTGTTTTTCATAGCAGCTGTACCAGTTTGCATTCCCACCAACAGTGTAAGACAGTTCCCTTTTCTCCACATTCTTTCCAATACTTATTTCCTGCCTTTTGATCATAGCCATTCCAACAACTATGAGGTGATAGCTCATTGTGGTTTTGATTTGCATTTCTCTGATAATTAGTGATGTTGAACATCTTTCATGAGTCTGTTGGCCATCTTTATGTTTTCTTTGAAAAAAAAAAAGAGTCTATTTGGATTCCCTGCACATTTTTTTTAAAGATTTTTTAATCATTTGACAGGGAGAGAGAGAGCACACGAGGGAGAAGAGCAGGCAGAAGGAGAAGCAACCTGCCTGCAGAGCAGGGAGCCCGATGCGGGGCTCGATCCCAGGACCCAAAGATCATGACCTGAGCCAAAGGCAGATGCTTAGCCAACTAGCAACCCAGGCGCCCCTCCCCACACATTTTTTAAAAAGATTTATTTGTTTATTTTAGAGAGAGAGTGCACATGTGAGGAGGGGGAGGGTCAGAGGGAGAGGAATAGAGAGAATCTCAAACAGACTTCGTGCTGAGTGTGGAGCCCCAAATGGGGCTCAGTCTCATGACCCTGAGGTCATGACCTGAGCTGAAATCAAGAGTCGGATGTTTAACCAGCTGAGCTACCCAGGCGCCTCTCCCTGCACATGTTTTAATTCAATCTTTTTTTTTTCTGTTGAGTTGTTTGAGTTTTTTAAAATATATTTTGGGTATTAACCCCTTATTGGATATGTGATTTGCAGATTTTTTTTTTTTAATTTGCCAGGTTGCCTTTTCATTTTGTTGATGGTTTCCTTTGCTGTGCAGAAGTTTTTAATGTAGTCCCACTTGTTTAATTCTGCTTTTGTTGCCTTTGTTTTTGGAGTCAGTTCCAAAAATTCAGCACCAAAGAATGATGTCAGGGATCTTACTGCCTCTGTTTCCTTCTCAGAGTTTTATGGCTTCAGGTCTCACAGTCAGGTCGTTAATTTTGAGTTATTTTTTCTGTATAGTGTAAGATGCATATGGCTGTCCAATTTTCCCATCCCCATTTATTGAAGAGACTATCCTTTCCCCACTGTATAGTCTTGACTCCTTTGTTGTAAATTAATTAACCTTATATATGTGTGTTTATTTCTGGGCTCTCTGTTCCATGGAGGTCGTGCATTTATGCCGATACCAACTGTTTGGTTCCTATAGCTTAGTAGTATAGTTTGAAATCTTCCTTTCCATTTGGGATGCCTTTTGTTTCTTTATCTTGCCTAATTACTGTGGCTAGGATTTCCACTACTATGTTGAATAAAAGTGACAAGGGTGGGCATCCTTGTCTTGTTCTTTGTCTTAGAAGAAAAACTGTTAGCTTTTCATAGTTGAATATGATGTTAACTACAGCTTTGTCATATATGGCCTTTATATGTTGAGGTGCATTTCTTCTATATCCACTTTGTTGAGTGTTTTTTATCATAAATAGATGTTGAGTTTTATTAAATGCCCTTTCTGTATCTATTGAGATGATCATGTGATTTTTATCCTTTTTTTTATTAGAAGTAGTTTACTATCTGGGATGCCTGGGTAGCTCAGTGGGTTAAAGCCTCTGCCTTCAGCTCAGGTCATGATCCCAGGGTCCTGGGATCGAGCCCCACATCGGGCTCTCTGCTCACTGGGGAGCCTGCTTCCCCCTCTCTCTTTGCCTGCCTCTCTGCCTACTTGTGATCTCTCTCTGTCAAATAAATAAAATCTTTAAAAAAAGGGGGCGTCTGGGTGGCTCAGTGGGTTGAAGCCTCTGCCTTCGGCTCGGGTCGTGATCCCGGGGTCCTGGGATCAGGCCCCACATCGGGCTCTCTGCTCAGCGGGGAGCCTGCTTCCCCTTCTCTCTCTGCCTGCCTCTCTTCCTACTTGTGATCTCTATCTGTCAAAAAAAAAAAAAAAAAGAAGTAGTTTATTATCTTTAGATGTAATAATGTTTAAAATGTTTTAAAAATGAACAGTTTTAAAGTTACAGAAAATCGGAATAAATGAGAATATTCTACATTTGTAATAAGGAAATAATGATTTCCTCTTTATTTATTTTTTAAATTTTTTCTAATTTTTTAAAAGATTTTTATTTATTTATTTGACAGAGATCACAAGTAGGCAGAGAGGCAGGCAGAGAGAGAGAGGAGGAAGCAGACTCCCTGCTTGAGCAGAGAGCCCGATGTGGGGCTCTATCCCAGGACTCTGAGATCACGACCTGAGCCGAAGGCAGAGGCTTTAACCCACTGAGCCAGGCGCCCTGGCTTTTTTTGACTCCTCTTAATTTATTAATAATTGCTTAATTATCCTTTGTTTTGTTATTGTGCTATATCACTTTGATTTGCAGATGTTGAACCATCTTTGCATTCCTGGAATAAGTCCCACTTGGTAGTGGTGTGTGTGATCCTTTTAAAGTAGCTTTTTGTTGTTATTGTTATTGTTTTGAGGAATTAAAAAAGAATTTATTGAGGACAAGAGGATGCACACAATATAAAAATCAAAAGTTTATCTAGCTTTCACTGACTTTTCTTTCTCTGCTTGTCAAATGGTTGGATTTTACTTGTACATTTTCAGAGGATCCTGGCCTGTTCATGCAATCCTTTATACAGGGGGAAGCTATGGGGCAGATTCCTTAAGGGACTACTTAAGAGTCCCTTTGGGAGAACTCTCATCGGGCAGGAGTGTTCCTGAATGATTCCTACTTCTTTCTCTTCCATGTCATGTATACTACAAAATACTCATTGCATGCGGTGGTGAGCCCAGCAGTTAGCGAAAAGAAGTTCTGAAAGTCCACTTTGCCATCTCGGCACTGGTCTAGGTCCAGGTCTAGGTTCAGGTCCTTCATTATTTTGTCCACAGCCAGAGGGCCTTTTTGATTTTCCAAAAATCCAGGGAACTGCTTTTCCGTGAGTACTCTTAGGTCCTCCTTTGTTAAGTAGCCTTTATCCCCAGCAAACCTGGGGAACATGCACATCATGGTTTCCATGGTATGTTCCATTTGAGATAGGATTTTGGTGAGGTCTTTTGAAACCGTGGCCAGAGATATGGTGGGGACCCCTTTTGATGTATTTTTGAATTCAGTTTGCTAATATTTTGTTGAGTTTTACATCTATGTTCATCAGGGATATTGGTGTGTAATTTTCTGTGTGTGTGTCCTTGTCTAGTTTTGGTGTTAGACTAATGCTGGCCTTGTAAATGAGTTTGAAAGCATTCCCTTCCGATTTTTGGGAAGAATTTGAGAAAGATCGATATGTGTTGAATTTTCTTTGAATGTTTGCTAGAATTCACCAGTGAAGCCATCTGGTCCTGGAGTTTGCTTATTGGAAGGTTTTAGATTACCAGTTCAGTCTTGTTACTAGTAATCAGTCTATTCAGATTTTCTGTTTCTTCATGTTTTGTCTCAGACATATGTTTCTAGGACTTTGACTTTATCTGTTTCTTCTAGGTGGTCTCATTTGTTGGTGTGTAGTTGTCCATAGTAGTCTCTTATGATTGTAGTTTTTTTTTTTTTTTAATCAATTGTAATTTCTCTTTTTCCTTCTTTCTTGGGACTGTTAAATATGCTGCTTTCCCTCCCTACAACCTTTTTCTTTCATTCTCTGCCTACTCAACTTATATTCATTCTTATAGCCTCAGTTTAAGTGCCCCCTTTCTCATAGGCCTTCTAAGACAACACTACTTCAGGCAACTTTCCTGCCATTTTTATTTCTTTTTCCCCGCCCCCTTTCTCCTTCCCCTCTCCCAACTTTTATGTATCAAAATGCCTTTGTATACAAGTACTAGAGGGCCTAACTGAACTTGGCTTAAACAATAAGGACACATAGAAGCTTACATTGTTGGAATAGGTAAGGTGGTTTAAGGATCATCTTATTTTAGTGCCTTCAGCTCCATTTCTCTGAGGTTCCATTATTTATACTCTGTGCCATGGCTTTATCCTCAGAATTCTTTTTCTTGTGGTAATAAAATGGCTGTTCCTTTCCTCAAGCTCAATTTTGCAGAGAAGAATAGAGTTGCTTCTAGGAGCTTTGTCATAACAATGAAATTTCTTTCTCAGAGGCCTCTAGCAAATGTGTTATCAAACATCTCATGTCTCTGGCTTGAATTGGAACCCATACACATTCTTCAGTCAGTCCCTGTGGCAGAGATTGCCTCTTACTGAATAGCTTAGGTCTTCCAGTTCCTGAACCAGTCATTGGGTTGAGAATGGGATTGCCTTGATTGTCCTGGACCAGTGGTTTTCAAAGTGTGATTTCTGGAGCAACAGTAGCATCACCTGAGAACTTGTTTGAAATGTAATTTTTCTGACCCCATCTAAAAAACTTTGGGGATGTGGGCCCACTCATCTGTTTTAATCAGCTTAGGTGATTCTAATGTGCCTTAAAGTTTGAGAAAGTCTGGCTAATAGTAATCAGGATCCAGTTCTGGACCTGAAGTCAGTCCCCTCAAATGTTGTATACTGCAGGGAAGGAGGGGCTTTAAAGTGGGTGTCTGGAGAGGAAACCTCAGTGACCACCACTCCTTTATAGCACTCATCACAATTTCTATTTATTCATGTTTGTGTCGTTATTTGTATAATGTCTCTGTCCCTTACAACACTTCACAGTCTGTGGTGATAGGCACTCTGTCTCGCTTACCGCTGTAGCCCTAGTTCCCAGCATAGTACCTATCTGGTGTATGGTCAGTGCTTAATGAGTTCTAGATGAGAAAACAAGTTGCTTCAGTTCCATTTGTGTTTCTCTCACAGCTGGGGGTGATGTGTGTGTGCACGCCTACCTCAGTGGGCAGCCCTTTGAGGAATCTCAGCTGAGCATGCTGGCGTGTTTCCTCGTCTACCACTCAGTACCAGCTCCATGGCACCTGCCGTCTATAGGACTAGAAGGTAATTGCAGATCTAAATCCTCTTCAGTACCTGTATTATTGACTCACTTATTTTTTAAGTTTCTTGGTAGGAGGCCTTTCTAGTGAGTTATTTTATCTAGTTAGGTTTTGGTCTTCATTCATGTTTGGGTGTTACTGTTGAGAACTTTTTCTAAAAAGACTATCTGAACTTTATACATGCATAAACTTTTATTTACATTCAGAAAAGGATGGGTTCTTCAGAGAGCCCCAAACACCAGTGTATACTAATAAATTAAATGGTTATGTTATTTTTCTTTCATAATTTTTATTAAAGTTATTTTTAATTTTCTTCATTTTTTCGGTTTTTAGTTTGGATTTTTTTTTTTTTTTTAAGATTTTATTTATTTGGCAGAGATCACAAGTAGGCAGAGAAGGGGGGGAGGCAGGCTCCCTGCTGAGCAGAAAGCCCGAAGTGGGGCTAGGCTTTATTTTAACCCACTGAGCCACCCAGGCGCCCCTGGATGTTTCTTTTTAATCATATAATCTTAATTTCTAATATTATAAAGCTTTAAAATGACCAGGTACCTGGATTTTATATGAATTTGAATGTTTCTTATGATACAGAGTTTAAAATATTAACACCTCACTGTATTTTTCAGAATATGTAATTAGATATGGAGCTTGCCCAGTGACGTGAATCCTAAAATAGAATTAATTCTAAGCACCCTTATTATTATCACTTTCAAATTTGTGCTTACTAGTTGAGGGTTCAAAAATTGTTTTTAAGAAGAGCATAGATTGCTCCATTTAATCATTTAAAATTTAATAACATTACTAGTTTATTGCTGTTTTGAAAACCTTGGATAAGAATGTACTTTCTAGAGACTTCCAGTTATAGCCATGATGGAATTGCTTATATTGGAGTGACCTTCCCTCAAAAACAAATACAAAAGTTTGACAAATCACATAAAACAGCTATTTAAAGGAATTGGTAGCAACCATGCTGGCCAGACTTGATTGAGGAGCCACAGTCCCCATGAGAAGGGAAGCATAATGAGGAAACTCCATATTTACTCAAGCTTTCTTCCAAAGGAATTTGCCAATTTGTAGCACAAATAGAGTCCCAGCAAAAGGCAGTGGTGCTACTGGGCAGAGTAGCCAGAGGTTAGGTTAACAATTGCCTGAGAATCTAGAACTTGAGCTAAATCCCTGGTAGGAGGGAATAATAGGAATAATAACTCAAAAACCTGGATGTACTCTTTCCTTGAGACCCATACCAAATCTTAAACATGCACAGGATAAGACTTCAAGAAATCTAGCAAAAGCCAGGAGACTAAAGATGTGAGCAAAGATTTCAGCAACAGCATAGTGCCAGGGAGACAAAGGGTAGTGTTCCAGGGCTGCTCAGGTGTGAAGTGGCTCTGATAAGCATCCCAGCCATTACCACAGCAGGACCAAGCCCCAAGAGTAAAGGTAAAAAGTGAAACCGAGAAGACCTAAAGTTAGCTTCAAGTAGAACAGAAATCTGTTTGCATTCTGCCTGCCTTATAGAAGAAACCATAACCTTCTTAGGAGGAACAAAATATATCCTGAACCTTTATACTTTTTAATACACAGTATCCACTTTTCAATCAAAAATTACAAGACATAACAAGAAAAGAAGGTAACAGAAGCTGACTTATATGTGACCTAGATAAAAGTTACTGGATTGGTCTTAAAATAACTACAACTGATATTACCAAGAAAATAGATGAAAAGATAGAGCATGCCACCAGAAATCTGGAATCAATAAGAAAGAGTTAAATGGAAATTCTAGGACTGAAAAATATAACTGAAATTAAGAATTCAGTGTATGGATTAAGTGGTGTATCAGACACAGCAGATAAATGAACCAGAAGGCAGGTGTGTAGAAAGTAAGCAAATTAAACACAGAAGTTGGGTTGAAAATACAGAAAAGGAGCATGGTAGAATATGGTGAAAAAATCAAACATGCACATAGTTGAGATCCCAGAATAAGAGGAGAGAGAAAATGAGATAGAAGCAATGTTTGAAGAGACTGGGGCTAAAAATTTTTAAAAATGGAGAATGGACATCCACTTAGAGTGAACACTAAGCAGGATAAATATGAAGAAAACCACACGTAGTCACAGAATAGTCAAACTACTAAAAATAAAAGAGGAAACAGTTTTCAAGCATAGACTTCCATTTCCAGCCAGGATGGTGTAACTGGGATTTGATTTGCTATCCTTTGTGGAACCAAAAAGACTAGACAGTGCATATGAAGCAGTGGCTTTTGACACATTGTATATTAGGTGATGAAGAACAGTGATCCCTGAGGATGAAGAACAATGTGATATGCCCTATGATTGCCCCAGATTATAACCTCGAGCGGTCCCAGATGTGGGGAGGGATCGAGAACCTAGGTGGAGCCTGAGAGACTCCGTGAGTTGAGGTCATGTTGCTGAGAGTACAGGGAGACCAGAGGAGCTAGAGTTTACAAGATGAAATCCCAGAGAGGAGAGAGCTACACAAAGAGAAAATGTCAGACATCTGCAGAGGGTCTCTCTCAACTATCAGAAGAGTACTTACTGGTCAGCACATGAATGAGAAGAAACTATGTGAGGGTTGGGGGAGAACTGTCTACATGGATTAGAGGACACACATTACCAGTTGCTTATATAGGTTCAGGAATAATGCCTGTTCCCACAACTTCATAATTAAAGGGGCCATAGATACGCAGAATGGTCTTGCTCTAGTAGTGGGAAGTATTTAGCTGTAGACTAAATAGACCTGAGTGTATTCTGGTCCCACCTAGCAAATCTTAAAAGCATGGCACAAAAGGATTAAACTTTTTTTCAAGAAATGTAATTCCAGAACAAAGCTCAAAAACATAGAAATACAGAAATACCCAATACCCAACAAGGTGAAATTCTCAATATCTGGTATACAAAGAAACAGGAAAATAGGACCTACAATGAGATGAAAAACAATTACAGCTGACCTGGAATTGACACAGAGGTTCGAATTAGCAGACAAGGACATTAAGACAGTTATTGTAACTCTATTCTGTATTTCAGAACATTAAGAAACATACAAGATATAAAAAGACTGTAATTGAACTTTTTGAGATGTAGAATGCGATATTTGAGATGAAGAGTACACCGAATGGGATTAATGGGCAGATTAGACATGCCATAATAAGAAATTAGCAAGCTTGATGACATAGCAATAGGAACTGTCCAAAATTAGATGCAAAAGTAAAAGAAGGAAAAAGAGGAACAGAACATAAATGAAGTGAGCTGTGGAACTTAAAACACCTAATTCACATGTGATTGGAGTCCCTGAAGAAGAGAGAAATTGAGGGAGGGAGAGGTGCAGCAGAAAAAAATATTTGAAGAAATAACACCTGGAAATTTTCCAGATTTGGTGAAAACTGTAAATCCACAGATTCAAGAAATTCAGTGAATCTCAAGCATGAGAAATATGAATAAAGTTATATTAAGGCAATCATAACCAGATTGCCCAAAACTGATGGCAAAAAAGTCTTAAAAGCAGCTAGAGGAAAAAGACATGTTACAGAGATAAAAATAAGAGTGACTGTGTATTTCTCATAGGAAGCAATTTAAGTGATAGATCAGTGGAGTAAAGGACCCAGAGGAAAATAAAATGTCTTGTTAGAGTTTTATACCCAGCAAAAATATCTTTCAAAACAAGTGACCATGAAATAATGCCAGAAACACAGAAGCTGACAGAATTCGTCACCAGCAGACCCACACTACTGGAAATGTTGTCAATTAAGTCCTTTGGGCAGAGGGAAAATAATATGAGATGGAGATGGGGGGTTACACAAAGGATTGCAGAACACTGGAAATGGTAATGGCATGGGTTTATTTATGCAAGGTTTATTTCTCTTAAAAATACATTTTTAAAGACCACTGACAGAATAAAAATACCAGCAGTGTGCTATGGAGTTGATAAAACATGCAGAGTGAAAAATAGGACAATAGTAGCTCAAAGACTGGGAAGGGAGAAATGGAAGTACTATGGGAAGGCCTTTATGCTAGTATGTGAAGTAGAATAATCTCATTTTGGTGACATCTTGGGTGAGATCAAAGGTAATCTTTGATCATTTAAATGTGTATGTTGGAAGTCATAAAGCAATTACTAAAGTAAGAAAACAGAATCAGAACTTACTTCAACAAAGAGGCTACAGTGGAATCATAAAAAGTCATAAAAAGTAATCCTTTTAAAAGAGGACAGTGAGGAACAGAGCACAGATGGAACAAATAGAAAGCGAAGAGCAAGATGATGTGTTTAAACCTAACCATTTCAGTATCGCATTGAATGTAAATGGTCTATTACATTCCACAGTGTATTAGTATGTTGGAGTTGTTTCATATCTTCCTGGATGTTTTTATTCTCTGTGCTTGGGTTTTAGTAAGGTCTGGGGAACACCATAGAATAACAATTAAATAAGAAATTTGTCTAAATTTCCGTTGAGGTTTTTTGAATATTTAATTCAGCTGGCTGGCAGAGGCCAGTCAATGAAAGGAAACAGGAGTAGTAGTTGCCTCCCTCATATTCTATGTAGCAGATCTCTCTCTTGTGTTAGTCGTGCCTTAATCAGAGAGCCACATGATCACATTGTGAAACGTTTCTGTTCATCTTCATGAGGTCCCATGATCATGAACATGCCTCTGGTGTCTGCATGTCTGCTAGGTTGCTTCCTGTGGCCTAGAGTCACAGGGACCATATTCACATATATATTGGAGCTAGGAGAGAGGGAATGGTTTACCATTATATGTGGTAGGATGGAGGCAAAAAGGAAGATGATGCTTAATAGGATTTTCAGGTTATATACTTGCTACTTCCTTTAGAGAGGTATTTCTTGACTTTGGCTGCTCATCAGAATCACCGGGGCAGCCTTCAGGCCTCCAGATGCCCAGGCTCCACTCCACGTGAATTATGTTGGAATCTGTAGGACCACAGTTGAGAACCTTTGCTTCTTGGAGATTGAGGCATTAGACTAACTTCTGTGTTACTCATTGTAAGCCTTTATTCTTTTTTTTAGATACGTATTGGAGTGTATAGATTATGGTAGTTGAAAGTAGACAGGCACATTTATTAATTATATTTAAGTAATATGTAAATAGTAACAGTTTCAGATGTAGTTACAGGTCACTTTTTGAAGTACAGAGTAGGATACATTTGACATTTTTATATCAAATTATACTTTACAGTGCATTCGGGAAATTCATAATTTAAATATTACCTTTGGGTTGTTTTCAAAGGGAAGAATGTAGCTTTAAATGTGATTATGTTTCTGAAGCTTCCTTGAAAGGGGTGTGTACAGCTGAATTTATATAGAAGTTTGACTTTCCCCCCCATTTCCATTTCTTTAGGGAGCACAAGCTTTGCTGAACTCCTCTTCAAATTTAAACAGCTGAAAATGCCAGTGCGAGCTTTGCTAAGATTGGCTCCTTTGCTTCTTGGAAATCCACAGCCAATGGTTATGTGATCATGTCTGGTGGCAAACCTACCCTGAAGCGTGACTTCTGCACAAAAACATGACCAAACAACAAAGCTAAAGAAACATTTATAAGTTTTATAATATAACTAGTGGGGAATGAGCTGCACAAACCTCAATGTATTTTAAAATCCAAGTGTTTTAAATATTCCAGAGGCTCTGTTGCTGTCAGCATTAACATTATATGATATATAAAAGTGAGTTAAAATTTACTTTTGTAAATAAAGTTTTTTGGTTTGTTTTCAAAACTCTTGGTTATTTTAGTTTGGGATCTCAGAGAGTAGAGCAGTGGGGGCTGGGGTGGATATTCATTTTTTAAGTCTTCCAGCTAGGGTGATTCAGATGAAGTGACTATGTTTAAATTTGCAAGGTTTTTAAAGAAGCTGTGTCATCAAGTTTTATTCTCTGCAGCAAGAAAATGGCTTTTTAGCATCTCCTAAGATGTCGCAATGTTTGGGTCTAAACTTGGTGTGTACTTTCTGTGACAGTGCTAGGCATCTTATAGTATGAGCAGTCACCTTCAACAGCAGGACGTTTATACCCTAATGAGGAATGGGTCAACGTGAAGCCTGTTCTAAATAAAGAAAATGTGCAATTGCTACTAAGAGAGGTCTTCAGAAATTGCATTTAAAAATAAATGATGGTCCATTCCCACCCAAGATTTAGAGAATGTACATCTGTATGGAGAGTTTGTAGAGTAGGTAATGATGAAAGATATTCCAAAAGAGAGGCCTGCAGCTTCAGGTTTCCCGAAGAGGAAGAAGAAAACGCCCTGCTGTCCAGTGCCTGACGTGTGCCCTGCACTTCCCGAATGGCCAGCTGGATTAGTAGAAATGGCAAGATCCATTCAGTGATTTCACATTTCCACATCCTGAATTTTGCTGTTTAGCTCTCAGTGTAAAAATCAAAGCAAACAGAAACGTTTCCATTGAGATTCTGGCAAAAACCCATGTGGCATTTGCTTCTGCAGTGTTGGGGGGGCACACCTGTAGTGGTGATGGGTTCTCTCTAGACTCAGTACTCCATCTGCACGCTTGCTCCAGGGACTTGCTCCGGCATTACTGCATAGGTAAGACACGGCTGCCTGGGAGGACGAAATGTGCTTCCCTTTCACACTTAGCTAGTTTTTTATGTAATTGAAAAAAAACCAGGTTACAGAAATTCCATTTGAATCAAGATTTTAAGAACTCAGTATCCAGGCAACTTTTGCTATTTTCAGTCTCAGTTGTTTATGATTTGTATTCCTTTCTCTGAATGATGACTTGAGAGACTGTTACTTGCACATTATGTATTCTCATATATGAGGGAGAACAGTCATTAGAGTGTTGTCAACAAAAGCAATAATCAGGCTTTCTAAAAGAAAGAGCAGAATACAAGATTGCAGATGGTCTGGACACAGCATTTTCTTTGTAGTTTAGACCCAGTGTTTAGGTAACAGGGAGCAAAGAGGGTATTCTGGGCAGTCTTTTGAGCAGACATGCTAGGATCATCAAATGAATTCTCGCTATTTATGGGTTCTCAAAAAATTTGGAAAGTAGTTCTCACCATCTAGAATATTTCGGCCCCTCACAGTTAAGACAAGGGAAGAGCTGGAGAAGTGTGTCTGACTCCTAAGGGTTTTGGCCCAGAAGTGGCACGTCACTTCCAGTCACAGCCTGTTGGCAGGAAGTAGATCAATCCACATCGTGTGACTCCTCCTCCATGTGTCCATGAAGGGGAGGAGAACAGCCACTGGTGAGTACTGGTTACTTAATGTCACAATATGGTTCCTAACTTACCCCACATTCATCTTTTCTACTTACACAGCTACACATGCTTCCATAGATGGGCATAATTAAATAATAGTTGCAAACACCCCCCAAGGGAGGGCTGATATCGGTGTCCCTCCCTTGAGTACGATGTCCTACGAAGAGGTGAAGGCCTGAACTTGTGGGTAGCTCTGACGTATGGACGCCAGACCCTAGCAGGAGCGTCTGTTGGGTTAAGCCTTACAGAGCTCCCCTCAGTGCTGCCTGATCTTCAGTAAGGCCACTTTTTTACCCTTTGTCTAAGAACCAGCCAACTTAGCTTATGGTGATCCCAGCTCAGAGATCTTTTGACAGCCCAGTGGAAGCGAGGAGGAGGAGGCGGCCTCTCATCTCTCAGCTTGATTGGTGTACAGACCCATTTGGTGGGAGGCCACTGTGCCTGCTGGGCACAGGCCAGAGTTTGGGAGCTACGATTCCGAGTAGAAGCCAGAGCATGTGGATCCAGGCAGGAATTGCCGGAGGAGTGGATTTGTGGACTGTGTGTGTGGCATGTATTCCGAGGAAAGCTATGTCAAAGTCCAATCTGAAGACAGGAGTAGGCCGAAGTCAGGAGAGGATGCTGGTAGCTGAGCGAAGCTGGAAGGCCATGGAGCAATTTGAGATCCAAACCAGGAAGACTTAGTTGGTAGTACATAGATTAACTAATATTTCTTTTGCATATAGGGCTGGGGCCTTGTCTTCTGGGTTCCTCCATCCTCATACCACATTTTGTAGAAAATGCCAAGTTGTATAAAGATCTCTCCAATTCAGCTATGCGGGAGGGGATGGAATTTGGTCACCTTTGTACCCCCAGTATCTGTAGTGTTCAACCAGCAATAGAGGGAAGCAGAGGGGAGGTTGGAGGGGCAGCTCCTAAGAGGGTACCCCCAGGCTGGAGGCCTCTGTCAGCACATAGGAGTCACCCTGCATATAACCATGTAACTGGCTTTTCCTGCTTCCCAGGGCCAGCCAGGTTTCCCTGATTCTGAAATACGTTGCTTGCTTCTCATCAGTCACAAACTGTGGGAAAGTCTTTTTTGCTAAATTGAAAGAAAAGCCCTTAAAACCGTATCCTTAATTCTGGCTTGTGGTTAAGGATGAACTTGCCTGTGGGCCATCCTCTTGCTTTGCTCCATGTTCTGTCCTTCAATGAAAGGGAGGCTGGGATGGGAGTAAGGGTTGCCCAGATGGCAGGACTGTCTGTCTTCAGGCAGCTGCATAAAAGGTCAGCAGTGGAAGATCTCTCTGCCCCTCTTTCTATAGCTGAGACTCCTGAGGCTCAGGGAGGAAAGTGGTGGGTTGGCCTAAGGCCGCACTGCTCCTGTCACAACCCCTAACAGGCCTGGGCTTTCAGACCATACTGTTTCAAACCCCCAAATCTGGTTCAGTATTCCCTCCCTTAGTGCAGTAGATGCTGAGAAAGAGGCAGATTAACGTAAATTAGGAGGATGTTGCACCAGAGTTTATGGACCCTTCCCTTCTCTGCGCATCTTTAGAAAAACAAAGACCTTTGTGTACTTTCTTGGAATTAAATTAGTCCTGTGAGCTGCTTTCTGGGTCATATAACAACCATCTTAATTTAAAACGTCTCTTTTAGCTGAAAATGTTTCTTCCTATTCTGTGGCACATTATAACATGAAATAGGAAATTTAGAAAAAAATTTATACCAGGTTCAATAAAATCAGTGAAAATCTATTAAAAAATGCACATTCATAATTTCCACTGCTTTTACTCCAATACTTAGGTGTGAAATCTGTTTCCTTGTCTCTGTGGTTAATGGATCCATCTCTGGTCTTACATTCAGGTACGCTGCCTTGGGAAGCTGTAGTCCATGGGCTTCCAGAACCCAGACGTGCTAGATCGTGATCTGGGTAATCATGTCAGTGGGGGGACTTATCACAGGGACAGTGTCTGGAAGCTAGTTAGTGCTGCCCATGTTCTTTCATTTGTCTTGTGTTCATATTCGTGCGTATTTTTCATTCAGTCAAGGCTTGTGTTTGCTTACTGTGCAGAGATTAAGAAGATAATCTCATCAACTGAAGTGTGGGTAAATGTATATAGCTCTTCAACAATTGAAGGAAGAATCATTAGCAAATCGTTGTAATTAGCATCCCCAGCTGCAGTCTCTCTCCCTGGTAAGATCTAGAGGAGATGAGCACCAACCCCTACTTGAAATTTCTGCAAAACCCCAGAGGGCTGTGTGGGTGCTATCTTGTCATCTTGGTGTCCTCTTGCTCCGAACTCCCTCTCTCCTCTAGTTAATTTTCATTCGGGTCATCTCACTGGATCCGTGCCCTCTGCCTGGACTGGATGTCAACTCAGTATCCTCACCACCTCCTCCCCTTGCTGCTCAGCCTCCAGCTATTTCCTGTGTGGGGCCAGGTTGAGTGTGTGCCACTGGGAGGAGCCAGTGAGAGATGCCCACGTGAGGCCTGGAGGTGGAAGAGGTAGCCAAGGCTTCACGGGTCACGGGTGGCCAGGAGGGCAGATGGTGCAAACCCGGCTGCAGCCACCACCAGCTGTGACAGGTGTCCCCCCGCCCCCGGATGAGTTTTGCCGGGGCTTCTCAGGCTTCTGCTCCCTAAACATTTCCATCTACTTCCCTTCATCAACACCCTTTCTGCTTGGGTCCCTGAGCAAACCCTGTGCTGTTAGGTGGGACATAATGACCCAGGTGTGAAATCAGCCCCATCCCCAAGTCCCATAAAAGCCACTCACACCACTTGGTATCCCCTGGTTTTGCTCATGGAATTTCTAGCCCCTTGGCTATCTCTTGAGCCCCCGGTGCTGTTCACTTTCCTTTCCCATGATCACACCCTCAGGTGTGCTCTAACACCAACATTTTATGACAGTCCTGCAACTCGTACACTAACTCATCTGGATGGGACCAAACTCAGGCCACAGTGGCAGTGACCCCCCTTGAGTGGCCTTGGGTTTCTCCCTAACACTGAGAGGACTCCCTGACTAAAGGAAGAATGCATGGTCTTTCATCAGCTGAGTAACCCAAACGGTGTGGGTTGGCCCCGTATTGTGCCAGATTTCCCAAGACTGAGTCACTAGATGCATGAGTGAGGAGAGAAACCACCTCTTAGCCTGTTTCTCCCTTGGCCTTCTGGGGCTGCAAGGACTAGGTGTCACAGATAGTAAGAGCTATGATTATTTGCAATTGCAAAGTTCCAGAGGACTCAGGAAGAAAATGCTAAGCCCTCATGGGATAGTCGGGGTTGAACAGCAACTGTATTGCTTCCTGAAGGGAGTCAACTTTTTACAAGACTGGATATTCTGTCTCTGCTTGACTGTGAGGTTCCTGGACATCTTGTAGTCTAAGCAGTTTCGTGGCAAATCCGGCATTTCTATGGGAAAAAAGTGATGAAGAGCTAGACAGTGTCTGTCTGGTAACTGCAATTATTGCCCAGTAATTAGACTTCCTATCTAGAATAGTTATACATATCTATACATCT